ATGGATGGTTTAGTCAGTTTAGCCCCCCTGGTCATATGGTAACTTTATTGACCCATCCCCTTAACTCATCCCATGTTCATCACACGGCGACCTCTTCCACTCTTTGGCGACATCGAGCCTGAAATCTTGGCTTTGTAGACCAGCTTGCTCGCTGGGAAGATAATCTTCCAGTTAAATGCAGGCGTCTGTGTGTATATAATTGTACATATATATATATAGAGAGAGAGAGAGAGAGAGAGACAGACAGACAGACAGACAGACATGGATGGATGGATGGATCGATAGATAGATAGATAGGATAAGATATGATAAGAGAAGATAGGATAAGATCAGATAGGATAAGATAAGATAAGATAGGATAGGTAGGATAGATAGGATAAGTAGGATAGATAGGATAAGAGAAGATAGGATAAGATCAGATAGGATAAGATAAGATAAGATAGGATAGGTAGGATAGATAGGATAGGTAGGATAGATAGGATAGAGAGGATAGAGAAGCCGCTATGCTCAATGAAACAATCAGGCGGCGTGATGCGACATCAGACTAAGGCATAGTCCGGGCCTTTTCATGGCAACTCGCAGTGCTCACTGGTCGGGACACACATGGCCAATCTTCCGAAATGGAGCGCTGTATCTTACAATGCTTTGTCACTGCATCAAACACGAAGATTGCGACACATTTTATCAGACTTACGATGGAACAGTTTTGTATGCATCCAAGGCAGTGAAAGACGCACGCACGAACCTGTCATACAATATGATGTTGGAGAGTTCCACGTTTTGGAGTGGGGGTATGGCCCTGCAGCTGGCAAGGCATCTGGAGTGGTCATCGCATTTAGGAGGAAACTTTTCTCGTTCAAACATTTGGTACGAGTATATTCGCCTCCATCCGAACTGCTGGGTAGAGTGGGGCAATTAGGCTTAAACGAGGTGATGCTGATTTCTTGGTTATCAATGCCTATATCCCAGTCAATCCCCACAAGGCCCAGGAGAAGCAATACTGCAATAAAGTCTGGGCGTGGATCTATCATGTGCTGTCGCAAGCCCCTAGTAGATGTGTACCCATACTGTGCATGGATGCCAATGGAAGAGTTGGAAATGGACTCCTTTCTCCTTGTTTCGGGGCTGAGCAGCCCCGGAGAACTATAATGGCGGCAAGCTTCGTGAACTTTTGGACGAGCATCACATGGCAGCAATTAACACGTTTTTCCCAGCAGGTGATACATATATTATGGGCAGTTTGGGAACAATAGCAGAATTGATTATGTTTGCCTTCCGCAAACAATGTTGGCCAGGGTTGAAAGTTGCAAAGTTCTTTTTTCTGCAGGCAAGAGATTGCAACCGATTCCCGCCGCTGGAAAAAGGGACCACATGCCCTTACAATGTGTTTTTAGGCACAAGTTGGCATTTGAATCGGCTCAACCCACGTTCATGTGGGACCGACATGCACTGGCACAAGGTGTGTTACATGGACACCGTCATGATCAGTTGCTTCAAGCCTGTGAAGGCCGACTGGCGGAGTTTGACCTGCACGCCCACTGTCATTCCACGCCAGACACTCTATGGCACATCATCAACACAGCGGTGATTGATGCCGCGCAGGTCTGCTACACACAACAGAAGAAGCATACGTCCGATCCCATTGACACACAGGAAGCGCATGCTGCAATGGTCGACATGCGCTCTCATCTGGTCAGTTTGCACAAACCTGTACGTTTGTCCCATGCAGGCCACAGTGGTTTTTCCTTGGATTTTTTGTCCGCCTTGCTACAACAGTGGAAAGGCTTGGTGGCGTACTGGAAAGCCAGACGGCAGCTGGACCAACTTGCAAAACGAGACGGACAAACCAGACTTGCAAAACAACTGGGAGTTTTCAATGGCGCTTGGCAGCGCCGACAATTCGCTGAAATGTGGAAAGTTGCTCGCAGACTCTCTGGCAAGAACCCTGGGCCAAAACAGCGTGTTTACAGCAAACCGATCACTGAACGACCCTGCATTGACGAGGGGCAGCTCACTTGGCACGTCCTGGCAAAGACGGTGGCTGGAACGCTGAACGGGTCTTTGAGCTCCCAAATTGTCAACAGGATGCAATTTTTGAAGACCGGCAAATTTTTCATTTGGCACAATCAGACCTCCATGGCATTGCTAAGCTCCACAAGGCCACCCCGCCATGGGCTGCCCCAGCTGAAGTCTGGAGGCAATTGTTTTTTCCGCAGTATCATCAGAGTCAGTTGCGACGTGAACGTGGCGTGCCTTTTCTACCCGCGCTACGTTATTCGAAGCTTGGATGCAACGACTTGCTTTATCAATTCGTAGGTGGCAGCGGACTCCAAACCAATGGCAGCACAGTATGTCTTTTCAATTGGACAAACAGAACAACAAACCCGGTTGTCAGGGCATTCGTTTGGTCAGCTGTTTGGACCCTTGCGGCGCTGCCTACTACAAGCACTTATGGAGACGGTGCCGTCCTTGCAGCCACAGACCCTATGCTGCCGGATATTGCAGGCAAAAGTCTCGCCTGGAACCGATATGCCAACAAAATGTCGTATCACACCGGCTGCGAAGCCGGAAAATTTCACACGCATGCTCTTTTTTGATGTTCAAAATGCTTTCCGCGTTGGATTCTGTCGCTAGGCTTGAAGATAGGCAACTGTGGGAGCAGCGGTACCGGGAAGCTCTGGTTCGTGTCAGCGATGGGCGTGCAGAAGCTGACTTTCGCCCTCGTTCTGGCACCATGCAAGGCGATGGGCCATCAGCAGAACTTTTTTTGGAACCCTACCACCCGCAGCTGGACAAGTGGGCGCAGGCAACAGCAATTAATGATCCCAGGATTTTTTTGGTGGCCAAGTGCGTTTTTCTTTGTGGTGAGGCTGAGCAGGACCTTTCTCTGTCTTCTTTTGCTGATGATGTTGGCAGAATCAGCTTGGGAACAACGCCTGAAGACTTGCGCCTTTCGCTTGAAGCTGCCAATGCTGGTTTGGATCGACATTTGTGGGACATTGGTTTGGTTCAGAATGTGGACAAGCAGGAACATGTTCTTTTCTTTGGTGGAAAGAACAGTGCTGGATGCCTCAGGTCTGTGTACAGTGCTTCTCTTCTGCCAGGCAGAACTGTGCCTTCTGCTCGGTATCTCGGAGCTCAAGTACAGTATTCGGGCAAAATTCACACAGAAATTGACAAACGACTGCAAATTGCAAAACGTAATTGGGCAAAAATGGGTCCTTTCTTGTTTCGTTCCTTCTCCTCCAAACGTGGCAAGATTTTGGTGTATGTTGCTCTTGTGCATTCTGCTCTTGTGTCTGGACTCGAATTTCAGGTTTTGGATGCAGGTAAATACCAACAACTCAGCAGTTTAGTGCTCAAACATGGTCGCAAACTCATGCAAGGGAAAGCCTGTTCCAAGCAGGTCATGCCAGATGCCACGATCAAGTACATTTCTTGCACGTCCAAAGCCGTTTGGCGCTGGTTGGGCTTGTGCCCTGTGGATCTCGAGCTGCAGATTAGGCGGCTTGTTTGGTATCAGCAGCTGGCCAAAGACGTTCAGAAGCATATTTGCGTTCTCATGGCAATTTTTGGCAGGCTCGGGTGTGAAACTTGCGACACAGCTGACGCAGCCGGGAGGATTTTGCAGACTGCCAACCCCTGGGCTAAGCAGTTCTTGGCTAATATTCAATGTCTTCAAAAGATCGATGCGGGTCAAGCATTGCTTGATCTTTTGGGTGATCGCGTGCTTCTGGTTTTCACTGACTTTCTGCCTGAATTTCTTGCAATTGATATGTCCGAGTTGCGGCGAACATTTGACCCCATCTGCATTCCACCACCGGGATGGGTCGAGCCAGAAAGCCCAATTGCTGCTGTGGAATCGACAAGCTTTTTCGACATTGCAGGCTTTGGAAGCACACAAAAGTTCCGCCAAAGGTGGCTCACATGACGACATTTCCCAGCTTGGTTGGCTACCACTAATGCTTGCCCTTTTTGTAAGAATGTGTCTTCCTCCAAGATGTCGGCCCGTAACCATATCCGACGCTCGCTCCAGACGGGAGGGTGCGGCGGTTCTGGCAGCCATGTTATTCCCAGGTTGAAACTCCAGTTGACATACGTTGCAAGGTTTGCCAAGAGTTTTTCGATGACTTGCATTTGTTGTTGGACCATGTGGCCGGTCATGTCGAGTTTCCCCGGCCCGAAGCAGAAAACAGGCAAGAATAGCATCGTGTGCCCTTTTCTCAGCCCAATGGCTTTGACCCCATGGGCGCGCACTGGTGCTGCTGATGGCAAGTCTGCGAAGCGGCAAGCTGCTGGCAGCGAAAAGTTTCTCATGAAGGGCATCCAGGTCCTCACCAAGCTCGCACTCAAGAATGCCATGGATGTCAGAGAACTTCAGGCTGCCAGCTTGATGACTGTGCAGCTTCCCAAGGACAATCCAATGATCCAAGTAATGCTGACGGCCACTCGTGCATTCAACGATGAACAAGAGAAGGCCAAATCGTCCAACACTTCGCCGCCTGAAGGTCAGCCACACTGGCCTTACTGGAAGAATTGAACAAGAATGCCAGTGAGCAGGACAAGGAAATTCTCCAGCAGCATGTGCTCCAAAGCTGTGGGAACCCTTCTCTGGTTGCATGCTGTGTGCATGTTTGTCGAGTGAAGAAATGCTTTGACCAGTCCAAGATGAAGATTTGCATTGCTGCCAGTGAGTCGGTCAAGCCTGTCTTGCAAGTTTTTGAGAGTCACGATAGTCACGTCCGAAACCAGGGCGGTAAGACGCTTCATGGACAGGCGCCAAAGGGTGGTCTGGAACGTGATGCGCAAACATTTCTAGATCAACTGCCCGACATGTTGAAGTGATTTAATTTTGATTCTTGGTCCCGACGCTTGAGCGACCAGCTCGATCCCGTTCACTCATTAGGGCATGAGCTATTTTGTTTGTGAGTGGGGGTTGGTTGTGCTGCTGTCGGGCCCGTGCCCTTTTTGCATTGCTGAGGGAGAGCAGTGAGCACTCTTCAGGATATGTCTTGAACAGGTTGGGTCACAATGATGTGGCCTTGACTCAGCGAGCATGGACTCATGCGACAGCTGCGAAGTGAAGTGAAAGAGAGGATAGAGAGGATAGAGAGGATAGATAGGATAGATAGGATAGATAGGATAGATGGGATAGATAGGATAGATAGGATAGATGGGACAGATAGGATAGATGGGATAGATGGGATAGAACGGATAGAACGGATAGATAGGATGGGATAGGATAGAAGAGATTTAGATTAGATTAGATTAGATTGGATTGGATTAGATTAGATTAGATTAGATTGGATTGGATTAGATTAGATTAGATTAGATAGAGAGAAAGAGAGAGAGAGAGAGAAGGAGAGATAGATATAGATACAGGTCTGTCTATTTATGATGATAAAACTACATACTTGCACATGTGCATAATATCATGTATATTTATATCGTCCATCTATATATATATATACCATCTGGTTATTTAACAGTTCGCCATGGAAAATCACCATGTTTAATAGGTAAACCATCTATTTCTATGGGCCATCTATACCATGGCTATGTTAAATAACCAGAGGTTATATATAATTTCAAATACATATATCATATATATATATATAATATCGTAGTACATATTGATATATATATATATATTTATTTATTTATTTATTTGACGATATGGTTATAAGATGAACATTGCTATCTATATATATATACACACTTGCCATGTTCAGAGGTCATTTCAAAGGGTCCCACCTTTGCACAACAAGTTTCTGCGGCCTTTTTTTGGGGGGGACCCATCTGGCAGTATCATAATTCCCCACCCTGAGATCAGGCCATTTTCTAATGTTTCCTCAAAAAAACACATCATCTAATCTATGGTGACATCTTTCGCGGGTCATCATTCAGCCCATGAAGAATCCGAATAAGCCCGGAAGGCAGAAGCAATGATAGAGGGGACATCTCTGACCCAATGTTTTTCGATTGTTTTACGTATCACATCTAGAAAGCCTAGATACTGCTTCAGAAAGCCTTTCTTCCCACCAGCCTTCCATTTTAGGCCATTGGAAATAAGGATCTATATATATATACATATACATATATACAGATTACAGGTACCTAACATCTGTAAAGCCCAAGTGTCAATATGTTCCTTGGATACCGAAAAAATCGGCCGGTTCTTCCAGCTATGCCGAAGAACATGTCACGAAATACATATAGCGAAAGTCAACCCGAATTCACGAACAAAACACAGCTGTTCACATCAACCGAAAACAAATGGCAGTGTGTCAAAACCTTGTACCCCTGGTGAACATCAAAATAGCTGGTAAATGGATGTTCATCCCACTAAAAATGGTATGTATAGGTATTGATCCATACCCATCTGTTTTCCCCAATTTCCTCAACCGTTCGCCCAGGGTGTCGGTGTCGCCTGTGCTGCTGTTCCGGCGCAAGTCGGAGCCGAAGGAAGTGCGCGAGCCTCGAGCGATGGTGGCGTGCCGTTGTGCCATTCTGGGTCAGACAAAGTTTCTGGGGAGTGGTGAAAAAACATCGAAAAATCTGAGGATAAAAGAAGATCCATGTGTTTTTTGCCCGGTTTTGCATGTGTTTGGCCGAAGAGCTAGCGGCCAGAAGGCCGATGACATCCCGATGGTGGCTTGAACTTTGTCTATCCTCCAATCGATCTTCCATGGCTATGGGAGTTGATCAGAGGCTGACCGGGTTAAAAGGTGACCAATCATAGATGGCGGTTATTCGCCATCGATTCTTAGTGATTGGTGGATAATAAGCCATCAATACACCCTTGAAAGGGGCTGGGTTAAAAAACCTTTTGGAAGGGATGAGTCCCCATGATCAACATATAGGATTGGCAAATAGATTCAAAAACATAGAATGATCATTTGTTACCAGGGTTGATCATGCATGCTTCTCTGAAAATAGGACGAAAATATACGAAAGGTCGGTTGATCATCATTTTTCCCACAAAAAAAAATGCCTTGTTGGAGTGATATTCCATTTTCAGACACACCTATATCCCTCATCCATCACACAAATCACTACTATTCATGCTTCAATCCCTATGTTTAGTTAAATCATGTGAAAAATCCTTAGTTTGCATAGTTTAATCATGTGAAAAATCCTCATTTTTCATGCGTCCCTATGTCTGATGGTTACCCTCTGGCGAACATGCAAAAAACTATGGAAAATCACCATGTTGAAAAAGGGAAAATCCACTATAAAAAAAGGCCATTTTCAATAGCTCTGTGACAAATTACCAGAGGGTATACCATCATATATCCTGATAAATCCCATTAAATCCCATTAAAATCCCATTAAAATCCCATTAAAATCTCATTAAAGCACCAGAGGGTAAATGGCCCACTTCGTTGCGGCCCTTGCTCCGAAGCCTCGGCCCTGGCTCCGAACCCCGGCGCCTCGGCGGCTCCGATTCTTGGGCGACGACTCCGGCGACAGCGACGCCATGCGCACCTTGCGGTTCTCGTAGCCTGGCGAAACGGACGGTGGACCGTGGACCTTGGTGCTTCATCCCACGGCTCGTAAGTGGGTTAGTTCACCCCAATTATAAGGGTTATAACCCCAATATACCCCAATTAGAAGTGGATTAACCCTACAGAAATCCCATTTATAACTTTATAGCTGGGGTTAGATCCCACTTACGATTCCTGGGATGAGCCACCTAAGTGGGAAACTGCGGAATTTACAACAAAACACGGTGATGTCAGCGTGAAAGATGGGAATTGAACCACGAAGAATCCTGAATTCATCATGAAAATGGGCAGTCTATCGAACATGGGTAAGTTTAAGCATCAAGAATAAATTGGGATTTAACCATGAAAAATGACCGTCATCAAAGATTTTTTGATCATTGTGGCATCAAACCTGGGGATTTAACCCCCAACAAATGGTTGTTTGCACCATTAATTTGAGAATAGAAGGGGGATATCATGATGCACCATCCATCACCATCCCTGACTGTCACTGCGTCACTATGGGTCAAAGATATGGGATACCTGAACAGACCCACCAACGATTTTGATTAAAAAACCATTCGAACCCATCCAGATACGGAGTAGCTTTATCCATCTTTATCCACCCTAAATGGAGATGCCCAGAAAGTGAAGAAACCCCAGTTGGAATAGGACTAGGATGCTCCGCATCAGATGGGTCAAAACCCAGCAACGAAAATGGATCCGTCAAAAGAGAAACTTCATATCAATACTCAAACATGTTTAAAAATAATACCATATCAATGGGATACTGTGGATGGTTGCGAAATCCTGCACCAGCTGGTAGATGATCTATCCTGTTATCCCATGATTTGCAGTGTTTCATAGTCACCAGTAGTTACCAACCGGTGCAGGATTTCGCAACCATCCACAGCATCATCTTGGGAAACTCGAGTTTTTTTGTAGATCTCCGGCTCGGATACAGCCGAGTTCAGCCACTGGGGAGCCCCTACTGGCTTCTTGCTGCAGCTGGACCCTGGACGGATCGCGATAAAAGTTGCGATCGCTCAGTTCGATCTTCTTCCTGCGAACAAAGGGGGGGAACAAAGGGAAGATACCCGGGGGGAGCGGGTTTGTTTCGCCAAGCTATGGCTTCCGCAGAAAACAAGAAATCTGGGACACCAGCCTAATCTAAGGCTGTGTAAACAGGTGCCGTCAAATATAGTCAACCCAGCAGCGATTTCAAATTCTTGTGGTTATACATCTAGTGTTTTATAGTAAGATCCTGAATTTGCTTCGTCCAACAGCCCTAACAGCCCTTCACCAAAAGTTGTTAACTTAACCTACAACAATTGGGGACATTATATAAGTCATCTGTTATTTTTCCCCATTGTTTGGACCCCCAAAAGCAAGGTTTCTGGCAAGGCTACGGCTCGAGTCTCGTCGATGTCTTTGAAAGGATGAACCCTTAGAGAGCATCCAAAAAGTACCCTCTGGTAGCCATGGCCCAAAGGAATAGATGGTTTACCGAACTTAAAAATGGTGATTTTCCTGTTAGTCATAACCAGATGGTATAGGCTCCACCGATAAAGATTCACCAATCAGAAAGTTCAGTTCGTCTGGGTACCTGGGTTTTTCATCCCAAGAAATGTCGTGTTTGGTTTTGACCCAACCAAATCGCCAGAAGAAGACCCCTCCTGCGTTTGTTCGTTTACCTTACACCATCCAACTATACAAAAGGAGAGAGGGAGCAGGAGGAGAGGAGCAATAGGGGCAGCACTGATACAAGTGATTGCCCAGCAGAGATAAGAGATGCCGCAGCTGCAGCAGAAACGGAAGTGGCAATTGGTTTGGCACATTTGTTATTGCTGGTTGCTGTAAATATAGGTATCGAAAGCGGGGTATGTGTCAAAAAGAGACAATTTAATGGGGTACGAATGATTCGGGGGTATGGTTCGGGGGTATGATTCGAGATGCCTCTACTTCTGTTTCCTTTAAAAGTTTGAACCCACAAAAAAAAATACATACCTATAGATATAGTTATATATATATGTATGATACATACGCCATAAATACATCCATCATAAATCCGCGTTAGCCTACAGCAGCTATAAATCAACTTACCTAGTATAAATCACATAGTATAAATCACATACCCTCTGGTAATTTCACAAACTATGGAAAATTGTCAATCCATAGATGATTTACCTCTTTAAAATGCCCATGGTTCCATAGGTATGTAAAACTGCCAGAGGGTAAATTCTTGACTCTATCAAATATTGCTGCTTACAGTTACAGTTATATAGTTCCAAGGCTTTATATCCCAGCTTGTGGTTTTTCTTTTACCCTCTGGTATTTTGTTCCATAGCTATTTTTTCAATGGCACATAGAAATAGTTGATTTACCTTTTGACAAATGGTGATTTGCCAGTTAGCAAACTGTTAGTTTACCAGAGGCTACCACCAGTTTTGAGGCTACCACCAGTTTTCCATACAGTAGCTATGTGGGTTTACCAGAGGCTAAATTCCCATGGTTCTAGGTATATCAACATCAATCATTATGAATCACCACTATTAAGCATTGTTAACCATCATTCACCATATCTTTTCCCAAAGTAATAGTTGATTTACCCAGCTATAAAATGGTGGATCTTTCCATAGGTTCAATCGATTTTTTCCATCGGAAAACGCACCATAACCATAGTGATGAATACTGGTTATGATGATCATAGTAGAACGTTATTATGATCGTAACCAGAGGGTATAATCATAACCATTATTTCACCATGTTTGTTTCACCATTCTTGTTTAATCATCATTACCCATTGTTAACCATTGTCAATCATCATTATTAACCATTATCAACCATTATCAACCATTGTTAACCATTGTTAACCATCATTACTAACCATTATTAACCATTAATTACTATTTTGTTTCACCATCATCAACCATCATTCAACATTAATCATCATTAATCACCGTTTTGTTTCACCATTGTCAACCATCATTAACCATATCATTGTATCATTATTTTGGGTAAATTATAGTATTTCACTAACCTGAATTAAGGCCATTTGGGGATGATTCCCCTCATTAACCATGATTCCCAGTGAGGTCGCAGTGAGGTCGTTATAATTTACCCAGATCTTTATCCTACCACCCTAAATGGAGATTCCCAGAAAGTGAAGAAACCCCAGTTGGAATAGGACTAGGATCTTATCATCGTGGCATCAGATGGGTCAAAACCCAGATTATTATCCATTCTAAACCATACCCTCTGGTAAACTAACATAGCTAATGAAAATGAACATAGAAATAGTGGATTTAACCATTAAAAATGGTGATTTTCCATAGCTATGTTAGTCATAACCAGAGGGTAACCATTTTGTTTCACCATAGTTCTACTCCCTTTTTTTTTCACCTCCAGCCCGAACGATCCACGGGTACCTCAGCTGGTGATCCACTTGCACATCTGCCAGCTGTGAACAGTCGGGTGCATAGCCTCCAAAAAAAAAGGCGCCAGAAAAGATAGGATAAAAATATAGGAAAAGGTTCATATATCAACGCTTGATATATGTGATATTTGATTAAGTGGTTGATGTGTGTGATATGGACCTGGTTAAAATATCAATGGTTAATATATGTGATATGATATTGATATATGATTTGATATTTGATATCTGATTAAGTAGTTGACCAGTGGTTGATGGTTCATGTATCAATGGTTAATATATGTGATATTTATGATTACATTTGATATGTATATATATATATACCATCTGGTTATTTAACATAGCCATGGAACATGGCCCATTTAGAGATGATTTTCCCATTAAAACCTCCATTGATAAGGGATTTTCCATGGCTATGTTAAATAACCAGAGGGTAATAAGAATAAACTTGAATATGCTTCATATATCAAATTTGTGGATAATTTACCTATATTTACCTATCGAAAATGATGATAAGAATGATTCGCAAAATTGTGAACTCGTGGCAATTCTTCAACATTCATCTGCATTCGATGATTCCACAATAATAATAGGCTTGAAACTGAGAGAATTGGGGTATTTCATCACCCACAAAATGCAAGACTTCTCGCAGTTACGAAGTTACTAACTGCTTTTAACATCTGTGTTCCGGGAGCTACCCCGGAAAAATCATTTACCCTCTGGTAAACTAACATAAGTATGGAAAATCACCATTTTTAATGGGAAAATCCACTATAAATCACCATTTTCAATAGCTATGTTAAATTACCAGAGGGTATCATGTTCATATACCAAGGTGGCATTCTGACATCTTGGGGTGCCCACAACTATCATGAAGCCCAGCTATCGGACTGCCGGATCCACCCCATGCTCTGAATTTCGTGAGGATACGTTGATGGGTAGGGATGAAGATCACTTACTATCTGGTTATTTAACATAGCCATGGAAGCCATGGCCCATTTATGGATGGTTTACCGAACTTAAAAATGGTGATGTTCCATGGCTATGTTAAATAACCAGAGGGTACTAGCTATTTTGAAGTGGAAGACCCTTGGACCCAGGCTACCAGAGTTTCATGACACAAATAATAATGATAATATCTTCATATCCCCCTACTGTATATTCCTAGTCGGCATCCGAGAGGGACGTTTCAACTCTCTCGTTTCATGCCAAGCTCCCAACGGGGAAACTCTCAGGTAATCTAACTTGGCAAGCGAAAATCACCACTTTGACCTACAAGAATATAGGAAAGTACCATCTGGTTATTTAACATAGCCATGGAAAATCACCATTTTTAATAGGTAAACCATCTATAAATGGGCCATTTTCCATGGCTATGTTAAATAACCAGATGGTAAATGAACATCATCTATATGGGCTTCAATGTTCTATTGCCGGCTTGTACTACCACAGGGTTTTCTCCATCCCTGGCTCCTCGTTGCCAAAAACTCGCGCCTGGATGGCGATTGTTCATGTCGTTCTTGCTGAAGATGCGCATGGTTTGTTCCTTTCTGCGGGTATCAAGTCATTCAGTCAATGACGTCAGACCCAAAACTGACCACAGTCGGTGGTTCCCTTAGTCTTACCATCTGGTTATGACTAACATAGCCATGGAAGCCATGGCTCATTTATAGATGGTTTACCTATTAAAAATGGTGGATCTTTCCATGGCAAACTGTGAACGTCATAACCAGATGGTTTCCATCATCTATTGGCATCACTGCGGTGAAGAAATCAATATGTCACTGTCGATGCTTACCCAAGTCCAACTTAACAAGGGACCTTGATTGATCCCGTTTCTGACGCAAATCCGAGAAATATTCTGGGTCGAGTATGATAGTTCACAGACCTGAAATAAGGTGATTCGGGATAGTTGACCCTACAATTCCAAAAATATTCCAGTAAAAAAAAAATGAGGTCGTTGCAAATTAACCCAGAAATATCAAGATTATCAACAGTAACTACATCTGGGTAAGTTGATCATTACTGGGTAATACTGCAACAACTGGCAGAAATTGTCCCAATATGCTGGAACAGACTCTGCCACAACTGTACCAACTGTTGATGTTTTGTCCGTGCTCCAGGATGGCTACCCTTGCTGGGTTTCCAGGGGTTCTCCAAAAAAAATTGGCCCAAAACAACAGCACTTGAATGGAAAAGTCAGCTGTTCATCCAATGAATGTGGAGCTACCCAGGTACCCCAGGTTCAGAAATCCCAGGTTGCCCTAGTATGAAAAATTCCTTCAAATGGGTCACCATTGTTTGCATTCATCCAATACTAAACCATAGTTCCTACATGACCCCCACGAATTGGTTTTTAAACCCATCCAACTCTTTTTTCATAGATGAATCTCCACCTTTTCAATCCAACAATTCACCTGGTCATAAACCAATTTGCCTCTCATCTCATCTCATCTTCGAAAAAAAAAAATCTATGAACATCTGATATCTGCTGGTTAAATCATGTGAAATCCCATGGGTTTTGGTGTTTTTTTCACCCCTCCCGTTTTGGACTTTGCCCAGGCAGCCCAGGCACGTAGAACTCTTGCTTCGCCTCAATGGCATTGTCGTCGACATAGAAATGGCTTCGCTTAAAATACCGCTGGCATTGTTAACAGCTTCTTATATTAAGAATGGTAATACCTGGTAATATCTGTGTTTAATTATGGTAAGTTGCAGATCTGCGATTTTTCCTGCATCCCAAACAAGCGAAACTGAGCATTCCCACCCATCCCCGGCTCCAAATTAAGAGGTCCCCATACGAAGATCTCAGGCTCTCAGGTCCAGATCTTTCGTGCCGATGCAGTGTCAGTTCTTAGATTTATGTCCTGCATATAGATCACATTTAGATATCACGATTTAAACATGGTTAAACCATGGTTAAACCCCTAAGTTTGATGATTCAACCTCAATTCTTCATGCTTAAATCCTTTTGGATTTTAGATGCAAAAAAATCCAACCGCTTCCTTCCTGGTGAAATCCCCAGGAATTCCATGGATCATTTGGATGCCCAAAGCTGCATTTCTCCAAGGAGCTCCTCGAAAGCGCATCGGTTTGGTCTCATCATCATCCCGCAGCGCAGGGCACGCTACAGCCACGGTCTCAGCGCAACATCGCCGGTGGTTTTTTTTTTTCTACGGCGATGGATTGGTTTCAGGGAAAATCTAAACCGGAAACCATGGTTAAAATATGTTAAAATACCATCAAATATGAAAAGTTAAGTTTCCGGGTTTTTATTGTTCCCATCATCCAAAAAGCTATGAGATTGGGATTTCATCACCAAAACATGGGGTAGGATTTTTTTGAAGCTGCGATGCTAAAGCGCCACTGATTTCGTGGGGATTCAAGCAGTTGAATGCTGACTAGGGATTCTTGGGGTCAGGCTACGTACGGTAGAGGAACTTCACCACGAATTCCACTAAAGGTTGTGGGGTTACATAAGCAAAATATATCAAAATACAAGGGATATAACATGATATAACATGATATAACAAATCAACAGTAATTAGTGATTTGACTATCAAAAATGGCGCAAAAACCCATTCACTCAGTTGGTTTACTAACCAGTAGCTTAACTGTTGGAAAAAAATGGCAAATATCTCGAACGAACTGGTTGACTAGGGATGGACCAACGTTCACGCAACTCATGGAGTTTAGATATGTTTCTGGTTTTTAACAAAAGGTATGTATATAACATCACATTGTTTGGATGTGTGTCTTTCAGTACTTGAATCTAAAGATGTGACATGCAATGGAGTGGTTTCCGGGACAGTTTTTCATCTGTCCTTTTGTCCAATTCTGGGAGTGGCAGTTTGAATGTGGTTAGCGTTTGAAGGTACTCAGATATCTAGTTTAGATGTAACTGTTGAATAGTGCAAATGGGGTTTCCATTTTTAAGATGTGAATACCATGATAGCTATGTGAGAAGGGTTTTTTCCGTAGTGTTTCCAGATATTTCAGGTGCGCAAATCAATCCTCTTGTTAAAAGGCGCTTAGATTCGGACTTCTTCCATCCTTATAAATAGATAATCACATATGTACATATGGCAGTCAAAACAGCACCGGATACCCGACAAGTCATAGCTGCGAAAGCTCGATCGCCAAACACCCCAACGAACTGGAAAATCACCAGCTTTAGCTAGATCAACATAGATCAACGAACTATTTTGGTGCCATGTTCAATAGCTAACTGGAAGAAATCCCCAGAGGCTACTCATAAAAACGCGAATTAACCCTCTGGTAATTTGACATACAGTAGCTATTGAAAATAGCCATTTATAGTTGATTTTCCCGTTAAAAATTGTGATGTTCCATAGTTATGTTAGTTCACCAGAGGGAAACCCATGCCCATATGGATGGTGTTCTCACCCCCGAAAACATCTCCCCCCAGAGATCCCATGTTCTACCGAATTATGAGATATTATTATAAGTGGCGATGTAACCATAATATAAGTGTTCTACATATTACAAGTTATATTATGAGATATGTTCCAATTATATAATAAGTCATCCAAGTCATATTGGAAAATTGTTCCATCACTTAAATCCATGAAAAACCTCTGGTCATCAAAGATGGAATACTGGAAAACCTCCAGGAAGTTCACATGGACCCTGCCGTCGGATGTGGAAGTTGAAAAAATTGTGAGTTTCCACTACAAACTTCGTTTTTTCAGGGTCAAACTCATGATTTACGGGGTAAACCCTCCATGTTTTCCTAATTTTGGCGAGTTCAACCACCATCTGGTGCCTCACCCATCGCTGGGCCAAGGTACTACGTCCTCCTTGGCGCTAGCAGCGGAGCCCATGGCTGCAGAAACAGCACCAAAGCTGCCGGACAGGAAAACCCGACGAAAGCAGTCATGAACCTTTTTTTTGATATTTTTGGGTATTACTGTTACATACTGTTACTGTCTATATATACATATTATGTATATACACATAATATGCTCATCCATTTTAGCTGTTGACCTATTTATCTGAAGATGGGACATTCAACGCATTGACTTAACATTTTGAGGCAACTGACGATTCTTCATGAGTTTTCCCGACGCTACTTGACCACATAAAACACAGGCCGAGCTCAACTCGGGTCAAGCCATAATACTGCCCGCGAGGCTTCGGCGTCCCATCCCAAAAAATAGAGGAAGTTTGATCGCCATTTCACCGAATTGGAGGTAGCAGAAGCTCTATGTACCCTCTGGTTATGACTAACATAGCCATGGAAAATGGCCCATTTATAGATGGTTTACGGTTTACCTATTAAAAATGGTGATTTTCCATGGCAAACTGTTAAATAACCAGATGGTAAGGGCTAAATTTCAAGGATACCCCTGAAATATGGCTCCCAATTCAGGAGGAGAAGCCGAAGTTTTCGTGAGTGGAAGTTTCAGTTTGAATCTCATCCCAAAGATTCATATGACTGTCGTGCACTTTGAAAATACTCTGGTAATTTCACATAGCTATGGAAGCCATGGCAATTTTGTAGATGTACAGGCTAAAAATGGGTCATTTTCCATAACCAGCTGTATCACCGCGAAATCCCCATCCAAAATCCCCCGATTTCGCCCCTTTGGAATCCATGCGCACAGCACCGCCGATTTCGGCTCCTCCAAACAGCCGGGGGGGGCAAGGTGCTAGGTGAAACCCAAGCCAAGCAGTTGGGTAGATCCGCATTTGTCAAACCTTCGTGTGAAGAACCATCAGGTGCTTGGGAATACACAATTCGTAGCTCTTTTTTTTTTGGCTCCCCCATTTGAAGTTCGGAATATGAATAGCTCCCCTTGCTCCTTAGCCGGATTGGATGAAAAAAAAGTGCATAATTTTGGTGAATCCATGGGCCAGGGCCATATTTAACTCATCTGTTCATTTTTAGGGGATAGAAAAAAGTTTGGCAAAACCCACAACAAATGGTGTATAACTACCAACAAACATGGTGAGTTTCCAATCATCGGAGATTGGTTTTCTGGGAAAACCCATGGAAAAGCCACGTGTTTCCGCCTGAGCCACGAAAAATACCCCCATCACATTCTACAGGTTGGTTCGTCAATATGTCTATTGTTAGTTATTGCGGGTTCATAATCCCCATGAAATCAGGTGTCGAATAACCCATAGTGGGAATTATTAATGGTACGTTGATAAGAATCCCCATTTTCCCATGAATGGTGTTACAACCCACAATCCCCATCAATAGCTATTCATAATCACTTGGAAGCTCATCCCAAGGATCATATGTAAAATATCAGTTATTTCAGGATAAGATTCGGCGCTTAATCCGAAAAAATTGGGCTGAAGTCACCAATGCAAGGCTGAGATTGCCATTGAAAATGGTCCTGTAGTTGGTTGATTTATAGTATACCCTCTGGTTATTTATGGGAAATGGCCCATAGAAATAGATGGAGTTTACGGTCTACCGAACTTAAAAATGGTGGATCTTTCCATGGCAAACTGTTAGTCATAACCAGAGGGTAATAGTTGATTTACCTCAGAAAAATGATGATTTTCCAGTTCGCAAAACTCACCAGATGGGTCCCAGATGGGTCACAGATGGGTCAGCCTTCGTTTACCGCACCTGTCCCAGCTGCAAGGGCAACGAGCTCGAGACGATGCATGGCAGCATGGAGCGGTCCTCGACGGGATATGCACTGATGTCAGGAACCTAAAAAAAGGAGCTACAGTACACACTTATATGACATATGTATGTGTGTGTATGTATATATATATATAGATAGATAGATAGATAGATAGATAGATAGATAGATTAGATTAGATTAGATTAGATTAGATTAGATTAGATTAGATTAGATTAGATTAGATAGATAGATAGATAGATGGATATGAAAGAAGAATGGGATAGATCATGGGTGTAATTAGAGTATAATGGGAATATCATGGGATATAACAAGTTTACTCATCGTTTACTATGATTCATAGTTTTAATGCTTGGGGACCATCACAGGCGCTTTCCTGCAAAGTTGTCCGATTTTAGGCCAAGTGAGGCACCCAATTGGCTAGCCCAAACATGGGAACCGCCAAAATGGCGGTAGATGATTTATGGTAGATATAACCAATTGGTGAATGGGGGTTATCATGGTTTATGAACCAGCCAACTTATAAACTGGGGGGCACCATCCTGTACATGATGAAGCGTGGGATTCTCAACCAACAGTGGGCATATCATGGAACCCCTGGGAGTCCTTTGTTGGCTTATCAACCAATGACGGACGAACTGGGGCAGCCCGGGTCCGGTGTGGGATCCATGTTGCGGGGATCCAAGCGTTCGTAACCTCAATGAACCAGGTATAGCCCAAAAAATGATAGAAAAGTAAATCCCCACTAAAATAATGCTAAATAACTAGTGTTATTACCATTGTTATTACTATCATTGTACTATTGTTGTCATTACTTTGTTTACTATTAGTATAGTTATTACTATTGGTTAGTGGTGGTGTTAATACGATTTACTATTGTTGCTATTGGCTTCTTACGATTTGTTCTATTTCTATTACCATTCTTGAACCAGGTAAACGATTTTTGATTGAACTATACTTACTGTCATTACTATAATCTACTATTACTACCGTAAATTATATTACCGGTATTACTATTACTATTACCATTCTTACTAGTAAATTATATTACATCAACAGTAGTACTGCGATTGACCAGCTATTCCTATTCCTACCCTTCTGTTGGGTCAACCGCTCTCCGAAAAAGCCAGCAACGCCCGCCTGGCCAGCTCCTCAGAGGTTGAATGGGGAGACCAGGGGGATATTCGTGGGGATGCCAATGGGAATCATAGCAACAACCAGTGGGAATCATAGAATCTACCCTCATGTGATCATAGTTTGAAACCAATTACCCTCTGGTAAACTTACAAAAAGCTATGGAAAATCACAATTTTTCGTGGGAAAACTCACTATAAATGAGGGTTTAATGGTACTTACCCGGCCTGGTAAACAAACAAAAAGCGAACTGGAAAATGGCCCAGTCGAAATAGTGGATTTTCCCATTAAAAATGGTGGGTCTTTCCATAGTTATGTAAACGGTTGGGCAATAGCAACAAGAATGGGGATTACTAGTTCGTTCCCGTAGTTAAGAAGATAACAAATGTTTACAGGAATTCCTAATGATAAGGGGGATAACTGGGTTATTATTACTGGCAACAACAGGAATACTAATGGGGATTACAATGGGAATATTGATAAGAAGAAGAATAGTAATGATGATACAATAATGGCAATAACAATAGTAATAACAATAATAGTACAACAATAGTTATTACCAATCTCCATGTTATTACTATTACTAACGACTATTATTAGTAATAACAGTAAAAATAATCCGTTGTAACAATAGTAATAACAGTGTTCACAAAAATAGTAATGGTATATATTATCGCTAAATTGGAAAAATGATAGAATAGCAACAATTGTACTAATGTAATACCAATCAATGTAAGTGGGGATTTACTTCTTTATCTTTTTGCGGGTTACTATCCTTGGGATAGAACCTCTGAATGGATATGGGTGGTTCCTAAAATAGGGGTATCCCTAATTCATCCATTATAATAGGATTTGCCACTATAAACCATCCATTTTGAGGATACCCTTTTTAGGGAAACCTCAATATCTGAGCTCCGAAAAAAGAGGACATAATCTATAGGCCATCATAAATCATCATAGATCTATAGAGCATCATAGCTCTATATCCATTATTCAATGGGAATTTCAGGATCCTAAAATGGAGGTACTGTACCATATAAGACCATATGAATTGTGGGGATAGTCCCTGAAATTAAGGCCTGAAAAATAGGCCTTATATATGGTAGGTACCTCCAATTTAGGTTCCTGAAATTGCCATTGCTATGTTAGTTTACCAAAGGGTAAATCCCATTATATATATATATATATCATTATATTACTAATTATATCCCAATATATTCCCATGATATTCCTCTTATATACTACATCCATTATTGACTATTTATGTGAAACTCCATTCGTTGCTCCAACTGGCTCCCCATTTGACAAGGAAAAAAAGAGGACACGGATACCTCGGAATCGCCCCCGCCGAACCATTGGATAGTCCAGGAAAAAAAGTGAAGAAATCTGGTGGGTCCATGTTTTTGGCCCATATTTCACCCAAGTTCGCACATATTTTATGAAAACGGCCATGTGGTGAATCCTTCAATACTCAAAAGCATTGTGAAAACGGAAATGATCCATATCTAGAAATACTATGAAATACTAGCCCATATTCAATCCATACCTCTATCACAGTTCTACTTGATGGTCTTAAGCCCAAGAAATTGCTCATTGGGGATGATGATATCCCAGGTAGGAAATATCTCAGGCCACCAGCAATGCTTTTATGGGGTGGTACCGTGGTACCCTTCTTCCACGGTTGACTAAGAGTTGATCTGGCCACATTTCTCAGAAGGGGCCCAGCTTGATGCCGAAAATGGATGAGTTTGGGGCTCCAAACTCCGCCGCAGAGGGTTCTAGACACCCCTATCACTAGGGTCCCATCATCTACCATTTTTTTCTAGGGATGAGATCACCCTGTTGGACAGGACTGAGATCCGGGGTCCGTCAGAAAATTGGCGAAACTCTCAGCGTGAGTTGCCCCTCTGCCAATCTGGCCATGGGACATCCACTATTTATTTACATGATTTCCCACTGGAAACCTCTATTTAGTGCTGCAATTTTTCCCAGCTTGCCATGTTACCAGAGGGGCAACTCACCAACCTGAAATGCTTTTCGGTCAGTCGGGGATGGTTTCCCTTAACAGTGATCTCGCAGTCAGGTTGTCAAAAAAATCTCCCGGATCCATATCCGATATTCTCTGAATATCCAGTATATACATGTATATAGTATTATCACAGAAAGCGAAAGATTAGAAAATGCTGAACATGTTCCACTATTTCCATGACACCGTGGTCGAGATCTATCTTTTTTAGGGGTGTTTAGCGGGATGCTATAGGGTTTGTCTAAAAATGGTCTACCCCCAATAAACATGGCCATCACTGGTCGGTGACCCGCCCCGTTGGTCCAAATATCATATCAAGTTGGCTACACATCCCATGATCTTCCCATGAGTCTGATCAATTCCCATGAAGCTGGGTTATAAATATGGTTGATATATGGTTGATATATGGTTAATCTATGGGTAATCTATGGTTAATATGGTTAATATGGTTAATCCCATGAAGGTATTAAGTCACTTCACTCCCCATGAGTGAAATCTCCACGCTTCTCCGTGCCTTCTACGAAGGTGACCTCCTTGCGAGGAATGGCCTGGTTTTTGCCAGTGCCAAGTCGGCCGTCGGTCAACAAATGGAAAAAAAATGATGAGAAACCATAAATCACAATAATGGTTGATCAATAATGTCAACCCCGGATTAATAAACCATGGTTTATTAATTAGGGGGTATTCCCCCAATAGTCATGATTTGATACTTAAATGGTACCCTCCCAATTAACCAGCCTAGGGGTTTATTAATCCAGGGTTGACATTATGGTTGATTATTGAGAAACATGATACTGGTTGATTCATAGGAGTCTCCATAATGGATTGTGATCATCCGATATTGTTTTGAGTTGGGTTATGACCCCCATTAATAATACATATATCTACCGTAAACCATAGTTATATAACCTAGATATAAACCAACTTATCCAACTATATACTGTGGTTAAAACCATGTCATAAACCAGCCATGACTGGGAATGGTAAACATAGCACCTACAAAAATGGTGATGACTGGGGGATGGTTTATTATTGTCTTACCCAGATTACCAAAACCTTGTAAAATCATGAATGTGGAAAATACTTAGCAATAATGATTGAGAAACTTTTTTTTGCGAAAATCGTGATGAAAATTGGGACATGAAATTCATCTTTTCTTTGGAATTTGATCATTCACTTACTGGTGCTTAACACAGGGAATTTTCGGGAATGATCCATTTCATCACTAGTAATGTCATCATCCCAGCAACCCCATTCCCAACCCATCCAGCAACCCTACGTAAAACCCACCAGTGAGTTTTTATGGGGATTCAACTACCCTCTGGTAAATTAACATAGCTATGGAAAATCACCATTGTCAATGAGAAAATCCACTATTAATGGCCATTTTCAATAGCTACGTTAAATTACCAGAGGGTAATTTCCCAAAGGTTTTGCATAGGGACAATGATGAGGAACCGTTAGGGACAACCAGCCCAGCCTCCCCGCGATGATCTCTTCGGTCATCTATTGACTACATCCAATTGTGGGTCGATCATGTTGAACCGCACCAAAATATCCAACAAAATTCTTGTTGAAATATCAAAAAATACCATATTCCAGAAATTCTTGGATATGTGCTATATTTTTTTGGAAATATACATATATATATACATATATATATATATAGAGCCAACCAGAAAAATCTGGTGCTTGGTAAATATGACCTTTGAGGATGCTGAAAGTTGCCCATTTCCAGTTGTTCTCCGCGATTTGAATGAGTAGTTTGGTGATGATTTTTCTAACATTGGATGATGGAGAACAACTGGAGGAAATCATAACAGTTTAGTGCAAATTTAAAATGGATGATAAAAAAAACTTGGATGATTGAAAAAAATGGAAATAAGCACATTCTCTCTTCGACTTTAGATGCTTTACCCTCTGGTAAACATACAAAAAACTATGGAAAATCACCATTTTTAATGGGAAAATCCACTATAAATGGGCCATTTTCAATAGCTTTTTGTATGTTTACCAGAGGATAGACTTTTTCTTTTATGACACCTCCGGCTCTGTGACGGCGCACCAGCAATCGTTCCAAACATGGATTCTCCCAGCTCTCCGCGTGTCGGTACCTCGCCGCCGGTGGCTCATCCCACCCCAAAAAAACCAGTGTCTTGCGATGTTCAGATCTGTTATTGAAATGTTTACATAGAAAACTGTCGCATTTTGCATATGAAACATATATATATATATGATTATATATGTATATTATAGGACCTTTACATATAGTACGTGCATAGTATAGTATTTAAACAAAAATACAAAACAAAATATGTAACTAGCGGCTCACCATTGCTACACGAAGCCGAACCCAAGTTGAACCTGCCGCGTCACTTCGTTAGGGTGAGATGTCCATGTTGCAAGGGTCAACTAATGCGGGGCTCTCAAAAACAACTGGATTGAAAAAATGAGAATGCCATGACTAGCCTCTGGTAAACATACAAAAAACTATGGAAAATCACCATTTTCAATGGTACAGTAAATCCACTATAAATGGCCATTTTCAATAGCTTTTTGTATGTTTACCAGAGGGTATTTGTTTTAGGGATAAATCATAAATCACCCGACCCCGGCCGAGGAGATCGGGGGAGCCTGCACAGAGATTGGGGTTTTTTTTTACCACCAGAGATCGATCCCAACAACAGCAGACCGGCGAGGATAGGGAAGCCTTATGGCATCGCCGGTGTTCGAACATCTACGATATTTCTTATGATTTTTCTTTTGAATAGAAAAAATATCATCCAGAAACAATCCGGAAAAAAAGGCCAGGCCTTGAGTCTTGAGCAGATAAAGATGATCGAAAAGGAATGGAAGAGGACTCAACTTGGCGATTTTTCTTCCACAGCACATTCCGAAAGCTCACCCCATGAGTCTCGGATCCGTTGTTTCGCCGCCACTGGACTCCTGACAGATGCAGAAAAGTGGGTTTCCCTGGAAATGATGGGGGGAAACATCATCGAAGTATCATCCTGTGACTGTTCTATCTTTTTTGGAGTGAGGATATAGTACTAGAGTATAGAGGTGACATCGGTGAAAAAAAATTAGGCATAACTCGAAGCTATGTCAATGCATGGCAAAGTTCATGGTGAAAATGAGGTGCTAAGCCGCTAAGCCACATTGTACACCACTTTCAGACAACTTGAGACATCGAAATGAATCAAAACCGTGGTTCAAACCCTTGTGTGCCAGGCATCGGTGCTAGTTACATGTGTTTGTTTGCCCAAATGACGGTTTTGTTGTTTCACTTCCCATCGTTGTTCAGCCAAGTCACAGTGGTTTTTGTTTAAAGCACCAATTGTTTCCCGCATCCACACCTTGATTGAGTCGGCTACACCACCATTTCATGTCAGTCGTTTTTCACCATTTCTGTTGGTGAAATCCCGAAATTCTTGGCGAATTCATCATGTCCGACGGTGACATGCTGGTCAAACCCACCAAAAAACCGCTCCTTCTGAGAAAGTTGTTGGCTTAGGTCGTCGTGGATGGAGCCGCCGACCTCAGGATCTGGAAAGTTGGTAAGTTCACCAGAAAAACCAATGGAAAAGTTGGATTTCAATTGGAAGTGGTATGGAATTGTTTGGGGCTTAGGGAAATGGTATCGAATATGGATATTTCAATTAAAAAATTATGGAAGTGTGTGGATTTCTGGAAAACGGAAGTGCGATGGAATCTTGATGAATTGTGTGGATTTGTTGGAAATCAATGGAGAGTTAAATGAACTTTATGTAATTTGACCAACAAAATGATCCAAAATGTTGGCTCCTTGGTGGTTCACAACCCATAGGGGTTTCCATAAATGGCTAATATACGCTTGATATAATGGTTAATCTATGGTTGATATATGGTTAATATATTTGGTTGGGAAGGATTATCCCCATATATTATGGAAAATAATCCAAATGTTCCAAACCACCAACCAGTCTAAAATGTTGCGATTTGACCGTCAAAGATTGAAATGATTCGTTTTGAAAGTCGCTGAAGGCAATGTTTGCAGGTCTTTGTTGTTGGAAAAAGGAAAATCAAACCCGCGAATCAGCATGGGGATATCATGGTATACCTCAGCAACTCAATATGATACTCGGATCTGGCCAAAAATTGTGGGCACACCCACAAAAACATGGCAATTTGGATGGGGAAAACATGATACACCTTCAAATGGAAAGGGGTTCCTTATGTTTAGACCCAAATTGATGGGGCTAAGCTGGTTTAGTTGACTAGCAGACCTCTTGGATTGATGGTGGATATACATGGATATACCGTATCCAGTCTGGTGGGGTCATAAAGTACATCAACAAACATAACTGAGGCAGGCCCCTCCCACATCTGAAATGATGAATGTAGGCTCTTTAGGGTTGAACTTTGGAACTTGAGCCAAAATGGAGATTCAACTGGCTGAAAAGAGGATTTGACCAGTTGAAATCAGGATGTAACCAGCAATGGGGAGCTGAAATGGTGGTAACCAGCTGAAATGATCTGACATGTCGGCTTCAGCAACAAGAACCTGGCTTTTGCTCAGCCGAAATGATGCTTTCCCCAACAGAAACCCGGGAAGTTAGCCATCTGAAATTGGGATCAGCAAACTTGAATCAGATTGAACCAGCATCAACCTTCGTAAGATCCAGTTGTTCACAAGGTAGATAAGCCAGACGATGATCAACAGGCCATCCTGCCCATTCAGCTTCTTCAGGTCCACTCGCCGCAGGAAGGGCGGAACGATCCAATCGCTAAGTTCGTTGATTTCACTGGGCGAAACCGGTGGATTTATGGTGGATATCTCTGGGGTGATTCACAAATCTGACCAAAAATTAGATACGTACTATAGAAACATCTACTGGTTGGTGGTTTCAACCAACCCCTCTGAAAAATGATGGAGTGAAAGTCACTTGGGGTTACTCCCAATTTATGGAAAATCATCCAGTCATGTTCCAAACCACCAAGCAGTATAAAAACGGACCAAAACGATGATGTGCTTCGAAAACTCCGCTCCCTGGAGACCAAGCTCCCCTGCCCGCAGGAAGGATTCGGCAAAGGCCTCCTCGATGACTCCCTTTGTCCTGGAACTACGGGGAACCATAAGCACTTGGAACTGGAACAGCAAGCCCAAGTATGGGTCAAAACCCTCAAAACCCTGTACCTCTGTAGTTCAGATAATAGCTGGTATAGCTGGCATAGCTGGTAGTTCTGGATGTTCATCTTCCTTTCAGAATTGTATTTATACATACATGTCTTGGAAAGACGTTTGTTTTGTGACTCATCGAACTCTGAACTTTGGCAAAGATCTTCCCGCATGTCCACAGTCATCTCAGCTCCGCGATTTATGGAAGAAGTCTGTAGCCCCAGCCAAAAACAACCATTGTTGTATGGTTGTGTCTAAAAATGGGGGGAAACCGGACAATTGTGGCATGTTCTGGGGAAACATGATGGTTAACCAATGATTCTGCACATGTTCAGACAAACTCTGGAGTCGACTATTGCAAAGGCTCCAGCTAAAAGTGGTCACGTTTTTTTTTAATCCACTAATAAACAATCCCACATATGTCACATACCATAAATGATGGGTATAGACCCGCCACAATCCCAGCCGCCTGATACCCCTCTGGCGCCAAACCTGCGCTGCCGGCTTCGCAATGGTTTCCTTTGGGGGGAGTAGTTCCTTCAATGGGAATTTCAGGATCCTAAAATGGAGGTACGTTAGTACCACATTTTAGGCCATATGAATTGTGGGGATATTCCCTTACATAGGCCTTATATATGGTATATAGTTACCTCCAATAAATCGGTTCCAGTTCGTCATGGCCATTCCTGAGTTCCTTGAAAAGGTGATCAGAAATCCAGATTTCATCTGACATGTTTTTGGGATTTTTTAAAGCCATGTTCAATGAGGTGTTTTCCCCACTTTTCAACGGCAAACTGCAACGATCCAGCTTCAGCGTCAGCCATCCACCAATGATGTTTTTTCTCAATTGTCATGTTAGAGATTTAAGACTAATTAGAGAGGTTCGAAAGGAAATGAAAACATCATCAAATTTACTAAAATGGTATGGAATCCAGTGTCTATTCATTTATCCATCCACATCCATATACATCCACCTATCTCTCCATCCATCCATCCATTCATCCGTCCGTCTGTCCATCCATCAATCCAAATGTACATGTACAGTGTAATATGTATATATATACATACATATATAATGATAGTGTGTATGTATGTGTATGTATATATATTATATATATATTATATAATATATATATATACATGACCATATTGATATAATCATATGAATCATATGCATGTATGTACATAGGTCACAAGAAAAATACAAAGTTTTCCGAGATGTTATAGGTCACCATTGCTTCACACGATCTCCAGGTGTCCGATGTTTCTTTTGTTATTCAGGGGGTGCTGTCAATCTGTGCATAAAATACATGTACATACATCTGTACTTTTTGAATACGCATAGTGTATTTGGATTTATTCAGTACATGTGGATAACCAAGATACCCAGTAAAAACAACTACCATTTGCGGATGGTTTCAATCCCACCATATCCCACCCATAAAAATCATGAATTTGGGGATGTGGCATTGGGTAAACACCACCATTCTACGTTGATAGACGCAGAATTTCAACACTCCTGGCGGATTCGGGACACCTCCAAGAAGGGGACCACATACGCGTCGAACCTCGAAAAACGGTCGGTCGGAATTTCATGAGATACCCACTGAATGGCCAGATCCCATTTACAATAGTTTATGGCCATTTATATTTTGGGAAAAGGATGAGAAACCCTCAAATTTGGGGAGATTCTGGATCTGGTAATCCAACTGGGCTAGACAATCATCGATCAATGGAGGTATAGCTGGGAAGATCATCGATTCCGATATGTTTTTTTTGGATTTTCCAAAATCCATGGGGGATACACAAAAAATTGGATGGTTTATTTCAGGGAAAATCCCAACCACAAAATGGATAACTAGAGATAGCCCGACAGAACGGAAACCTCCCGTCTGAGATGGCGAGATCTTCAGGCGAAAACGTGTAATCGTACCTGGCTGGCCCCTTGTAGGCTGGTAAATGACAACAATGAATCATGTTTCTGTGACTGGTAAAATGGGTGGCAGCTAGGGTATGATCCTTCAAAAAGCCTGAGTTCACAAATAAACTGCTGAAGAAAAGGAAGAGATTCGAGTAGAGAATCCTATCCCCACATCATGAGAAACCCGAAGAATTTCCCAAATTCTCCTCAAGGGTCTCTAAAAACCCGGAAAATGCGGATCTCTCACATGAATTGATCAGTTGAATGGGTAGATGTCCATCCATCACCTATGGATTCTCATGGACCTATCACGGATGATGTCGTGCCAGAATACAGAAAGGTTCATAGAACCAGCCATCGTTTTTTGCACAACATGTTTTTGTTCCATGAATCTAAAAGAATCCAATGCCACATGTTTTAGATTCATTTCTACCAGCTCATGGATTCTTTGAACATGATATAATTATATAAATGACCTAAAATGACTCATTTTTTGGACACTGATGACTCTAGATGCTTCAAAGAATCGGTTTCCCAAAAACTAGGTCGGACTTTTGTGCCTAGAAACTGAACATCTCATAGATTCTTTCCAACCAACCATCAGTTTCCAGAACTGCAGTCCCAGCTGCCACTTGCAGACCCGGCGCTCATAGATGGCCCACCTCGCAACTGCGGTAACTGCGGAGCCATCTGTGGCCGCGGCAGCCAAGTAACAAATGGAGCTAGCACAAAAACATCGAAAAATGATGGATATCTGATGGAAAAATGATGGATGACACTTTGACAGTTTGTGAAACCCAGTGCTGCCAGTGCTTTTAAAACGGTCCCGTTTCCAGCCATCATTTGTAGAAAACGAACCGATGTCAGGTACAATGTTACAAAAAAGTTTCTCCCAAACTTGCCAAAAATAAAGTTTCCCAATAAAAATTGCCAAAAGCTTTCCAAATACCAAAAAGTGTCCCAAGTGATTCTATATACATCATTATACATATATTATCCATATATGTTCCATAACTATTAACATATATATATATACACCAATAATATAGCATTACTATATTATACCATTCTATTATACACCATATATATATACACCATATATTATACCATTATTATACCATCAATATTGTGTATTGGCGGGTTGGATTCTGGGACATTTCCCCGGGCGATCTCCCCGGGCGATCTCCCAACTCGTTGGGTCCCAGGAAGCGCAGCCAAAGGGCGACTGGAAGAACAGCCGGGCCTTGACCTGATCAGGCGAAAACGGTAGAAATTGCCATGGGAAATGACTAAGAATGGTAATAATTTAGTTATATATATATATATATATATGGGTAAATTATAATATTTCACTAACCTGAATTAAGTCCAATATATTTATATGGCAGTGTGTCAAAACCTTGTACCCCTGTAGTGAACATCAAAATAGCTGGTAAATGGATGTTCATCCCCCTAAAAATGGTATTAATAGGTATTGATCCATAGCCATATATATATATAATATTGGTATCATTCTAATAGGATCTTGGAAATAGAATCCTTATTAAGAGATTACAAATAGTTAATGGTATTCATTGGGATGTAATAACGGATAACTCATGGATTTACTGATTTTGATTTCCAGGTTTCTCACTGAAATGGGCATCTTTGTGGGGCTTGTTATACCATGTTCCCCATGAAATGTATGAAAAAGTGCCAGGAAATTGGTGTCTTTCCCGCAAGTTGGCCGATGTATTTTTTTTCTCCCCATTTTTTTTGGATCAACACGAAAATGAAGTGATTATTTATACAGAAGATAGTAATTTGAACATGACATCCCAACTTAGGAGAGAAGAAAAAGACCGGTGTTTTCTTGGTTCTAACCTGTTCTAAGTTATAGCCTCCGGTAACATGGCGTGGAAAATCCCCCAGCCTTCGATTTTCCTAGCTATAGCCTCCATGGTGGTGTTTGAGTCTCTCGGGGGTCAATGTTCGGCAAAATCTGGTGGCTATTTTTGTTGTGGGGACGGCTTGAAAACGGGTCCGGAATTGTTTTGGGAATGATTTTTGTCCGTTTGGGATTTTTTTTTTGGATCTGCTGTTCTGTCCGTTTTCCTTGCAATTTGCAGCATTTTGGAGCTAGAAGCTGCCATTTCAACGGTATTGCAACATTTTGGAGTTCGAACCTCTTATTTTCCATGATAGTGCTCGAACGTTTCATATTGGATGGTATTTTGCAACTAGGGGCCATTTAGGGTGTGTTTAGGTTTGTTTTAGGGCTTATTTAGGATTGGTTTAGGGTTGGTTTAGTTTTATTAATGGTTGGATTTGTTGTTTTAAGGGTTGGTTTCAGGGTTGGTTTGGGTTTCTTCAGGCGCGGTTTAAAATTTATGTATGATCTATTTAAGGTTGGTTTGGGTTTTAGTTAGAGTTTATTCAGGGTTTATTTAGGTTTGGTTTAAGATCTATTTGGGGTCCGTTTAGAAATTATTTATGGCTGGTTTAGGGTCTATTTCGTGTAGGTTTCCGAGGTGTGTTTAGGGGCTACTTAGGGTTGCTTTTGTTTCTTTGGGGTGTTAGTTTGAGTTTATTTGGGTTGGTTTAGGGTGTATTTATATTGTGCATATTGGGGTTTATTTAGGCTTGAGAAGCACAAAAGCAGAAAACAGCAGAGAAGCATAACAGTGGAGAAGCAAAGAAGCAAAGAAGCAGAGAAGAAGGGAAGGGAAGAAACGCGGAAAAGCAAAAGCAGAGAAGCAGAACAGTGGAGAAGCAGAGAAGCAAAGAAGCATAGAAGCAGAAGCAGGGAAAAGCAGAAAAGCAAAAAGCAGAAATTCAAAGACGCAGGGAAACAGAAATCCAAAACAAATGCCCAAAACGGGAGAAAAATAAATCCAAAAAAAATAGCCCTCCCTTGGAAATTGTTCAACGATGAAAAGTTATAAAGTACTATATAATACCTTTTAAAAGACCTGAACATGAGTCTCTACAAGGTTGTGCCTCCCCAGCTATAAGTTGGTTTATAAACCATAGTAAATATTGATATATCTACCATAAACCATAGTTATTGGAGTTATGCTCACCAACTTAGCTAACGAACTGGGGCACCACCTTATAGTAATCCTTTAGATATGTGTTTCTGATGTGTTTCTGATCTTCCCTGGGAAAAATCTCTCCACAAGCTTGGCGCTGAGATCTATCCATCGAAATGGCAAAAACTGAAGCCATCAATCAAAAATTCTTCACGAAGTCACTTTTTTCCACCATAATGCTGTATGATGATGAAACATGATGTAGAATTATTTTAAAAAGAAATGCGTTACGATGTATAATATAATGATATAGAATGAGATAGATTCTATTTGAAAATATGTTTAGAATGGTATATGATATCAAATGCCGTGCCTTGGCTTCGGGCGCCAATTTCTCGCCCTGCACCTCAGTGCCAGCCATTCAGCCCATGGACAATGGAGGAACCAAAGGGGGACACAACAAATATCCTCTGGTAAACGTTCACATAACTATGGAAAATCACCATTTTGAATGGGTAAATTCACTATAAATGGTGATTTTCAACAGCTATGTTAGTTTACCAGAGGGTAAATCTAATAAAAACTCAAGATATTGAATGGGTAAATCAACTATATCTATGGCAATTTTCCAGTTCGCTATGTTACCAGGTTGATATCTTGTAAGCCGCCATCGCCGGTCCGAAAAAACTCCCTCCGTGATCTCTTGGTTCCATCAACCCTGTTGGAACTGGGACTCCCAAAACAGCTTCAGCGACCCAAGTAGCAAAAAAAAAAAAGAAAACTGCACTGGAACTGCACTCCAAATTTTGAAATGATTTAGATACATTGATATGTTTGATAAAGCCACATCCGAAACTACTTGTAACTTAAGTTTGGGAAATAAACGACTTTACTTAACCAAAAACTACTTATAAAATCATAGTCTAGATATCTAACCAACAAACCATCTTCAGAATTCTCCAGATTTTTGTATAGATGCCTTAGATTTGGGTTTGTCTGAAAACAAGGTACTTCAAAACCCAATGGTTTAGAAATCTTGTTTTCCCCATTCAATAAGCATTACTTGGGAGTATAATGCTGGTGAAGCAATGTCATAAACCACCCATATACTCATGGTTTTAATCGCACCCATACAAATTCTACAGTAAATTTCGGGATGTTGGATCCTATTGCTTCACTAACATTAGGTCCTATTCTATTCCCATATGGACGTTTCCTAAAATGGGGGTACCCCCAAATCATACATGTTCATAGGGTTTTACATTATAAACCATCCATTTTGGGGTACCCCCATTTCAAGAAACCTCCCTATAATCCCAATTATTATCCCAATTATCCCAATTAAAATTATAGGATAATAATTGTGATAATCCGAATATTATCCCAATTATTCAATATTATTATCCCAATATTATCCCAAATTATTCAATATTATCATCCCAATATTATCCCAATATTATCCCAATAAGATTCTCCATTCTATTCCCAATATTATCCCAATTCGCATGAAGTCCCATAAAGTCCCACCATTGGTCCGACTGGTGTCGCTGAGTTCCCCTGCTGCGTCCCAAAAGTCGAAGTAGCCGTCCGGCAGCCCAGCACCCGAGCGCGCCCTGCAACGGCCGAAACGGCCGAGTTTCGGCCCATGGGACCGAGGAATCCCGAATTTCTATGGGATTTCTATGGGATTTCATGGGATTTTTCATAGGATTCTGTAGGATTTAATGGGACTTCTATGGGATGTCTGTGGGATTTTCGTAGGTGTTCATGCGATTTCTGTAGGAATTCATGGGATTTTTGTGGGATTTTATGGGATTTCTGTCGAATTTCAATGGGATTGAGTGGGATTCAATATTGAACAACCAGGAATCATGGTGGATGTAACTACATATTATGATATATGATGTGTTTTTTTAGATGAACGCGAGATGGGGGATTGATGTGGTAAACCAGTCATAAATCAGGCATCTGGCATGGTTTACGCCATATTTGGGATGGTTCATTCTTGAGTTACCACATGACATTTGGGAACTGACCCACACCAGAGTCATTCTTAGCATCGTTCTGGCTTTGCAACCAACAAACAATGAGTCTTGAAGCTATGAATGAGGTAAATCAGAGTTGAAACAGACATCGTGGTATACCACGGACAAATTCTGATGCGTCGGAGCCCCATTTTATCCCCTTCACACGCTGCGCCACTTGGGGAAAAAACTCCTGTGTACTGCAGACTACATACCATATTCCCAATATACACTACATATTACACAATATATACTATCTATACTCATTCATAGTAAATATGCAACTATATATACTATAATACTATCTACACTATCTATATATTGGATATTCTCTACATACAGCATACACTACTTATACTATATATATATACACAATACAAACTATCTATACTATGTATGCTATGTATACTGTACGTATATACAGTATGTATAGATATATACTGTATATGTACTATAGGTACTTTACATATTATATTTGCTGCATTTACTATATTCATACTGTCTTATTCTGCATATACTCTACATATTATACATTTAAATACTACATATACTTTACATACTGTATATACTCTAGACATTTATATACGTTGTACTCTATATACTATAGACTATAATATACTGTATACCATAATATCCTATATACTATGATATACCATATAAATATACAACCACCTTCCCCCCACCCCACCCCAGGCCACAAAAAAAAAAACGTCCCCTGGGACTGAGAATGTGATTTTTCTAAATGGGTCACTTCGTAATGGTCAGTGGTTGATATCCCATTGAAATGTAGTTCTTATTTGGCATATATAACTTGGGGAATTCCATATATATATATATATGTAAATATATAGATATATATATATATGTAAATATATATATTATGTTATGTTATATTATATCATATCATATTACAGTTATATAACAGGCCGATCATGTGGCTGAATAGCCACTTACGATACCTGGGATACACCCAGTTCGTAGTTCGGAGAAGCGTCTCTTGACTAACGGCTATCTCGGTATCTCTCCATCCCTATGATCCAATGGATGATGGCTATCAGTTTTCATGGCGTAACGGCTTAACCCATGGAACTTTCCCCATGACCCAAATGTTGGCCAGGGAAAACAGAACTTATAGACATGGAGATTTCTCATGATTTCACAGCATTTTCTGTTGGCCAGATGAGAGTGCGGCAAATTAAAGCCCCGTGTGCGAAAAAAACCTCTCCGTCATTCCATCAAAAACTGCTACAAGAATTGCAATTCCATGGCAATTCCAGGTTGAATATGATAAGCCCCATTGGGTCGTACAACCCCATCACCCAACCAGGCTCGTTTTCGCCACCGCGAAACCGCGAAAGCTTCGTCGCCAAGCGGCAAGATCTTCTTCCAAGCAGTCGACCTCGACAAAACGTAGGGGTGATGGATTCACCCTATGGATTGAGACTTGGCCAGTATCTGGATTTATCCATTCCTAATAGGGATTGAACAAAAACATTGATATATGTATATATATATACATATATATATACATATATATAATATATATATATATATTGATGTATCACTGAAAAAAAAAACATAGATTGGGTGACAAAGGGGTGTTTTTTTTGGACCAGTTCAGCTGTGGTACTGAGATGATCCAACAGGCAAACTGCTGAAAAATGTGGAGAACAGCGTTGGGTGTTGCGCGTGCCTTTGCGCTGGTCAACTCAGCTCATCTAAGTTGCTTCAAGTCCCTATTATATATATATATATATACATACCCTCTGGTTATGACTAGCATAGCCATGGAAGCCATGGTGAATAGAAATAGATGGTTTACCGAACTTAAAAATGGTGGATCTTTCCATGGCTATGTTAAATAACCAGAGGGTATATACATACATATTACTACTGCTTAAATATGTGGTATGTCTGAAGATAAGGTACCCCTAAATATCCTTAAATCTATGTTGTGGGTATCCGCATTTTTTTAGACACTCCCACGTTCAGAATTCACTGTCATCAAATCGAGATTTCTCGCAGTTAAATCACCATTTACCATGGTTAAACCCCCGGTCTTGCTTCGTAAATCCTAAGATAAATAACTTATCGGTTGGATTTTATAGTTATCAGGTCCATCTTGGTAATTGAGAATATCCATGAAATCCGTTTCAGACAAAACCCAATACTAGAAATGGTAATTCATCGTAATGGCCCACAATGACAACTGGCTTTACAAGACATTGTTGGTATCTATCAGTCAATTTATTTAACCCATTACCCTCCCCGAAATCTGCATAGACCCTGAAAAAGCCGCCAAGTGATCATGAAAACTCGTATTCGACACGCTTTTTCTGGCAGGCTCCATGTTGATTTACTGTTTGGTACTCATGATAGACCCAGCATAACCCAGCAAAACGAAGGGAAAAAAACTCTAAGTGATGCTTCGATCCTATGAAATCCATGGAAATCCCAGATCTTCCCATTATAAGCACCGTCGAAACACCATAGAATTCTGCCGTCAAGTCGCTCCACTTCACCCCGCAGCTCATCCCGGGGTCCTGCCGATGCTGAAAAATCACTGGGAATATGCTATGAATATCTATGAAACTCTATGAATATCTGCAAATATCTGTAAATATGCTATGACTCATGGATTTTTGATGATTTTTTTCCCCTGACATATGCTATGAATATCTGTGAATATGCTATGGCTATGAATCTCATCGGTGTTTATCTGACATCCATCAAAATTGCCGTCCTCGGCTCGAAAGGGAGCACAAGGACCCCTCTGACTTACCGCAAATTTCATCATCTGTCATCTGTCAATGGGCCATTTCCCATAGCTATTGTATGCTATTATTAAATGACCAGAGGGCATTGTTTGATGTAAAAAAAATCATCTGAATTGCCAGAGGTTATATTCAACCATCAACCATAGATTATAGTTATAGATAGATTAATTCATGTGTGTCTGAAAATGGGCTAGCCGATAAAATTTATGTCGATTCTTCATCCACATTTTCCCCGATACCGAAATGCACGGATTTTCGTCATATTCCAAGGGACCAGAGCGAGCGAAACACCCGACCTGGTTATGACGTTCACAGGGCTAGCCATGGTTAAGCCATGGCCCTATCGAAATAGATCGTTTACCGAACTGAAAAATGGTGATGTTCTATAGCTAACCTATTAAAAATTAGCTGATTTTCCAAAAAGTTCCCTTAGGTTTCACCGGAGGGGACATGTACCATCATTTACCCTCTGGTAATTTAATGTAGCTATTGAAAATGGCCATTTGTAGTGGATTTTCCCATGAAAAATGGTGATTTTCCATAGTTATGTTAGTTTACCAGAGGGTACCAACTGCCAAAGTCCGGATCATCTCAAGCCATGAAAGCACTGTGACTTGGGTTGCGTCGTGAAGCTGATCTAGGTACCGGTCGGATTCACATATGGGCCGATTTTGTGCTTACAAACCGGCAATGGGGCTTATTGGGAAAGTACCACTCTGACGTAATGACAAAATCAGGAAGTATATATATATGATTATATATGTATATATATTGGCCGGATTGAAAAAAAACAATTTACATCAATTGACCTACTGGACCTATGGTTCGGAGGCTCAAAAAACGCTGCTTCTCATCGCCAAAATTCCTTCCCGCCCCGGTTAGAACGGGGGGCCCCAACTTCGGATGGACCAACATGGCCAAAAATCCATCCCATAGCCATATGCGAACCATGGTGCTGCAAGATTTACCAACATTTGCCCGAACAAAATCAACCAGTTTTGTAGGTAAAGATTCTATAGATGGAGCATATGGGATACTGTACATTTTGTGATTTCTGGAGGTACATTAGTCTCAAAGTTGTTCGTCGCCATCATTACAAAGGGGCCGACATCGCAGTCGTCTAGATTTGGCATTGAAAATTGGGACGAAAAAAAACATGGCTTAGAAAATGTATGAAAATGTCATTCTTGACCATGGGAAAATGACTCCATTGGGTTTTTGAAAATGTGATACCCCCATTTTGGTCCCAAATCTGATGGTTCATGATCATTACCCCTATAAAAAATTGCCACTTGCTTACACATCATGTTCAGACTCCGAAAATTCTCGGAGCCAGAACTGTTGGCCAACACAGAACCGTCCTTCTTCTGCACCTGTCACCGCTGAAAATTTGGAGGATCCCTCACCAGAATCTTTGGGAAGTTGATGAGGTTACGGTGGTGCCCCAGTGAGCTGTTCACGCGAAGTTGGGGTTCACATAACTCCAATTTCACGAAAAGGTTGATGGTCGGTACCTATATCTATAGTATCTATAGTTCATGGGCTTTATAAACCAACTGAAAAAACTCAACAATTTCACGAAAAGGTTGATGGTCGGTATATATATCTATCTATCTATCTATCTATCTCTCTCTCTCTCTCTATCTATCTATCTATACGCCAACGATGGTTTTTATAAACCAACCTTCACATCACTGGAAAACCACATCACGAGGTCCATATGCATCACCTGCTGCTGGAGACCTGGATTTTCTGCGAAACCTTGATGACCCTTAGATGTGCGTTTGAGTGGTAGATCAAGTTAAACGTGATACAAAAAAAGTGTGCATATAAATATAGAAATATCATATGATATATATATAATTATATATAATGTGTGTATATACATACAAATCATATACATATCTTATCTCTAAACAGAAATATTTCTGAGATAGTACGCTTCATCTTGTATCTGAGACTGTAACTTGGTGATATCATTTCGTGTTCTTTCAATATCAGCTTCTAAAAAAAGTAAAGATTGTGGAGCAGGAGCGTCCACAACAGAATGAATGTTTGATGATTAATTAATAAACTCAAATAACTGGTACGACAGTCAACTAGACAGGAAGAGCACAAAACGCATTAATGCAACAAAAGTTTGGATACAAAATTTTAAAAGGAAAACCTATGTTTTTTCTCAATTCTGGTGGAGATCCGACGGAACCACATGTGTATCCAGGTGATTGGGGTTGCTGATCATCCTTTCATTCTTTGTGTTTACCATTGGAATACGCAAATCCCAGATGTTGGACAAATTCTTCCCTCGAAGCCCGTGCTAGTCCAAAAATTGATATGGCGTTGTCTTAAAATGGGGTACTGTTCGTAAAGCAACAGGATCCACCATCCCCAAATCTACCATAAACGGGTGGGATAATTAAAAAAAACTCAGAATATGGGTGGTTTATCATTGCTTTACTAACATTCCGCACCCCGTGGTTTGCCCAGACTACAACATTGAGGATACCCTATTGTCGAACATGATGAGAGAGATTGCAGGAAATACTGCGTATAATTACGCAGTGTTTTCTGCTGCTGGAAATACCAAAACACTGGCCCTGCGCAGGTATTCATGCATTTCGAAGGATAATGTTTGAACACCGTTTCAACCTTCCGGGCAAACCATGGGGGCTTGCCGTTCTACCTAAAATAGCCACTGAATCTGGAATATATATATATATATCAATTAACTAATTAATTAATGGATTTAGGGTCGGCCCGATTGGAAACAGCTTCCATCAACAGTGCATGCATAGTTGATATATCCCCAATGATGTGCAATTTTTAGGAGGGAAAATGATGATCAACCGCTGGAGGGGAACTTCTCTTCAGACAAACCGAGAAAGGTTTGTTGAAAACAGGACCCAAACCCATCTCACCAACCTCATCCCCCAAAGAAGAACTTCTCCCCACGCGGTTTCATCTTCCAAAGGTCTGCTGTCACTACATCCATGGTGATTTTTCAACCCCAGGTCACCAGGTCCCATGTCGCAACGCGACGCGCGTCCCACCTGTCTCGGCAACGCCGGCGTTGGCGCTGCTTGTCTTGGCAACGTCGGCCACGTCGGCCACGTCGGCGTCCTGGGATGATCCGCTATAGCTACGTCTTGAAGAAGTTGAACACGTCGAAAAATGGGAAATGAATGAAATGAACCATCAAAAATGAGCTGATTGCGATCGCGGAGAACAATGAAACTCAAGTTCCTAGGGTCATTTTTCGGTGTTCCCCAAGTGGTTTCACGAGGTGCGCATTCCTGTCCTTGACATCACTTGAGCCGAGGAATTTGAACAAAATTCTCATATCAACAACTAGACATTCCTAGAGTTTTTTAGAGATTACAAGGGAAAATCAGACTGCATCTTCGACCCCAATGTGGGTATCCACCTTCACCTTCCGCTTGAAGTTCACCGTGAAGGTGGCCTTCGCAGCGTTGTCCATAACAAGTGGCGAAGTGTTTCCAAAAGGGACCTGGACCTTCAAGAAAATAACTTGGATCAATGGGAGATCTTCAGGATCCAATTGATGGAGGGACCTATATACCACATATTTTAGGCCTATTTTTTAGGGCTAAATTTTAGGGGATATACCCCCAAGTGTCTAAAATATGGTACGTAAACCGTACCTCCATATCAAAGGATCCTGGAGATCTCCCATTGATTGGAAGAAACCTCCAACCAGTTCGAAGTTCGCAGGTCAAGAATTCCTCTTCGATCCCTTCCGGCCCTGAGGGAATTCCTTGGGTTTGCCAAGCCCAAAGCCAGGTTGATATGGTTTGAACTGCCAAGGTTATCAAACAATTCTGTGGATCATATGTTTACATTTATATTCTATTATGTACATGTCATATCCCCGCTCTATCGCATTTTTTCTGCAGTACCAGTTAAATCATGTTAAGTCCAAAGTGTGGATGGTAATCTAGCATCACTAATATTGATATGTCCAATAGATGGTGGTTAAATCCCCTATGATGTCATTCTGATTCCCTATCATTTGTTCAGTGATGATGGTGTTTCAATCAGAGGGAACCTCACCAACTAATATACCATATGTATCCCGCAATATTATAGTTCATATTATATATATATATAATATACATTAGTTTGATATATCCTAATCATCCCAATTATCATCCATGAATTCAACCAGATTATCATAACTTATCATTAATATCATTTATATTTATATAACCATCTATACTAACCATATGTTAACCCTATGGCCCTATATTAGAACCAATAAAAGCCGCCACCCCCGCCATGTCTTCCATGAAGCCCTCTTCCAGCTTTTGGGCTCTCAGGGTTTTCTCCTTGGAGGCCTGGAAGAAGGTGTCAAAAAATGGGTGGGTTCACGGGTTTCCACCATGAAAAAAAATTGGGGCTGAACCACGGAAATGGAGATTGAACCATCAAAAATAAAGATTGAACCATGAAAAATGGAGATTTTACCATGAAAAACTGGTATTGAACGAGGAATTCGCCAACACTTACGTGTGATACGTGAAAATGGGGGGGATTGACCCCCCAAGTTATGGACATAAAATCGGAAAGATGTTGATCCACCTGATGGAATGGGCAATTCCGAGGCTGGTCTCTGGAGGATTTCAAGGGATTCATAGACCTTGTTATGGATCTACAGGGCTGGTGGTGGTGGTGGTGTTGGCCGAGTTAATCATTTTTCAGTATTCCTGCGCCATGGCGGCAAGCCACGGAAAGGCGCCTCACAGGCCCGGAGGGCATAGGAGGCTGCCTCCCGGGGAGAACACCTCAGGTGATTTTCCACGCAAAGCGCGATGGAACATCAGCATTTTTCATAGGTAGCCTCTGGTAAATTAAGATAGACCCTGGCAGATAGGGGTTGGAAGACTAGTTTCCATTAAAAATTGGTGATTTTCAGGGTCTATGTTAATTTTCTGGAGGGTAAATCATAGGTAAATCATCATCTGGTTGGTGGTTGACCTACCCCTCTGAAAAATATGAAAGTCAAATGGGAGAAAGTCAAATGGGAGTATTATTCCCAACATATGGGAAAAAAAATGTTCCAAACCACCAACCAGTCATGTTTCTCATCGGTATAATGGGCCATGGCTTCCGTAGCCATGTTTTTTTGAATAACCAGCGGGTAACATCCTATTCGACGAGTGATAAACCATGTTTCGTGTTTTTTTTTGTTTCGGTAGTTCCTGTTGTGATTCTGCATTATTGTGATCGGTGTAATAAGTGTTGTAATGATCACTATCACAATGATGATATAATTCACATCGTTTTGTTTCACTACTAATATATAATATCATTATTTATCATTACCAGTCAGTGTTATGTCTATAATTAACTAGCTTTATTGTTGGTATTGGATTCTTTATCTTATTACATTTACATATAGTCACTTGGGACTCGGATACTTGCAACCTAAACACTTCATCAATTGGGACTCCCGAAGATTGGGAACGTCCTAAGTCATGGGGGGTAGCCATAATAAATCATCCAAGTCATGGATGACCATATGGAAAAACATATATAGTTATACGAGCTTTTTTTAGTTATAAGTAGATCATAAACCATAGTTATAACATATACCCTCTGGTTATTTAACATAGCCATGGAAAATGACCCATTTATAGATGGTTTACCTATTAAAAATGATGATTTCCCATAGCTATGTTAAATAACCAGAGGGTATATATATAAATAAACCATAGTTAATACTATATAGTATTGCAACCCATGGAAAAAAAGGTGGTATCAAATCTCTAAGGTCATGGCGATGGAGGCGCTGCCAGAACCTGGCGATCCAGCCGCCTTCTAGCGGTACCCAAAAAAAGGCAATAGTTCCTATATGGGATTTAATGGTGATTTAATGGGATGTTTGTAATCAAGAATATGAAGTTGGGGTGATATACCCTCTGGTAATTTAACATAGTTCTTGAAAATCACCATGTTCGATAGGTAAATAATCTATACATGGGCCATGTTCAATAGCGATGTTAAATTACCAGAGGGTATATGTCATATACTAAACCGGAATGTCCAAGAAAAAACATCTTCATCAAAAGAACTCTACTTCGCAAACGGAACCGTTCGCAAAATTCGTTCATGGCGAATTTTCCCAGATCACCAACGAAAAACCAGAGGTTTTCTCTATCATCACTTGGAAAATGTCATGGGGATACGGCAAATAATGTCATCACGCGAAAACCCGAAATTTTGCGCATGAACAAGTCGCCAGGTCGCCAATGAGAGCGATGTTTCTATTCCAAACATGGCCAATGTTCGACACCAAATCCCGAATTAGAATGGTGAGTACCCCACATCTTCCCATTTAATGTACTTACCCAGCCCCAAGGTTTCCCCTCGGAAACTCAGAAGCATGTGTAGTTGCCATCATCGCTGCATTGCTGGTTACATTCCCAATTTCCGCATGATTGACTGTGGATATTAGTCCTTATATTCACCTAGAACAATCCCTTTGAATCTTCCTTTGGTCGGTTAAACTCCCTAGAAACATAGGTTTGAACTCAATGTCTTTTGATGACCCCCTATTTCTTGGGTGGTATACTTGAATAGATCCCAAGTGTTCTTGGCTGACTGAACTTATACAGCCATTTTTTCTGGTGACAAAAACCAGCATTTCTGTGGCTTAAATCACCAGATGTGTTGCTGAAATGAGCGGTTCTCCTGCTTAATATAATCTTAAATCATCATATAGGTAAATCACCATTTTTTCATAGGTAAATCACCCGTGTTCCTGTTTGAAACATGTTGAAACCACGGATTTTTTCCCCTTTCTCCCAACTGCGCGGCTGCCTCCTCCTCCTCTTGAGCTTCTGCCTCGGGGAGCTCTGTGATACCTGGTGCAGCTTCAGGGATTTGATGGGGATTTTATAGGGATCTTGTTGGGATTTCATGGGACTTTCTAGGCTTTGAATTGGGATTTTCTGGGATTTTATAGGATTTGATAAGGATTTGAGAGAAGTTTTTTGCGGGATTGTTGTAGGGATTATCAGATTTAAACCTCAACATATAGGGATCTTAGGGATAACGACTCAGATTCAACCTGTGGGCGTTTGACTTTTCGGATGAATGCTGGGATTCAGGACCGAAGTTAGAGGATCGAGGGTTTTGGCAGGAGCCAACGGTATTTTTATACGAATGGAATACTCGGATTTTATAGGGATTTCATGGGAATATCATATACTAGGAAATCACATGTTTTATAGTATTTTGGAGATGTCCTAAATCATGGGGGTACCAACAATCATCCAAGTCATGCATGACCATATTGAAACATATTAAAACCTGTGGTGACGACTTTTGAAGAAACCCACAGGTCAACATAACTGTCAACATGACTTGAGGGTCGTAACTATCGGATTTTGTTTGAGGTCAATGGTTAGTGAAGTATGACTTAACAACGACCAATGTTTGGACAAGTTATAGTAGATGGTTAAATCAAGGTTTAATCCTTCAATGATTTTTACTGCTTGAAGATCTTTTTTCAACCGCCTAAAAAATGTCGAGCTGTTTGATGCTTAGGATTCGCCCTTCTTCTTGTGGTTGTTGATGGTGAAAAAAATGCGATTGATGATGACTATTGATGACTTAATTACCATTAATATTATATATTCAATATAATATTCTTATCTTAATAGGGCTTAATAGGACAGGGAAAATTTTCCAGCTGGTTACAGTCATAAGCCCCAAAGAATTCTTGCGTCACCGGTCAGTGGATCGAATCTTGGCGCGGTTTGTTGGATCGTTGGATCAGAAAATCACCGGATGCTCACTGCTCACCCACCCATAAAAGAAGCCCACAATGTCAGTGTTTATTGAGTTTACTGGTATTTGTGGTGTGAAATGCACTAAGAATTGAGGTGGTTCTTGATTAGACCTGCGTCTAAGTAGTATATTTGTGGATGCTTACAAATGATAATAGTGCCAAATTGCATCTGTGACCAGGAACTATGCACAGATACTATCTGGCATCAAGGAATATATTTTCTTTGTGTGGCATGAAAACCTCAAGATGGGTAGCATCTCTTGTATAAAAGAAATGCTATGAAGGCCAAATATAACTCAGGTAAACAGGATGAAGATGAAGGCATTGTGGAGTTTTGAACAATTTGTTGCCAAGCCGCAAAGAATCGTCAGGTTAAGAATCTACCATCCAACTTAATGCCTTTGCATTCACCTGTGGGGCTGTTGGGCAAGCCTTGGTGTATCAAAAACAACCCAGACTTATCAAACGTTAATCATATCATGTTTCAAAGCATCCAGTTGCAGTGATCAAAGACCCTGAACCGCTCAACTTTCAGCATCTTTCAAGTTTCACAACTCCCCATCCCCATCCCATCCCCCCATCCACCGCCGCCTTGTTTCAGCAACAGCTCCGCTGTCTCCGAGAGCGACGCCAGCGTCAGCGGCAGCGAGGACGTCAGCGTCAGCGGCATCGAGGCCGTCGCCGCGTCCGCGGGGCGGTCCTCGCTGGGCTCCACGACGGCATCGTCCTCGAGCAGCTCCTCTTCTTCGCCCTCCTCGGGTGCAAGCCGTGCCGTGGCGACGTCCACCGGTTCCACCTGCAAGGTGAAACTGAAAAGCACCAGGACGGTTTGAGTTGCTTGGGGGAGTTGGATTGAAAGGGACAAAAAAAACATGATTTTTCGGTGGCACATGGAGGATATCAAAGCTCCAGAAGTTGGTGAGGAAGAATTCATGTTGGACCATGGCCATGTTGGATGCACCAGGTCTCTGCAGGCTTGGAAACTCGGGACTAACCCACCCTTTGGTATGAAGAACGACCCTTTGGTCTGTCTGAAAATCGTGTACCCCCAAAATGCCATGTGTTTTTTCATCATCTTCCCCTTCAAATGGCCGCCGGTATTTTGAATGTATTGGGCCTGAATTGAAGGGAGAAAAATCCTATCAAACCTTATAAAATTCCTATCAACCCCTGTAAATCCTTTTGAAATCCCTCTTTAGAACCCCTATCAATCACCGGAAAAAAACAACAGATTTGTCCCGCCCTTTCCGCTGCAAGGGTGCCTCTGTGGTCTCTTCACGGAACCACTTCTTATTCACGTACCTTACCAACCTGAGGATCAGAGGTTGATACATGGCTTTGTAGATGACATAGATAACGACCATTAACCATTGACCGTCGCCACCAGCACCAGAATGATATTCATGTTCATGTTCTTCCCATCATTCATCGTCATTGCCTTCCTCATTGCCACTTTCTTCGTCTTCCTCATTGTTTTTTCATCCTATTTTTCTTCTTCATCATATTCGTCTTCATCATGACCCATACCCAAACATATGTCATTGGTCCCTAAAGTCAATAGGTGGTAATGCTCATCTTAGGTCTCTGCCCTGGCTGAAGGATCGTCTCAGCAATGGTGAGATCATATAAAATCGAGATCTTGATCAAAGACTGCTGTTCTTCAATATCTTCAATCAAGACCTGGAGTATACAATAATGATCACCACATTCACCACAGCCACCAGAAATTTACAGATGGCCAAATAAAACAACGGTCTCTCCCAGCATTTTCAGCTCCTGAGTCTCCCAGCATCTCTAGGGGGTCGTCGCTCAAGGTACCTACACCATTGGCCCAAAAAACTCGTTGGATCCAACGAAGCTCAACGAATCCCTGGATGAGATCAACATTTTTTCATCGATTTTTCACCCAAATGAAAAATAGAAAATTGCCATGATTCGCCATGGGATATTATATATAACATTAACTTGGGAAGATAGAGTGAATAGATTATTCCTCGAAGATAGAGTGTAATAGAGTTGCTATTTGAGTAGCATTCACTTCGATCTTTTTGGCCCTGAACAGGTCCCCCGGGTGCCCCATTCCATTGGTGAATTTTCCAAAATGAAGTTACTCATCCACTACTCATTGCTTAAAAAATCGTTGATCCAAACCCAAATTTGTAGTAATAATGAGTATGATGAAAGTATAACCAGAATCAATGAGTTGATCAGTAAAAATTCCCCCCCGGTTATACTTTCCCGAATTGTCATCCAACCCTCTAGGAAACCACAGGGAGAAAACCGGCGCGTTTGCGGGGAATAGTTTGGAAATCAAATGTTCACGTCACCTCCATCTTTGGTCACTCGATGTTTTTCGATCTCATTTTCTATTCAGACATTTTTGTTTGGTTTGTGGGTTTGTCTCAAAATAGGCTACCCTCAAATCCAGAGGTTTACCAGCACTTTCCGTATCAACATGTCATATTTTGCGGATGTACAACATTTTCAGACACACCCAAATATCATATCACGTTGGCTATATCCCATTCTATTCTCACTGCAGTTTTCCCTACATCCCCAATGTATCACCATGTATGTTGGTTTTATATCCGACGTGCCCCGTTCTTTTTGTGTATGTTGATGGTTTTATCGTCTATCGCCTTTGAACCACCAGTTTTGAAGGTTAAATTCCAAATGTTCATGGTTGACTTCCGATTTTTCATGGATAAATCTCTATGTTTCGATGGATAAATGTCCATGTTCCGTGGCTAAAAGCCTATTTTTCATGCTTGAAACTGTGAAACCCCGATTTTCCAACGTTCCAACCGCCCGTGCTTCAATCCCTGCCGTTGCCTTCGTTGCCGCCTGCACCAGGAATTTCCTCAAGAGCCAGAAACTCAGGAAACAGCTAATGGAATTAAAAAAATAATGTATTGGATCCAGTAGAATACCAATTCTATCCAATAGGCTAGATACATCCAATACATACATGATATAAAACAGCTTGTCCTTTCATCCCTTGTGTTCAATACCTATCTAGAACTTCTTGAATGTATTGGATCTATATATTTATGCAATAGGATCCCTTTGTCATCGTAATTGACGTTAGGGGAATTCGATGGCCAAGCCATCTTGGTGTGTCAATGCTTCTAGACCCAAACGAAATGATTCCAACCCTCCAGGGAAGATCGCTTTTTTCGTGGGCCACGAAAATGGTCAGAACTGGGTTCCAGGAAGTGATTCCAAGGTCATAACTTGGATCATACCAGGGCTGTGGTGAGCATAGCCGGCAACCTCGCTGGGTACTACCATCCTCACGCCCGTTGACCGCTTCCAAGCGCCGTGGGAAGTCCACGCTGTCACTCCAGCGGAAAAGGGTTGCAGGTTTGTTTCCTACACACACGATGTAAATGAATCTGAACTGTAGGTATCTTTTGTATTCTTTGTATATGTGTATGGAACGTGTTAAAGTTACTTGAGAAGGTCAAGAGCCTAGCATCAAGAGCATGTTTAAAAGCTTCTTGAGAGAGTTAAAACCGTAGCATCAAGAATGTGTTCAAAAAGTTCTTGAGGAAGTTAAGAGCGTAGCATCAAGAACATGTTACTGTTAGAAAGTTATTTGAGAAAGCTAAACCGACCGCCCCCACCCCAACCTCCATTCCCCCCACCCCAAAATAATCATATGATTATGCGTTGACAAGTTTTTTTAAAAATGCACAACATCTCTGAAACCTGCATCTCAGACATGAGACATGAGGAACGAATTATGGTCGCTACAGCTGGCGCGAGCATAAACAAAAATAGTACCCTCTGGTGATTTAACATAGCCATGGAAAATGGCCCATTTATAAATGGTTTGCCTATTAAAACCTCCATTTATAAGGGATTTTCCATGGCTATGTTAAATAACCAGAGGGTATCTATGTTCATAAAATGTCCTTTCATCTAAAAAATCATTTGCAGCTTATTTCGAAAAAATCAGGAAATCACATTTATCTGCAAGCCTTTGTCATATTCCAGGATAATTTCAAACAAAGAGAGCAACTATTGACAATGAACAAGTATATTAATGAAAATAGGGTTAATAGGGTTGAACTATAGTAGTATCATTTTAATTGACATTGAAAATATATTAACTATTGACAATAGGGTTAATTGATGCCTATATTTTTGTCCGTCTTCTGTCGCTGAGTCAGATTTTTTGGTCCATGTTCCAAATTGTTCCGAATTGCCATGTTGGATTGCTAGAAGGTTGTACAGTCACTCTGAAAAAATCCATTTGGGTATGGATCAATACCTATTAATACCATTTTTAGGGGGATGAACATCCATTTACCAGCTATTTTGATGTTCACCAGGGGTACAAGGTTTTGACACACTGCCATTTATTGGAGGTACCATTAGGAAAAATTATCCGGGCTGTGCCCAGCAATATCTGGAAAGGAAACTCTACACAGACAGAGTGCCTCAAGAAAGAACTCGCTTGGACCCCTTTCATGTCCGAAAAATTTTGAAACTGAAAACACACCCCAATATGTGTCGGTTGTGTAGGTGATGGGACCGAGTGGCCAATGGGCCGCTGCCAATCCCCCGCTTGGATGCTCTGCATCCATATCCATCCATTGATGCCTCTGAGTCTATCACATGTTTAATGTGAATCTATGATCAATATTAGATCTGTTGTTTCTGTATGAAAATATTACAGTATTGATATTAATGTTGATATATTCAACAGTTGGTTGACCCATATTTTGCTAGATGACTCGCCAGTGAAAGCGCGCCACTAATCTGGCTGTGAGCTTACAAATCCGCTGGCTGATGATGTTCCACGGTTGATGACACAACGGAGGGAAGAAAAAAACACCAGTATTGTCCCATTGTCCCATCAATCCATTGATATTCTATTTATATCCCATTTAAGTTGGTCAAATCCAATTTATGTTTGTATTCCCATTAATATTCCATTCACTATCTATGAATATTCCATGTACATCCCATTCATGGTCAATATTGCATGAACTATCTATTACTAATATTGGTTAATATGTCATTATATAATCTTCCACAAATCTCATGAAACATTACACTCTGACAAATTAACATAGACCCTGAAAATCACCCGTTTTGAGTGGTTTCACTCATCTTCCAACTCCGATGAATGCCAGGGTCCAACTCTTAATTTACTGGAGGTTGATTTTGCTGTCTATGAACGTCCATTGTGTTCCCAACAAACCATAAATCATCCACATTCCTCATCAGTTCATATTCCATTAATCATTCACTCAACATCAATCATTCATTCACCATCCATGAATCATCCATGAATCAATCATCCATGAATCCATTGACCTACCCTCTGGTAATTTGTGACATAGCTATTGAAAATGGCCATAGAAATAGTGGATTTTCCCATTACAAATTGTGATTTTCCATAGTTATGTTAGTTTACCAGAGGGTAACTCACTATTCACTATCTATTTATCTATGAATTTCCCATGATCCAACCGAAAGCTGCGATGTTCTGTCCCTGAGGCACCCGGCTCCAATCTCAGTGGCCTCAGTGTGTGTGCCACGGAAAGCGCGTGGCATCGAGCGGAAGTCATGGGGGATTTCTAAGGTTTGAATGATGTTTTAATGGATTGATGGAGCGTATATAACATATAATCATATAATATAATATAATGTTTTAATACATATAATACATATAATACATATAATACATATAATATAATATATAATATATAATATATAATATATAATCCATCTTGTTGAATGGAGTGATTTTTCCAAAATCATGAAGATCTTTACTGGGATTTACTGAAAAAAAAAGTGGGATTTCAATGGGATTGAGTAGGATTCAATGATGTCTTTAAAGAGGATGTTACTCATCAACAATATGAAGATGGGGTGATATACCATCTGGTAAGTTGTCACAGTTTGCAAACTGGAAAGTCACCGTTTTTTCAGATATAAAATCATCGAACTATACAAATGTACCATGGCTTCCATGGAAAAAGTTCAACCATCTCTGCAATACCTATGGGTCTCTTTTAAACAAATGGCTTGGTGTTTCCATTTTGTTCACCAGCCAAATTCTGCTTGTCTTCCGTGATGGAGGTCCACATATCATCTGGTTTCCAGAATCAGCCAGGGTGGCTATGGAGGATTGGCAGGCCAAGAGGTCTTCTCCTATGCCAAATTGGCAGTTTACTTGGGCATATCATGATAAAGCAACTATTGCAATCTCTTAAATGTGTCTCAAACATCATGAAACCCCAAAAAAAAATCCCCAAAGTCTTTAACAGTTATTTAACAGTTAACAGTAATTTAAATAGATTCAATAGTTACTTTATCATATACCCTCTGGTAAACTAACATAGCTATGGAAAATCACCATTTTTAATGGGAAAATCAACTATAAATGGCCATTTTCAATAGCTATGTTAAATTACCAGAGGGTAACATTGCTTTCCGAGTCGACTATTAACAGATAGAGTAACGACTGCTGCCTTCGGCATCGAGGCTCCCCACACCGCTGTGATGCCGCTCGTCATACTGCCGTCGCACCTGTCGGTACCTCTGAGAGGCGTCGCTTGGCGTTTTTTCGAAGGTGGTTTTTAGCCAACACGCTTTACCCAGTTGGAGTTTTTCGCAATCTTGGGAGTTTAATAGGAATTCTTGGGATTTAGTGGGAGATTTATTGAGAGAATTGTGGGGAGAATCTTGGGATATATTGGGATATGTATACATACATATATATATATATATAATTATATAATTATATATATATAACTAGACACATATAACTAGCAAGTATGATTGTTGTGTGGTTTATCATTGGAAAGTAAGCATGATAGAGAATGTGGGTGATATGATACTAACCCATCACATTGGGGATGGTTTTAAAATGGGTTGCCACATTTACTACAGATAGATGGCAAACCCTTTGCCGCGGTCCCAAATCATGGCTAAGCAACCAAAACATGGGAGAGCTGGGGGTTCACCAACCAGAAATTGGCCATCACAAGCGACAAAAACATACAAAAACATACAAAAACATATGCTGGTTATCTTGGATACTCACCACCAAAGACTGAATCCTAATCTTTAGTTGGTTCATCTATTTTCCCATCAAAATGGGATTCAGAAGCTGCTGACTTACCTTCAGGCCGAGCTTTGATTGCTGTGAAATATGTGATGAAGAGCAGTTTTGGACACCTATACTTCTCTGTGATTTTTCTTTGAGATCTACAGCAAACCATGGCTTCCTCTTGAAATATGAGGCTTTCCTCCAGAGGTCCCTTCAACAAAAAGTCTGAAAATAATCTTGTTTTAATATAATAATGTGGTTAAAACACCATTTATGGTGATTTGGGTCATGGTTTATTATTGGTTTGTTTTAACCACATTACTCCAAAAAAGATATGAAAAATGCTGGGCTATTGCTATCCTTTTTGGGGCGGTTGCCTTGAACCCCGCCGTGCCCCTGCTGCAGCCGCGCACGCGCTGCGCCACCAAAGCATGGGCTGCGCGGTGGCCAAGACCTTCCCCAGCCTCAGGCGCTAGGGAAATGGGCGAAATTTTCAGCAATATTTTCATGGGATATTTTCCTCTTATGCTGATGGATGATTCATGGTTGATTGATGGAATATGAACTGATGATTAATGGATGATTAATGGATGATTAATGGATGATTAATGGATGATTGATGGATGAATGGATGATTGATAATTGATGGATGATTAATGGATGATTAATGGATGATTAATGGATGATTAATGGATGATTAATGGATGATTAATGGATGATTAATGGATGATTAATGGATGATTGATGGATGATTAATGGATGATTGATGGATGATTGATGGATGATTGATGGATGATTAATGGATGATTAATGGATGATTAATGGATGATTGATGGATGATTAATGGATGATTAATGGATGATTGATGGATGATTGATGGATGATTAATGGATGATTAATGGATGATTAATGGATGATTGATGGATGATTAATGGATGATTAATGGATGATTAATGGATGATTAATGGATGATTGATGGATGATTAATGGATGATTGATGGGAATTATTCATGGGATAATCATGGGAAATCCATCCCTGCAACAGTGTCAGAAAAACCGTGACTGGCTGGAAAATTCATCAAACTGAGACGCACCTCGAAGAAGATCCTCCATGTGGGAAAAAAAGGTTAGTTTCCTTTTTTAAAAAAAGTGCAAGGAAAGAATAGATGAAGCAACCAGTGGTGGTGATAGGTAATTCGAGAACTTCACCCCTTATGACTGGGGTATGTATATGTATATGTATATGTATATATATATATATGTGTATGGATGGGTGTGTATATATATATATATAGTATATTGTATTGGTTATGTAACCCAATCGCCATCACCATCTGATCGATTTTTCCATATTTCACAAAGGCTGATCCTGGAAGGTAGCTGCTAAGCGGGTGACATAGTCCCATCATAGAGATATATATATATATAGAGAGAGAGAGAGATAGATAGATAGATATGTCTATATAAATACATATGTATAATCTCCTACTCCTATCTATAAGTAAACTCTATGTATGTTGGATGTATATATATATATAACCATGATGTTTGATCACCCAGTGGTTAACAATACATGTTCCCAAATCCCAAAGCTACGAAGCTACCGGCTATTCATCCAGGTACCGGATGCATCCAGGTGGTTGTCCCATAGACCGCTAAGTTGGTGTATGACTGGATTTGTGTAATTCGGGTTTGTGATTTTGATAACTCTAGTTAGTTAGATGGGGAAGCAAGTCTGAGTCAGAACTATTTAACCTTCACCTAGATATTGGTTGGTTTTAATCAAGTTAACCCTGATGATTAACCTTTAGTAGCCCTCACTATCAATCCAGACAAACAATAACCCCATAGGGTAACAAACTGGTTTAAAGGAAATTATTCTATATAATGATGTTCAATCTGTTGCAATCGCTGTTCCAACTTGTTTCAACTATGTTCTCCAATAATAATTCAATGAGCTAATAACGCTAATTATGCAGTTATTGGGCTAGAATCACTGCTTATAAATCATGAGTTGGAAGTCATCACTATATTTAAAGGATGGTCTGAAAATAGCTTCCCAAATCTGCATCATCCCAGAAACATGGCTGCCATGATGTGGGGGTCTCCCGATTATCCGTTGTTCATGGCTTTGATCCCAAGCGTTGATGGTTCTGTCGGAGATAAAACCCCCATGTTTGATGGTAAATATTTAGATAGGGAAATCGATAGGGAAATCCTTACTTTCTACATACACATTCTGTACAAATATATACATATGTATGTATGTATGTATGTACGTACGTACGTACGTACGTACGTATGTATGTGTGTGTGTGTATGTATGCATGTATGTATGTGTGTATGTGTGTATGTGTGTATGTGTGTATGTGTGTATGTCTGTATGTATGTATGTATGTCTGTCTGTCTGTCTGTATGTATGTATGTATGTATGTATAGTATAGTATAGTATAATATAATATAATATAATATAATAAATTAAAATGAAATAATATAATATAATATAATCAATTAAAAGGAAATAATATAATATAATATAATATAATATATTATAATATAATATAATATAATATACACTAAGGTAAAAGTAGATGGCTCAACTCCAAAACCAAAATACCCACAAGATGGCACCGCGCGCTGAGAAAGAAAACGGCGCTATTTTAGCTGGAACATAAAACGAGGTCCGCCAATTGAAGAAAAAATCGCCCTACTTTAAAATGAAAGGTAGATGGCGCAACTGCCACTCCAGTAGATGGATATAAGGGTATTGTTAACTAAATTCACTACATTTCCTATCATTTTTGCTTGTATATACGGTGAAATTGCACGAATTTGTATTGTATAAAATGAGTTACGCCATCTATGTCCTTGGGATAACTCTGATCGATGTGGCATATTTTGGTTAGGTTGGTTGATGGATGTCGGGAGATATGAGGGAGTTGCGCCATCTACGTGTGCATTTGCAACCTGATTTTGGCGAATGAGTGGGAGTTGCGCCATCTATGTCCCTGAAAATGACCTATTTTTTGCAATCGTCTACGCTCTGGCAATTTGCCACTTTGCTTGGCCCCGGAAAACGGACCCCACCAAGTCCCCCGAAAAAGAATTTTTTCCTGAGTTTGCCAAAGGAAACTTGACACTTGGTGGGGTCCGTTTTCCGGGGCGAACCCAAGTGGAAAATTGGCACTGCGCTGGTTTCCCCCCATTTTTTTTCTCAACATCAAGCTGCCTTTTTGGGCATAGATGGCGCAACTCCAACTCGTTCGCCAAAATCAGGCTGGGAATGCCCACATAGATGGCGCAACTCCCTCATATCTCCCGACATCCATCAACCAACCTAACCAAAATATGCCACATCGATCAGAGTTTTCCCAAGACAGGAGGCAGTTGCGCCATCTATGTCCCAAAAAGGACAACTCTGATGTCTTTCCTGGTGGTTTTGCTTCCTGTCTTGGGATAGCTCTGATGTCTTTCCTCATAGTTTTGCCTTCTGTCTTGGGACAGCTCTGATGTCTTTCCTGGTGGTTTTGCCTTCTGCCTTGGGATAACTCTGATCGATGTAGCATATTTTGGTTAGGTTGGTTGATGGATGTCGGGAGATATGAGGGAGTTGCGCCATCTATGTGACATTCCCAGCCTGATTTTGGCGAATGAGTGGGAGTTGCGTCATCTATGTCCCTGAAAATGACCTATTTTTTGCAATCTTCTACGCTCTGGCAATTTGCCACTTTGCTTGGCCCTGGAAAACGGGCCCCACCAAGTCCCCCGAAAAAGAATTTTTTCCTGAGTTTGCCAAAGGAAACTTGACACTTGGTGGGGTCCGTTTTCCGGAGCGAACCCAAGTGGAAAATTGGCACTGCGCTGGTTTCCCCCCATTTTTTTTCTCAACATCAAGCTGCCTTTTTGGGCATAGATGGCGCAACTCCAACTCGTTCGCCAAAATCAGGCTGGGAATGCCCACATAGATGGCGCATTCCCTCATATCTCCCGACATCCATCAACCAACCTAACCAAAATATGCCACATCGATCAGAGTTTTCCCAAGACAGGAAGCAGTTGCGCCATCTATGTCCCAAAAAGGACAACTCTGATGTCTTTCCTGGTGGTTTTGCTTCCTGTCTCGGGATAACTCTGATGTCTTTCCTGTTGGTTTTGCCTCCTGTCTTGGGACAGCTCTGATGTCTTTCCTGGTGGTTTTGCCTTCTGCCTTGGGATAACTCTGATCGATGTGGCATATTTTGGTTAGGTTGGTTGATGGATGTCGGGAGATATGAGGGAGTTGCGCCATCTATATGTGCATTTGCAACCTGATTTTGGCGAATGAGTGGGAGTTGCGCCATCTATGTCCCTGAAAATGACCTATTTTTTGCAATCGTCTACGCTCTGGCAATTTGCCACTTTGCTTGGCCCCGGAAAACGGGCCCCACCAAGTCCCCCGAAAAAGAATTTTTTCCTGAGTTTGCCAAAGGAAACTTGACACTTGGTGGGGTCCGTTTTCCGGGGCGAACCCAAGTGGAAAATTGGCACTGCGCTGGTTTCCCCCCATTTTTTTCTCAACATCAAGCTGCCTTTTTGGGACATAGATGGCGCAACTCCAACTCGTTCGCCAAAATCAGGCTGGGAATGCCCACATAGATGGCGCAACTCCCTCATATCTCCCGACATCCATCAACCAACCTAACCAAAATATGCCACATCGATCAGAGTTTTCCCAAGACAGGAGGCAGTTGCGCCATCTATGTCCCAAAAAGGACAACTCTGATGTCTTTCCTGGTGGTTTTGCTTCCTGTCTTGGGATAGCTCTGATGTCTTTCCTGGTGGTTTTGCCTCCTGTCTTGGGACAGCTCTGATGTCTTTCCTGGTGGTTTTGCCTTCTGCCTTGGGATAACTCTGATCGATGTAGCATATTTTGGTTAGGTTGGTTGATGGATGTCGGGAGATATGAGGGAGTTGCGCCATCTATGTGACATTCCCAGCCTGATTTTGGCGAATGAGTGGGAGTTGCGTCATCTATGTCCCTGAAAATGACCTATTTTTGGCAATCTTCTACGCTCTGGCAATTTGCCACTTTGCTTGGCCCTGGAAAACGGGCCCCACCAAGTCCCCCGAAAAGTGGCTTTTTCCTGAGTTTGCCAAAGGAAACTTGACACTTGGTGGGGTCCGTTTTCCGGGGCGAACCCAAGTGGAAAATTGGCACTGCGCTGGTTTCCCCCCATTTTTTTCTCAACATCAAGCTGCCTTTTTGGGACATAGATGGCGCAACTCCAACTCGTTCGCCAAAATCAGGCTGGGAATGCCCACATAGATGGCGCAACTCCCTCATATCTCCCGACATCCATCAACCAACCTAACCAAAATATGCCACATCGATCAGAGTTTTCCCAAGACAGGAGGCAGTTGCGCCATCTATGTCCCAAAAAGGACAACTCTGATGTCTTTCCTGGTGGTTTTGCTTCCTGTCTTGGGATAACTCTGATGTCTTTCCTGTTGGTTTTGCCTCCTGTCTTGGGACAGCTCTGATGTCTTTCCTGGTGGTTTTGCCTTCTGCCTTGGGATAACTCTGATCGATGTTAGGTTGGTTGATGGATGTCGGGAGATATGAGGGAGTTGCGCCATCTATATGTGCATTTGCAACCTGATTTTGGCGAATGAGTGGGAGTTGCGCCATCTATGTCCCTGAAAATGACCTATTTTTTGCAATCGTCTACGCTCTGGCAATTTGCCACTTTGCTTGGCCCCGGAAAACGGACCCCACCAAGTCCCCCGAAAAAGAATTTTTTCCTGAGTTTCCCAAAGGAAACTTGACACTTGGTGGGGTCCGTTTTCCGGGGCGAACCCAAGTGGAAAATTTGCACTGCGCTGGTTTCCCCCCATTTTCTTTCTCAACATCAAGCTGCCTTTTTGGGACATAGATGGCGCAACTCCCACTCATTCGCCAAAATCAGGCTGGGAATGCCCACATAGATGGCGCAACTCCCTCATATCTCCCGACATCCATCAACCAACCTAACCAAAATATGCCACATCGATCAGAGTTTTCCCAAGACAGGAGGCAGTTGCGCCATCTATGTCCCAAAAAGGACAACTCTGATGTCTTTCCTGGTGGTTTTGCTTCCTGTCTTGGGATAGCTCTGATGTCTTTCCTCATAGTTTTGCCTTCTGTCTTGGGACAGCTCTGATGTCTTTCCTGGTGGTTTTGCCTTCTGCCTTGGGATAACTCTGATCGATGTAGCATATTTTGGTTAGGTTGGTTGATGGATGTCGGGAGATATGAGGGAGTTGCGCCATCTATGTGACATTCCCAGCCTGATTTTGGCGAATGAGTGGGAGTTGCGTCATCTATGTTCCTGAAAATGACCTATTTTTTGCAATCTTCTACGCTCTGGCAATTTGCCACTTTGCTTGGCCCTGGAAAACGGGCCCCACCAAGTCCCCCGAAAAGTTGCTTTTTCCCGAGTTTGCCAAAGGAAACTTGACACTTGGTGGGGTCCGTTTTCCGGGGCGAACCCAAGTGGAAAATTGGCACTGCGCTGGTTTCCCCCCATTTTTTTTCTCAACATCAAGCTGCCTTTTTGGGCATAGATGGCGCAACTCCAACTCGTTCGCCAAAATCAGGCTGGGAATGCCCACATAGATGGCGCAACTCCCTCATATCTCCCGACATCCATCAACCAACCTAACCAAAATATGCCACATCGATCAGAGTTATCCCCAGGCAGAAGGCAAAACCACCAGGAAAGACATCAGAGTTGTTCCCAGACAGGAGGCAAAACCACCAGGAAAGACATCAGAGTTGTCCCTTTTTGGGACATAGATGGCGCAACTTCCGTCATTTTGCCAGCAAAGGTCGAGACACTTTAAAACCAAATTTTAACAGGTGACCTGAGGAACCGTTTCTTGACGGCAAAAACGGTTCCTCAGGTCACTTGTTAAAGTTGGGTTTTAAAGCGTCTCGGCCTTTGCTGGCTCAAAATAACTTCCGTCATTTCGCCAAAATCAGGCTGGGAATGCCCACATAGATGGCGCAACCCCGGGAGTTGCGCCATCTATGCCCCAAAAAAGCAGCTTGATGTTGAGAAAAAAAAATGGGGAGAAACCAGCGCAGAAGATTGCAAAAAATATGTCATTTTTAGGGACATAGATGGCTCAACTGCCCTGTTTTAAAGGGAGTTGAGCCATCTATCCCCCTTTTTTTTTTTGACATAGATGGCGCAACTCAAGATTCTGAGCCATCTACTTTTACTTTAGAGTAATATAATATATATATATTATATTATATATATATCCCTACTTTTCACTAGGTCAAATCCCGAATTTTTTGGGCCGGGCAAACCCCCGGGGGCGCCCTTAGCTTCCAGGCCCTCGCAGGCCGCAGGCTTCGCAAGCCTAGCAGATTGGATGGGATTTCTTGGAAATCTCTGGAGATTTATTCAGTGAACTTTATTCAATGGCCATTTCAGGATCCTAAATTGGAGGTACCAACCATATATAAGGCCTATGTAAGGCCTATGTAAGGGAATATCCCCACAAAATATGGTTTATGGTACAGTACCTCCAATTTAGGATCCTGGAATTTCCATTGATTTATGTAATTTTACCAACAAAATGATCCAATCTATTTCTATGGGCCATGGTTTCCATGGCTATGTTAGTTTTACCAGATGGTACCAGATGTTGGGGATATCAATGGGTTGTTGGGATGATTCCCCATACTAACAGATGTTGTTAGATATGATCTTACTGGGATGTTCTTATAGTAATTACTGGTTGGTTGTTGAAAAACCATCTTGAAAAATGATGGAGTTCGTCAGTTGGGATGATGACATTCCCAATATGATGGGAAAAATAATCCAAACGGTCCAAACCACCAACCAGTAATTCATAATGTTTCACCAAAGTGGGTAAAGCAATAACCACCCATTTGCGAATGGTTTATACCACCTATTTATGGTGATATAATGGGGAATGGTTTATTATTGTTTTACCCACATTAGTCTGAATTCAGGCCGTTATTAACCATCATTCCAGTGACGTCGCATTGAGGTCATTGCGTAATTTATCCAAATATGCAGAAAAGAGTGGATGTAGTAACCCCAAAAAAGACAGAAAAGTAAAATCCTACAAGACTAGTGGAAAATCACCATTCTATATTTCTTGGGGCTTGTATAATATTGGATGTTTTGTATATATTTATATAATTAGATGATTGTGGCTAAGGAAGGTGATGAACGTGGGTAGAAAACCACTGAATGTTGTGGATCGAATTGGATTTAACAAGATATTTTTTTGCTTGAATTTGATAGACAACAACAAAAATTAGTATGGCCAATCATAGAACCACGAAAGTTGGAGGAATTTGGTAGACAAGCGACAAATCGTGGTGGTTTTCATTGGATTTAGGAAGGAAGTTGATAAAAATGGCTACGAGACCAACAAAATATTGGGGAAGCACTGGCTAGTAGGCATGATTGGTAACTCATTTCTAGTGCATGGGATAATCCCTTCGATAAAAATTCGATCATCACGGTCGCATGCATTGCTTGGATTTCAATGCAACTGGTAGGTATCCATGGTGAGCAACTCGCAAGCAATCCTTCAAGGCACTCAATCCAGTGTGGGTAAAATCAAACATCATGCAAGGTGGTGCCCCATACTTAGCTAAATTTCTTTATAAGTAGGTTTATTGTAGTTTATGGTAGATATATCGAACTAGTATTCGTGGGCTGTTTAATAAACCAACAAACATCACTGGGGAGTGGCACCGCCTTGTGGTACCCTGCCCGGTTCCTCAACCCGCAGAGGCTCTGGGTAGCCAAAGATGCTGAAAGACAAATTGAGGTTTTACAGCTACCAACCCCAGGAAAACGCTTTTTTGGAAGTAAAAAAAAAAATGGACAAAAATCAGAATTCACTACAAAGCTGGTGACAAGAATTGCACAAAACTAGCAACAAGATCCAGATGTCAAAATTCCCCCCTGCGGCACCCCCTGACAAAAATATGGATAACAAAGACTAGATTCACCCCTCACACCTTTTACGAGAAACGACAAACCCGAAAATATGGAGATTCACCATGAATGCAGATCAAAGGGAGCTCAAAAGATATACATGTATATATACATGGTTTTCATTGATAAAGAATGTAATCCCAATCAAAAATGATTGCGATTGCATTGTTTGACCATGACAACAGCTGTTTCATGGGGAAAAAGTGGCAAGTGATTTCCCAATTACTATTCCGCATCTTCATATTGTTGATCAGTAGTATCCCATTAAACATCATTATACTAAGATAAACAGATAAACCCGATAAAATCACATTAAATGAGACATGTGTCAGTAAGTTTGATGGGTATATATCCCATATATATAGATATATATATATATATATTATATATATTATATATATATATTATATTATATATATATATATATTATGTTATAAAATTGAACATGAAACATTTCTTATAGTTATAAAATTAGAAAACACCTTTAAAATGATACCGCCATGATATCCATCGATATCCCGTTCAAAGCCACTAAATCCCGTTCGGGGGAAATCCCAGCGTGTTTTTTTCATTGGATCCCATGAAATCACCGTGAGTAATTCCGTCAGCAAATCCCAGTAGTACTTGGTGGCTCATCCCAGGAATCGTAAGTGGGATATAACCCCAGTGATTGACATGGGATTTCTGTAGGCTTAATCCACTTATAATTGGGGTGAACTAACCCACTTACGATTCCTGGGATGAACCACCAAGTAATATCCCAAATCCAACTAAAATCTCTATTGAATCCATACTGCATCCCATGAAAATCCCAAAAAAAAAACCATTCCCCTCCAGTAACAGTTCGACCCTGGCATTTATCGGGCTTGTTTCAGAAAATCGTGTTCATTTAGAGGCTAAATCCCATGGTAAATCTCATCAAAATCCCAATAAGATCTATTAAAATCCCAATTGAAATCTATTAAAATCCCAGTTGAAGTCCCAGAATCCCAATTGAAATCCTAAAATCCCATGAAATCCCATGGTAAATCTCATGATATCACCATTCTTGCTGTTGAAATCCCCCACTTTTGCCGCTGCCGCGCCTCCACCGCGGCCTCCACAAAGGCCGCGGAGCCAAAGCAAGCGCAACCTTCACCCTGTTGCAGTAGCGCATGGAGCCTCAGCTCTAGATTGGCAGATTAGATCATCCACACCTACCATGGTTAGATTATGAGAAAACTTATGGGATTTGAGGCAAATGAATAGTGACTTTTTCTGGTGATTTTATGGTGATTTACCCTGATTGTGGGAAATCATCCCCAAACAAGGATATGGTGAATGATGGTGAAAACAATGGTTGATAATGGTGATGAATGATGATTCATGTGAATCTTCAAGGATCTAGATATCTACCCTCTGGTAAACGTTTACAAAAAACTATGGAAAGATCCACCAGTTTTCATGGGAAAACTCACTATTTCGACTGGGCCATGGCTTCAATAGCTATGTAACAAATTACCAGAGGGTAGATTGTGGGAAATCATCCCCAAATCATCCCCAATCATCCCCAAAAATCAGGTGGACCTGGTGAGCCTGGACCTGGTGAACCTGCTGGACCTGGTGGACCTGGAGTTGTGGGAAATCATCCCCATGGCCGAACTATTCAGGTTTGTGAAAAGCTAAATTTACCCAGATAGATGCATTAGATGCGTGCCATATGGGGGGTTAACCCCTCAATGGGCGCATCCCCAATAGCTGACTGGTTTTTCGAATGGAAAACCCCAACATCAAAATGGATAAAATTAGGGCTACCCCCATGACTAACGGACACACCTCATTTATATATTTATGGCAGCTTCGGTAAAAAGATGACGAACTTCACCAGCAGAATATTTTTTTTGGAAACTTGGCCACGAAATGGGGATATAATGGTGAAATAGATGTGGGGAAATTGGGATGAATAACTGAAGAATGGTGGGGAAAAAAAAGGTGGATCTACGATCCGAAAAGCCTGTTTTTTTTGGCAGTGTTCTCAGGTTAAACATCAAAAAAATGAGGTGTTGGCTGATGCTTCAAAAGTGGAAAATGGATGTTTTACCAGCCAGTCCATATAGATTTAATGAAACCTGGGCTTTATTTCGGGATTCAGCTAAGAAGAATTTGGAATGCACCATGCAAAAACATAGATTTTACATGACTTAACAAGCCAAATGATAGAGATATTTAACCATAAGAAATAGGAAAATCAGAAATGATAACTAATTTGGGTGTTTCACCAGTGGAATTAGAGTACCCTATTCTCACGCAAACCCAAATCTTGGGTTTGCTGCTTCAAAATGCAGCAAAATGTTGGGAGTTCTGAGCTCCTTACACCCTCCCAAACTTCAAAAAAAAATTAAAATTTGGGCAAAACAAATATTTTTTCGGATCATCTAATATAGCCCATTCTTGATTTGGGGTTCCCATTCTGTTCAATTTACAGTAGGAGGTGTGACCACCATTGAACCACCATTCAAAATCATTAAACCACCGCGTTTCTCATCAAAAATCCTCAAAGAAACACAAGTATTTCCATAGTGTCCCATCAGAAATCATCAAAAAAACACCCATGAAAACCATCTCTTTCCCATGAAAATCCATGAAAACCCACCATTTTTCCGAAAAAATCCCCACCTTTTTCCCCTCCCTTTTGCGCCAGAAAACGTCAGCAGGGCCAGGGAGGTGGCTCGCATGAAGCCTTCGAATCCCTCCAGGTCCACCTGTCATGGAGTTCACCATTGGGACATAGCTGATACTTTATACATATATATATATACATATAGAGTATATAAAGTATATGTATATCCAATTACATCGCCCAATTACATATAGTATATCACGTATTTATATTACATATATATATATATATATAGATACATAGAATATATCTATGTCTATATACACTATAGTATATATGTATGTATATCTGTATCAACGAAACCTAGTGCATTCACCATTTAACATGGACGTATTCACCTGATTTAACCAGCCAAAAAATGCAAAAAAAATCCGGGAAAAAATGATTTCACACCCAAAAATGAAGGCTTAAGCCGGAAAAATGGTGATTGAATAGGGTATCATAAGGAATCTCTAGGATAGAATTCGATATTTATATATATACTATATATATACATATATATATATATAACGATCAACAATAGGGACTATAGAGATATAACTATCAAACATGGGCTCTATACAAGGTGGTCCCCAACTAAAATTCAGGATCTAACCACTGAAAATGGAAATTTCACCAGCAATGCTTATGGCGTATGGGGTTCAGACTTGATGAAGTGATAGCTAAGTTGGTTTATAGGGACAGAACTGATATATACTTATGTATATCAACTATTATATATAACTAGTCTAACAAGACTATTATATAAGACTATTTATCATATTATAAGTTATTTATATATATATATATATTATTATATATCTATATATATATATTATATATATTATTATATATATATATATATTATTATATATATATATTATAATGTATATATAATATAATATAATATATATATGACATTATATACATATAATATATATATATATATAACTTATATAACTATTATGACTATTATATAACCATCGACAAGACTTAACTCTCAAAAACGGTGGTCCCGGTGAGCTGAATTGAACCGAGCCAGAACTGGGGGAGCCACGGTACGAGGGAGGTGTCCGTTAGTCATGGGGGTACCCCTAGTTATCCATTTTTCGTTGGGATTTTCCATTTTCAATAAACCATCCAAATTTTTTGGGTATCCCCCATGGATTTCGGAAAATCCCCGAACATATTTCGGAATCGATGATCTTCCCAGCTATAAAACCTCCATTGATCCAGCGATGCTTAGGGGTACCCCGAATTTTATGGAAACCCAAATGGTGATAGCCCGTCAACTTTGGGGGCACCCATCCAACGGGGTTCACGTGTCCAGCAGAGTGATCATCCAACAGAAAACCTCGTGTCTTGGCAAAATGGAAGTTGGATCTGTTCCCATCACTAACCACTTATCAATACTTACCCTCAGGTAATTTAACATAGCTATGGAAAATCACCATTGTTTATGGGAAAATCCACTATAAATGGCCATTTTCAATAGCTATGTTAAATTACCAGAGGGTATCCACATCTACCAGGTCCAGATCCCCAGCATTCATTGCTTCGTTGCCCGGTGGAAACCGCTTCGCGCACCGCCAACAGCTCCAACTCTCGACGCAACTCGTGTTCGAAGGCATCCCCGGTGCACCTGAGACGTCCAGTCGTCATGGATGACCATGGTGACGACTGGGGATCCCCCGCCAAAACAAGGGGGAGTTCTCTGAACATGGGGTAATTGAACCCATGCTTTTTCGGGTTTTCAATAGGGAAAATGATGATAAACATACCTACCAAGTGATATCAAAACGTAGAATGGGTTGTTGTAAATGGGTCTACACCATTTTTGCATGTAAATTGACTTTCAGACAAACCCAAGTGATATCAAACATAGCATACTTACCGTCTGGTAATTTGTCACAATTTGCAATGGTAAATCATCATCGAACTAAAGGGTCCGTTTTCCACAGCTATGGCTACCGCTATGTTAAATTACCGGAGGGTGTCTGGAGGGTATATGGTGTCATATGTATCATAGATATCATAGGTTTTTACCCACATTCATATGGATGTTCATCCCATTCATCATGGGTAAATCATGATATATCATACTCATATCAATGGCCATTTCAGGAACCTAAATTGGAGGTACCGATTCCATATATAAGGCCTATTTTTCATTTTTCAGGCCTTAATTTCAGGGAATATCCCCACAATTCATATGGCCAAAAATATGTTACTAACGACGTACCTCCATTAAATCGGATCCTGGAGATCTCCGATTGATCATGAGCCTTCATTAAAAACCTGGAACTCAAATTTCAGTCGGATGATCCCCACCAACTCGTGGCTCTTGTCCCCTGGTTGCCATATCCGTGAGCATCCTTGAGATTGGAATAATGTGGGTAAAACAATAATAAAGGTAGTATACCATATGATTTTCGAATAATGTATGTAATGTGAGATACAATAATGTGGGTAAACATGGGTAAACCATGTTTATACCACTCGAATAATCCCCCAAATCACCATACATAGGTGGTATGTTTACCATTCCCAGTCATGGGTGGTTTATGGCATTGTTTTAACCACATTCGACATGTTTGAAATCACAACCCAAAATTGACGTGGCTCTGTCCGACGGAGATTTGTCGAAAAACGCTTGGAACCCAAGAGGAAAAAACTCATGATCATCCAATGGATTTTAAGGGTACTCTATGTTCAGACCCAAATTTGAAAATGATCGTCATTGGTGAAAAAATCGTGTTCCCTTAATTTGGTTGTGCTGCTTGTGCGAGCTGCATGAAATTAGTTGTAAACCATCATCATCCTTTTAACGGTGTCCAACCGGGTCGGTGAATCATTCGTCTTCCAATTCTCTTGGACGAATCCGGGGCCCCCCTGGCAGGGCAGAAACTACAAATTTCCGGGCACACATCTCCATTTTGTTCAGTGAATCTGAACGATTGGCCTGTAAAAATTCTTCATCTCTGGGTCATCGCGAAAAACTAGGATGAAGCAACGGGATTTGATCAAGGTATATGCCAGGGTCAACTCATGGTTAATATGGGTTCTGGGCATCCCAGCCATTGAAATCCCAAAAAATTGGCCGATGCTTTGAGGTCTATGCGGGATGGTACATCCCGAAGATATCTTCCCAAAAATGGCTGGTTTCCTCCCAAAAAATGGTGGTTCATTGAATCCAAGCTATCTCAAACACCCATGACTCTTCCAGGCCGTGGCTACCAAGTGGATCCCAGGCCGTGGCATCCAAGAGCCCCAATATTGCCCGAATATATCATTAGTATCCCGTGAAGAATGGCAATTTGCTACTTACCCTCTGGTAAACTAACAGTTTGCTATTGAAAATGGCCATTGAAATCGTTGATTTTCCCATTAAAAATTGTGATTTTCCATAGCTATGTTAGTTTACCAGAGGGTATATATGCCAATTTATATATTCCAAATAATGATTCAATCACTGTTGTATGACCACATGTGAATCATTATTAACCATATATAAACCATTGCTCACCATTCCTCACCATATGGGTGTATCTGCAAATAATTATGGAATTGCGAATATTCGTGGGGAAAACGATGAGGAAAAAAATGTATTTACAAGTACCCTATTCTCAGACAAACCCATAACATATGGGGGGTTCTTAAAATGGGGAATCCCCAAAACAAGGGGTTTCAATACTGAAATGGTCTACCCTCTGGTAAACTAACATAGCTATTGAAAATTGCCATGTATATATAGTTGATTTGCCCATTGAAATGGTGATTTTCCATAGTTATGTTAGTTTACCAGAGGCTAGCCCAATGACCTCTGGAAACCTCCACATCCCAATGAGTCCAACCAAAAAAAAGTAAAAATCGTCCAACGATCATTGGGATATCGACAACCATTTGAGGCTTCAAAAACTGTATCCCAATTGTTAGTTATAGATCCCGATTGTTAGTTATAGATCCAGATTGTTAGTTACAGTGTATGTATATCATATCATATCATATCATATCATATCATACCCGACTTGTTCCAACTATCATTAACAATCATCCACCATTCACATCCATTCACCAGGCGAGATCGCCTCAAATCCTCCACGCGAAAGGAGGCCGCAGTATGGACCAGCTCCGCCCAAGCACCCGGCCTGGCGGGAACCCGACCCGACGAGGCCCGACGAGGCGTCCAGCTGAACTTGGGCTGAAAACACCACCACCGAAATCCGACGGAAAATCCGAAAACCGTGCCATAGATCTGTTAAGAGATGTTAAATCGTGGGGTTTTGCTGCTGGTATAGGTCATTGACCCTCAAACAAGAAACCCTTGTTGATTGCAATGATTACACCCCCCCAAATGGCGTGAATTTTGCTACCAAAATAGTGCCCACAATGGTATCACCGCAACCATCAACGGCCTTAGGTTCATTCATCCCTGGTAAATCTGGTAAACATGATCTGCATTTTGGATACTTTATCGAGAGAACTGTTGTAGAAATTGTGTTTTTCGAGAAGATGGTTTTGGAAGATCTACCTGCATTTGGGTGACTGGATTTTTGGGCACATTGTTGGCACATTGTTGGCAAGTTCTAACAAAAATTGTGGGATCAGAAACCTGTAAATTGCTAACAACACGACCAAACCGGGGGATGGGACTGAAGCAGCAAACACTGCGGATGATCTGACTGTTTGCGACATAATAAACACCCTTGCAGACATGATTACCCTCTGGTAAATTAACATAGACCCTGAAAATCACCAATTGTTCAAGGAAACTAATCTTCCAACCCCTATCTACCAGGGTCTATGTTAATTTACTGGAGGGTGTTTGAAAAGATTGTTGTTTTTAGGGGTGAAATTGCTGGGAGTTCCAGTCCAAACTTGGGATACCAGTCCACAGCTGGTGCAGCCGAGATCATCCCAGGTGCCCACAGGTGCCCCCACTGATGCAACGCATCCGGCATCAGGATCCTCAATGGTCAGAGGGGCCCCGATTTTTCGGCAAAACCTTTGTGATGGGAAGAGGATCCGACAAAATTGGACTGGCCATGATCTTGAAGGTTATAAATTTACGTGCATATCAAAACCTAACCCAAGGAGGATGAGGATGAGGATGAGGATGAGGATGAGGATGAGGATGAGGATGAGGATGAGGATGAGGATGAGGATGAGGATGAGGATGAGGATGATGATGAGGATGATGATGATGATGATGATGGTCATGGTCATGGGATGATGATGATGATGATGATGATGATGATGATGATGGTCATGGTCATGGTCATGGTCATGGTCATGGTCATGGTCATGGTCATGGTCATGGGATGATGATGATGATGATGATGGTGATGGTGATGGTGATGGTGATGGTGATGGTGATGGTGATAGTGATGGTGAACATGTACAGTATATTCTTTGGAAGGGACCCTTCGCAAGAGCTTTCGGGAAAAATGGCTTTGTTAACCTCCATTAGTGGAGGGTAACTCGACCAATGCTCCTTATATTTCCCATTCTTAATCCAAATTTCCCAAGTACCCTTTGGTACTCAAACATGGCAATGGAAAAGCACCCGTTTATCGGTGATGTTCCCACTGAAACCTCCGGATGTTCAATTGCCACCTTTGATTACTGGAGGCTGTATCTGCATGATATCCCCATATTTGTGAGCTAGTCTTAGCAAAGCAATAATAAACCACTTATACGTGGATGGTTTACACTACTTAGTTGTGGTAAAATCGGATATGGTGTATCCTATTGCTTTACTCACATTAGGGGAGACATCCCAAAAGTTTCTGGTTATACATCCCGGTATTCGTCCCATTCTATCCCCACCTTTGTGAACTACCCTCCTGTTACTTAAACATAGCTACAGAAAATCTCCCATTTTCATGAAATTTCATAGATGATTTGCCTATCAAGAATAATCATGTTCCAGTTCGCTACGTTGAATCACCAGAGTAGTACTGTAGTACCCACCAAAAAAAAACCTGGCAATGGGCACCCTCCCATTTATATAGAAGAAATGGATGATTTAAAATTGATTTTCCCAAAAAAAATGGGAGATTTTCCCTAGGCTTTACAGCGTGGTTTCTTGGATGATTCATGATTTTCCCAGCAAACCTCCAGGCTGAAAATCGATCGCCATCCCCTCTGGGGCCCAGATGCTCCAGGCTCCGGTACTTCGGCGCCGCGCGCGACAGGAAGAAGGCCCACCTCGGACGCGGTGGGCCGAAATGTGGACGTTGACCATAGAACAATCGAGGTCAGCTTCAAAATCTATGGAAAATCTATGGAAAATCCTTTCTACATCAATCAAGCTACCAAAAAATAGAGATTAAGCCATGGATGAGTAAACCAATGAACAATGGACTTGGATGTGATTTGAATCTAAGAGTGGAGCTGTGCAAAGCCTATTTAAGTGCTGATTGGACGGACCATGAAAAATATGGTCAATGGTGAATTTAGCCATAAAGTTGTCATTTGAATGTGAAACATGATGACAATTTGCATCAAAGTTCACAGACGCGTGGCCGAAAATTTGCAAGTACAAACGAGGAAATGTTTTACAGATTTGGCAAAGATTCATTGAAATGGATAAAAAATTGAATTCAAAACCACTGATTGTTTTTTTCGTAGCATGTTTTCAGGAAACCCCTATGTCAGCTCCGGATGCAAGACGACTAGTTAAGGCAAACTCCCCCTTTCGAAAGGTTTACAACCTCGCCTCATTTTGGGCTTGCTAAATGTCCGAATGTTTCACATCACCCAAATATTGGGGAGATCATCTTCAACAGATATTTGAAAGTGATGTTCAAAATCCAAAAAAAAAAATGCCACATTTTTCCCAATTAACTATAGTTATATCTAGTATGATGTGATTAAAACAATGTCATAAACTATCCATTTTATTTGGGTAACATCATACTAGATATAACTATAAATGTCCAATAACTATGGTGGAATTATGTCCAATAACATTCAATAACTACCCATTTGGGAATGGTAAACATACTTGGTGGCTCATCTCACTTAGTAAGTGGGTTATAACCCCAATTATAAGTGGATTAACCCTACTTATCCCATTTATAACTGGGGTTATATCTCACTTACGAGCCGTGGGATGAGCCACCAAGTACCACCCAAAGTTATTGGACATTTACCAAGCCTTGTTTTGCTCGCCGTCACCCCGGCAAGCGGCTCGATGCAACACCAGAGGCGATGGAAGTAACCAGGATGACCTGGGCGGCTCAACGCGTCAGGTCTGTAGACATTGCAGCTGTCTCTCTATATATATATACATATACACATATACACATATACACATATACACATATGCACATATGCACATATACACATATACACATATGGTAACCGACAGAATTATGGGAAAAAAAAAAAAACGTTCAACTTAGACAGGCGGCGCCTGCGTCCGATTTTTCCATAATTGGATTTTTCCCCATAAGGGTTCAAAATATCCCGGAAGTGATCTGAACCTTTTTTTTCCATAATTCTTGGAGGTGGCCATTATTTCCATAATTGATTTTTCCTGTGAAATCAGGGGGCTAGGGCAGATTGACCGGTTTTTCCATAATTATTTTTTCAAATCCCCAAGCCTTGGGATTTTTTGTTGTTCCAAATGTTGGGACAATGGGTGTATCTAAACCTTCAACATTTCATACCTCAAGTATTGTCTTTTTTGACCCTCAAGTGAATAATAGTTTTGGCCCAATTTTTTCGAAAAATCCCAGTGACTGTATATTTGGCACTGCTCCAGTTTGAAGTGCGTTCCTTTTCGGTGATGACGGTATAGCTTTACTTCATCCCCAACTCTAAGAGTAGGATATTTACGTGTTTTCACTCTATTTATCTCCAACTTCAGTTTTACCTTCAAATGATTCTCTTTTTTGTGGGCTTCATTTGGGGTCATTTCATGGGCAGAGTGGATCATCTTACTATTATATGTCAACAAAATCTCTCCCAAATAGTCAACCCATTGTATATTATTCTTACCCTTTTTTTCATCAGCATCAACTCTTTTGAATAACATATCTTTAAAAGTTCTGTTAAATCTTTCAACAAAATAGGGATGGCTTCTAGTTCTATAGTTTTGGATCTTCTGATCCTTGAAAAATTATTGCATTCCAGCCGTCTGGAGTGTGCCCTCATCATCTGAGTATATGAGTTTGGGGCGTGACCCCATCTTCTTCATCCCTTCCAGAATCCCAGTTGTGACATCATCCATATTCTTATTTTTAATAGGTGTTACAACGGCTTTTCTGGAAAAGACATCCAACAACACCAAACCACCCTTAAACTGTTGGTTCTTCAGATCTTTGGGGGAAATAAAAAACAAATCCAATCCAATTGGTATTCATAATTGGCTTCTGGAGCAACAAAGCTATTGTATCCACTCAACTGGGTTTTCCTTTCAATATTTTCACTGAACCAATCCTTAACATCTTGCATAGTGATGGATGGATCTTTCTTTTTGGCATCCAAGTAGGTTGTCCTTTGAGAACCAAAACCCGCTCTATCATAATATACATCATTGATAATCTTATCCTTATCAGACATATAAATATAGACATATAAAATATAAATATATTTTATAACACTAATATGAAACTTTATTACTGAAACACCGGTTGCAAGAAGCACATTCCGTAAACATACCCCATTCAAGTTAGATATCCCCATCATGAAATCCCATGAAATCCCCTGGTATCTCAATTAAAGTGGATATGACTCATCTGACCTTTGCCAAATGGATAACTAATCCATTATACAATACCCTCTGGTGAACTAACATAGCAATGGAACATGGCCATTTATAGTGGATTTTCCCATGAAAAATGGTGATTTTCCATTGCTATGTTAGTTCACCAGAGGGTATTCCAATATATTCCAATATAATTTTGGCTAATTCCACTATATAAACCAATATAAACATCCCATTAGAAAGTCCCATGTAATTTCCCATCATATTTTCTTTTCCGAAAACCATTAACCAATTCTCTTCCACCAATACATGATTCTTTATCTTACCATCATCATCTTCCACATCTTCTTTTTCCCATGATTATCGCATCAAAAACCCCATAAAATCCCAGGAATTCCCAGGAAAGCCCATGGGAAATCTCATTAAAAAACACTCATCTCCCATGAATTTCCCATGAAAACTACCAACTTCCCATAAATTTCCCATTGAAAACACTCATTTCCCATGAAAATCCCATGACTTCATCCACCCCCCCCGCGTTCTCGCTCAAAGGTGCTGATCAAGGCCACCAGCTCGTCGCAGTTGCACAGGGCCACCTCGTTCAAAACCACCATTTTTCCATGGAAATGTTGTCGTGTAAATCTACCATCTGGTTATTTAACATAGCCATGGAAAATGGCCCATTTATAGATGGTTTACCTATTAAAAATGGTGATTTTCCATGGCTATGTTAAATAACCAGAGGGTATCCTTTCTAAACACCTGGAAAAGTGGTTTTGCTAACACTTGTGTTTATCTAATGGAAAAAGAGGAAATTTCACCAGAGTTGCCATGGTGACCGTTGATGACCTACATAAATACACTCTGGTAATGACTAACATAGCCATTGAAAATGGCCATTTATAGTGAGTTTTCCCATTAAAAATGGTGGTTTTCCATAGTTATGTTAGTTTACCAGAGGGTAATATGAATGGTTATTTGACAATTAGTTCTTATGTGAGAATTTGAAACCATGGTTACCACTGACATGGTTTTGCTAACACTTGTGTTTATCTAGTAATAATGGAAAGAGAGGAAAATTCACCAAAAACAATGTTTCTATGTTTAATAGCGTAATAGTTGATATAGTAATGGAAACTATTGCAACACCATGGAGGTACTGTAATGATGATTTTCCACTGGTTCATCATCACTTTCATCTAGAAACACTGGAGGTACTGGAACATATTATGTTTGTAACATATGATTCCTGGTGATTACATGGAAACCCTGTTGTTTTCTACAATAATTGACATGTTACAATTAAAATGCTCAAACACAAACAATCTTCAATTGAAACGTTGCTGTAAAATATTGGTTTTTCAGGTGTTTCTACAATTGAAACATGTGATTACTGGTGATTGTAACAACTGTAACAACTGAAATTTCAGAACTGTAACATATGATGATTGTCCTGATTGTTCGTAATATGATTACTGGTTATGTTTAACATAACCAGTGGATAATACTGATGGGTTTCATTTTTCCGTTATTTTATATTATTTGATGGCCCTAGTATTAACTTCTTAATGATAAGTTAATATAAACTATATGATAATATTCAATAATAACCAGTAAATAATATAAGTCATAACCATTTGATGATACGAGAATATTTAATATTGTCAACTTGTTTTTACATAGCCAGCGGATATTATCATAATGATAACCAGCAATGGGCCATCACTGTCTTTAAATGGCTATTATCATTAAATGGTTAATATTCATCCACTAGCTATTATATACTATTGTCATTAACTTATTATTAACTTGAAAATCAGGGGATTGGTCAAAACCTATCATTATTATTATTATTATCATATGACTAGGGTAGGGAACATCCAGCTATACCAGCTATGACCGGTACAAGGGTGCCATTTTTTTCAGAGCCATCATTTTCTAGGGAACACCCTACCACCATTTTGGTGACATACCACCATTTTCAGGTACTTGGTGGCTCATCCCAGTTAGTAAGTGGGATATAACCCCAGTTATAAATGGGATAAGTAGGGTTAATCCACTTATAATTGGGGTTATAACCCACTTACTAAGTGGGATGAGCCACCAAGTACAAACCCATGTTGCTATCTCTCGGAAAATCTCCTGAGTTAAGAGGCGAGGACGACACTCTCTTTGAACAAGAAGCTGAATCACCAACTCTGTTTGAAATCAAAATGATTTGCTTGTTTTAAATCGAACTTGTTCCTAGTTAAGGTCCCATTGCTTCTTCCCTTCCCGTCATTGTTCTTGTAAAAAAAAGCTTTATTGGTTAAAAGTATCCATTCCTACACGTCAATTGGTCAAAAAAGAACATCTTGATTGATTTCTTGGCGCATTGATTGTTGGCGTAAATGTCCCAGCTTCTATTGATTGAACTTGTCCAATGTTCACTGGTGAGCAGCTCAAGATCTAACAAAATCTCCCCATGTTCACTGGTTAAAAGCCTACGAATAGATGATTTACCTACTATAGATAGTGTTTTGCATGATTTAGCATTGCTGTTTTTAATTCCCAGAGGTTACAACTTCCCCACTTTCACTGATCGAAACCAATTTATTAATGATTTACCTAATATAGATGGTGTGTTCCATGATTTTGCATAGCTGTATTCAATTATAAGAGGTTAAAGCTGTCCCCATGTTCACTGGTTAAAACAAATTTATAGATGACTTGCCTACTATACATGGTGTGTTCCATGATTTTGCATAGCTATGTTCAATTCCCAGAGGTTACAACTTCCCCACTCTCACTCGTTAACACCTATTTATCGATTTATCGATTATTATCTTTTTTGGATGGTGTGTTCCATGATTTTGCATAGATGTATTCAATTCCCAGAAGTAAAAATTCCTTGCCTTCACTGGTTAAAGCCTACTTATAGATGATTTTCCTACGATAGACAGCGGTTTCCATGATTTTCAATAGCTATTTTTCAATTACAAGAGGTTAAACTTCCCCATGTTCATTAGTACATTGTCTATATTGATGTGCATCTATATTGATGTTCATTGCTTGAAGAACCATTGTCATTGCTCAAAGATCCATTTCCATTAATGTAGGATTCACCCAACGCCATCTGCACCATCCCCCAAGTTATCAAAATCTTGTGCGTTGGAAGTTCAACCATCCTCAATCATGGTAGGTTTACGGCAGCCAGGGCTACCCACATTATAAAATGCATTATGATGTATACATTAACATAACTATATAATCTATATCATATTTATGTCTGTTATACGAGTACATTTACATTGTATATATATAGTGTATAGTATATTATATTATATCATATCGTATCATATTATATTATATATTATAGTATATATATATTATAAAATATATATATACATATATGTGAACCATGGATTGCATGGGGAAAATCATATGGATTAATTATAATTACGAGATCATGTTGTTCCATGTATAAGAAATCTATAATGTTTGAATATTCCAGTAGAATATTGGGAATTGTCTGGAAATGGTGTATATCCCCAATTGTAGCCATTTAATGGGGATAGTGAGGATTCACCAATGGATGTCAAGCGCCTTGGTGGCACGAAGAGCCTCCTGCGGTGGGGCCCCGGCAAGGCCGAAGCCTGGCGGGCTTAGACGCGCCAAGAAGGGCGACCTTTTTCGACGTGACAACCTGGAAAAACCCGGAAAAAATGTAGGAAAACATAGGAAAACTATCAGAACATGTAGGATTTTCACTGGAAGTACATAGGAATATACGGGGAAATCACCCAAGATGAGGGAATACAACAAGATTTCTCTATCCAACTGCAGACAATGGGAGAAGAAACTCAGGTAAACTAACAGTTTGCGATGGAAAATCACTATGTTTTATGGGTAAATCATCAAAATAAGTGGGTCATGTTCTATGGCTGTGTTAGTTTACTGGAGGCACTGCAGAAAGTTGGAGGATAACCTCAGAGTTGGAAAGACTTGAGAAACGATGGTTGGCTGATGATGAAACGCGGTTCTTCACAAAAACCAAAATCTACCCAAGTGTTTTTTCCATCATCATTATATAATCATTAATATATATATATGGGTAAATTATAATATTTCACTAACCTGAATTAAGGCCATTTGGGGGTGATTCCCCTTATTAACCATGATTTCCAGTGAGGTCGCAGTGAGGTCGTTATAATTTACCCAGTAATATATGGAAGGAATTGTTGTGCGTTAATCATTAATCACTTGGATGTGGACATGCCCAACCACTGGGGGTTAAAAACCCTTCAAACATCGAAGTTTCACCGGCCATTGTGTTGGGATTTAAGCATCAAGCGTTGATTTCTATCCTCGGGAAACGTTTGGAGAAACCATGGGATGGAATGGGGGTACCCTATTCGCCCACAAACCCGTGTATATATATATACAGTATTATATACATACATATATACATACATATATACATACATACATATATATATATGTACACATAATATGCATATTGGTATAGGTCAAAATTGGGTACACCAAGTTTATTAGATTGGTTTTTGACTCAAGATTTTTTGGCTGAATCTCTGGTTCCGGCTGAAAATTGACTCATCCCCAGACTTAGCAAATCGATGTCGCTAAAGTTGGCCAACAAAGGAAAATGTGGTCCCTGAGATAAAGTAGAACCCCATGTCATCCCATGTCTATCTCTATTTGAGACCACAATTTTGGTAGTTTCCACTGAGATAGTGTACGAGAGGTTCTTTTTTACGATTTTCACAGTTTGAGGTCTTGACAAACTTTTTATACAGATTCACTGCACCTAAGGCATTACTGTAAACATCGCACTATGGTATTCATCTCCAGCACCAGCACATGTTTTGACTTTGGACTTCTCTATGTGGCCCCCATGGTTTCGATCTTCCTTTCATCAACAGTTTCATCAACTTTTACAAACTCAAGAACTAAAAGTCGCAGCTGTCTTCGACTCATGATGAAAACAGGTTCTAGGTGAAGTCTTCTTTACGAGAAAATGTCTGAATAGTTTGATTTCTGCCTAGTTCTTCAAAAGATGGGAAAGGATCCACCTGCCAATCTTTGTCCGGAACGCCTGCCAAAGTGGCCCTAGACTACCTTCGAAACGTAGCAGGATGCAGTTTTTATCACCTTCTAGCGTCAGCCTCGTGCTTCTTGATTATTTTTTAAGAAAGGTGCCTTCAAAATTTGTTGACATCTAACTCCAAAAAAAAGGCTATCGGGGTTTCAAATTGCATCAACGGCACTAAGCAACAATAAAAACCCTTCTAATTCAGCCTGAATCTTTGCCAAAAAAAAATCTAGTACAAAATCTAGTCATCTCTTGTTTACCTATGCTGAAAACCATGTTGAAACCCTGGGTGTATCTGAAATTTCTATCCCATCCCAAAAGCCCACCAAGCCATGGGCCCATGGGCCATGGATTTCCATGGTGGGAATCCCTTCATTTTTCCATCCCAAAAAATCGCCGAAATGGTAATTGAACAAAGCTATGCAAAAATCACTATCTTGATCAAACTTGCACAGCTGAGGATCAAGCACTCTTCTTTTCTCGCTCAGGCTCGGGCATTCAAACGGGTTTGTGTTTCTGGTTTGGAAGTTGCATTTCTGGCATCTCACAAGAGTTATTAAACCTGACAAGCATATGTGCGAAGGAGCATTGGTTCGGTTCGAAACCACTGGCAGGGACAAGGATGCAAGAGGTCCAGTGTATGCAACAAGAGTCTTGCACTGTCAAATGCAAGGGCAAGGGTGCACAGTCACTGTATGCAACAGACCTGGTTCCTGCACCTGGTTCCTGCACCGTCCACACATGGAAGGGCAAAGGTGCACACACTGCACCGCCCCTTGTGGCGTGAAATGAGCAAAAAGAATCGCATCTGCTGATCAGGGATAAGGAATGGCAGGCAGAGACACTCTGCAGAGCCATGCCCGGGTTGGGCCGGGAAATTTTTGCGAAGCCTCGACAATGACAGACTTGATCCGAAGTGTCAGCAGGCATTTGATCAAAGATTCAGTTTGCCAAGCCCGCCAGGCCGTGAACTGATACTGATGATCAAACTTGCACAGCTGAGGATCAAGCACTCTTCTTTTCTCGCTCAGGCTCGGGCATTCAAACGGGTTTGTGTTTCTGGTTTGGAAGTTGCATTTCTGGCATCTCACAAGAGTTATTAAACCTGACAAGCATATGTGCGAAGGAGCATTGGTTCGGTTCGAAACCACTGGCAGGGACAAGGATGCAAGAGGTCCAGTGTATGCAACAAGGGTCTTGCACTGTCAAATGCAAGGGCAAGGGTGCACAGTCACTGTATGCAACAGACCTGGTTCCTGCACCGTCCCAATGATAAATACCGAGCCCCAATGCTAAACAAGCAACATAGCCTCATGGAGAGAGCGAAATGCAACATACAGGATTGAAGGGATGGTAGCATGCTGCAGGATCCACCCTTGGCGAAGCATCCAAGCATCATTTAATCCACCTCTCGACAAACCATCTGCAATGTTAGCTTCAGACTCAACATATTCAAAGTAAACACGGCAGCCCAACTTGGCCAAGACAAGGTGCGTAATGGTAGCAATTGAACAAAGGTCTGACTGCGAACTACTTCCTTTGACTAGGGCCTGGCAAGCAGCTTGATTGTCTATGTACCAAATGACATCCTTCTGGGCCAGGAAATCACGAACATTGTACGGCACTACAACTCCAAGCAACGCTTCACAAGGTGTAATCTGCTGTTCGCGGTCTACCAACAACCGCAAGAGGTCTGCAGGGATGTCTGCAGACATTCCAATTGGGGGCGCCCTACCATCATCTGGAAAGATCACAAAACCTAATCGAGCAACATCAGAAGACTTAGCCGGATCAAAACTAGCATCTGAATAGAGACGAACTGGCTTACTACGGGAAGGCTGCAATGAGACGACCCTGGGCGGTACCAAAGATGCAAGCTGACGGCGAAAGAGCAAAGAATCGATCAAGGATGCCGACAATGCTTCACTACAATCAAAATACTGACGATGCACCAAGGCAGCCTGACCGCCTCGGCCACACTTCCCATACGTACCGGAAGCAGCCCAGCCAAATTTCCCGCGGAGCTTGGCCGCATGGCCAGAGGTAAGGTGACCATCACTCAGGATCTCATTGATGAAGTCTTGAGTTTGTTCCCTGAATCCGGGCTTCAAATCAAACTTACACATTTGGTTATCTCCAACATTTACTGACAAGCCTAAAAACGTGCGGCACTGGGCTGGAGGCTGAGATTTGTCTGGATCCAACTGAGCTCCTGCCAAGGCATAGACAAGGCGTACAGCTGCCTGAGCTGAGCCTTGAGCAAAGCTGACATCAACAACACCAGTATCGTCGAAGAAAAACACAGCTGGAGCCGCGCAGCAACGCCTGGCTACACTAGAAAGCAAGGCAGGGGTTCTATTAAAGGCCAACACTGCTGAAGACAATCCAAACGGCAAGCCATTCAGAACAATGAACTTGACTGACTCTGAGGTGCAATCCCAGAAAGCAACACAGGAACAACAACGATGCGCCGGGTTGATTGGGCATTGCCGGTATGCATTTTTCATATCTTCAGTGCCGATGACAAAATGGAGCTGCTTGCAAGGATTGTCAGCATCAATCTCAGTAGCAAGGCGCATCACTTCACGCATGATCGCAGGCACAACATCAACAGTATATGTAAAAATGGTCTCCCGCTCTCTAGAAGCTGCATTATGGCCGGGCTTTTTCCCTGAATCGATACACCGAAGCTTTCCACAGGCCTGCACGTGGATGAATCTTTCCAAAGGACGCCACTGAGACTGCCCAAACATTTCATTCATTTGGGACAAGTCAAAAGGACCATCTGCAAAGCCCAGCTCAACCTCCTCTAAGGTCAACCGGCGCAAGTCCTCATCATGGGTACCTGGGCGTACCCGCCGAAACATGCGCGACAAATTGTCATCTGCTTGGGGGCCTAGTAGGGCTGGCAATCCAACAAGGGAGCTCTCATTCACTTGCAGGGGCCTGAACAGGCCGGAAACCTCAATGTCGCCAACAATGTCGAATCCACCTACAAAACGAAGTGGGTTTGTTTCATCCGGCCATCGCAGCAACAAGGAACACACAAGCATGAAAAAGGGGCGCTTGTCTGCTGCAACTTTAGCTACCGATGGAGGCATCATCTGGACAAGGTCGCGCTCCCAAGGCGCCAGGCACTTGCTAAGCTTTGTCAAACAACGCATTTGTGCGGCTCGCCACTCCCGGATGGCTGGCCCCATGCATGCAATGGCGCGACAAGCAAATTGGAGGTCATCATCCAACGGACACTGAACATCAAAGGGGGAAGCAATCACAGCAGAAGCAGCCATATGCTCTTCCTTTGTCAAGCCAGATGGATGTAATGGCGGCAAAGCAAATCTGGAGGCGCCAGACCCGCGCTGGAAGCCGACAGCTACTGCAGAAGTTGCTACCTGCCGCTGCTGCGCCCAATCCATGCCTTGAGGGGCTGGCTGCTTGCCGCGCAGCTGTGTGTCCACCCAATAGGCCTGCAAATTAGCAAGTGGCACTGGGGCCAATGCCGAAACCAAATCATTGACAGAACGCTTGAAATGCAAATCATGCTGCTGACAACGTAATACTAACCCATGAGCCAACTGCGCAGCTGTCATGATCCCAGGGAAAGATTCAACCAAACCTGGTTCGAACACAGTGCCACGCACACTCTGTCTGAGGCGCCGCTCATCGGCTGGGCAAAGTGGTGCAACTGGGGCCGGCATCAGGTTGACGCATTGCAAAACGCGACTCAACAAGAGGGCCAAAGAAGGCATGTGAGCCGAGTCGGCAATTGCAGAGGCTTGCGCAGCTTCCAAACAATCCGGTACAACTATGGCTTTGATCACATCACTTGGCAAACCATGTAACTGAGCCTTTTCCGAAGGTAACAGGCAACGCCAAACAGCACCTGTCCAAAGCAGTGCATCCTCCGCATATGCAAGAGGGGGAAATTTGCATCCATCAGCTACAAATCTGGCAGCAACATCAGGCGCAAGGTCGCGCATGTCTGCACGCCGCACTGATTGCATTTGAAACCGAGGAAGAATCAGGTTGGGCTGCTTCAACGCGAAACGGCCATGAAAACGGACTTTCTTGGGCCAAGGCTTGCCTGAATAGCTGAGCAGCACAGGCTTTCTAGCTTCCGATGCAACCTCCTGCTCAACTGGAGCAGATGTGAAGCCACCTGCAACCAACCGATGCGAGCACCACAAAAACCAGTCTTGCCACCGAGATACTCGGCCCCAGTCAGCTGCATCGGTGACAACAGGCCCAACAGGGCAAAGTGAACAGCCCTTCACCGGTAAACAAGGGCCTTCGCAAATAGCCCAGACACAAGCACTGGACCAAATCTTGGAACAAGCATTGGCAACTCTACGTGCATGATGGACACTATTTGCACCCGGGCCAGAACAACGGGCATTGCCAACCACCAAAATAAGCCAAAAACGGAAATTCCGCCAGCCGTCAGGTAAATGCTCAGGTTGGAATGTGGGCACGTGAGCAAAATGCAGTACATTGCTGAAGCACGAACTGACTGCCTGTCTAAAGACAGAGCTTGGCTCAACACAAACAAAGGAAAAATGAATGCCGAAGGCTGCTAGAGCAAGGGCTGCACACCCCATGCCATTGCATAGGGAAATCAACAGAACAGGACCATGCCAAGCTGGCCTGACTGAAAGGCAAGGAAGGCTCTCACGACCCAGCCAAGCGCAGACTGCAGGGTCCGAATTTGCAAAAAAAAATATGAGGCACTGCTACTATGAGGAGACACGTCTTTGGCAAAATGCACATGGCAAGGTGTCTCCTCTGCCGCCTGTCAAGCATTGACAAAGGGACAATCTTTGCGGGTGTGGCCGGTGCTGCCACACGCAGTGCCATCAGGCCTGCGGCCATCACATGTGTGACGCTTCCGATCTGGGCAGTCCTTTTCCTTTGGAGCACAACCACGCTGATCATTGTGGCGCTTGCAGATTGCTTGGTTCCCCTGCAAAACTGTCACAGTGCGCTCACGTCGGGGTCTTTTGCTAGGTGGTGAAAGTTCCGCACGTGTTCTGACACTGGCAGAAGGCGTCTTATCAACGTCCACTACGACAGATTGCTGCACAGTCCACAGCACATCGCATTCACGCAAGGCTCGTGTCAAAGCTTCGCCTTGCGGTACTCCTTGCCTCATAAACTCCACCATCTTACCGCGGGTATGCAAATCCCGTGACTCCAACCACTGCAACTGCTGTGTATCATGGCAATTACTCTCAGCAGTCCTGGCCAGAGCAAAATCACAATAGTTCAAGTTTGTGTCCAGCGGGGCAAAACGGACTTTCGTCCCTGGCGCCGACACACTATCAACCACATGGATACCTGCAATGGCATAGGCGTTTGCTAACACACGCAGAGCCTGATAATAGGCGATGACTGACTTGACCGGGGCCGGCTCAGCTGCCAACTGCACTTTGATAGATGCACTAAGGTTCACCTCTTCTTTGGATGTTGGGAGCGTGCCCCGAAACAAACTCTGCATTCGCTTGGCTGGAATCAGTGTTGGGGCACCTCGCTGGAACTCTCTGTAAACTCTACCTAGCAAAGCATCAGAAGGCATCGCATGAATGGACAGCTGCAGCTGATATGTCGTTTTCCATTGGGCCAGCAAGTCTTCATGCGTCTGAATATCCAAAGGTTCTTCACCATCTTCAAGAACACCTTCTAGGCGACGCTTCCGAGCTTTCTCTATGAGCAGAAAACCCTCACGCCAAGCTGCACGCAAGCGGGACAACTGCAAGACATCATCTTTCGCAGGGGACAGATCCAGGACTTGCGTTTTCAGCTCAGTTTCAAAACCGGCTGTGGTGACAAGACCCACAAAGTCAGATATGCTGGACAAACCTAATCCGGTAAGGTACTTGATCAAGTCTTCACTGACCCTGGCCCCGTTCAGCACATGAAGGAGCTGGTCGTGCTCACGCTTTCTAGATGGCTCTGGCATGGCAATCGTGAGGGAGCTGCAATCTTGTCTGGTTGAATGGCTTGCACAACTTGGAAATGAAAAGACGTGAAATGACTGAGAAAGGATCAGGAACTGCCTGGCTACATACGTTCTAGTTCACATTGCTTTGTTGGTCAAGGTTTGGAAACTTAAAGACATGAAGAGTCCTGAGCCGCAAATCATGACAGGTGGCACTAAGTTAAGCAACCACCAGAAATCAAGGATTTGTGGCATAAAGGGATGCCCAAATCAAAAAGCGACCGTGCTCTGCAAAAATCATTACATGAGAAAGATTCAGCAAGACACAGAAACAAAATAACAGAGGTTTCGGCCTGCAAATCAAAGGCTGCATGCTGAGAAACGCACAAGCATGGCCAAAATCAAAAGCTTGCAACTACGTGCACATCCAATATGACCCATGCAAAATTTAAAGACGGGAAAAACATTAAAAACGCACATGTGCTTAGCACCTTCCTTCATGCTTCCATGCAAGGAGCTAGCAACCAGTTCGCGCCATCTTTTTCCCCCTTGCGACACAGTAGCTCAACTAGCTATCCGACCGAACGATTGACTGGATGTGCTTCAGCAAAGGCCGCGGGGCTTGTTGGATACACTTGGCACATATCTGCATGCCCTTTTCTATTCCGGCACCTCTGGCGCAAGGCTGCGCCGAGAAAGGCTCACGACGACACAATGGCGCCAGAATGTGCACAACACCACGCGGCAACTGAAACCACTCAACCTGCACAAGCTCCCCATCCTCGCTTGAAGAGCTAGAGCTTGACGAGGAGGTAATTAACACACTTGGGCTGGGCGGCAATGCCTCAGTGCCGGTGGTTGGTGGCAAAGTGCCGGCTACAGAATCCCACAAGATACCCGTTTCTCGCAACGCCTGGAATGTCACCTCGCGACTACCGAGCTGCGACTTGGCTCTGAGTATCGCTTGAAGAAGCTTGGCTTTTGAATCTGCTGCTGTGGCAACTTTGTCATGGGCATAATGCTGCGACATAACCATGCGATGGGATTGAACATGCGCTAATTTCACACTCTCCGTCCAGTTTCCCAGATGCTGCGCAATCTGAGGCGGGCATCGAAGGATTTCTGCAATTGTCGGCAAAAATCGCCGCAAGGAATAGCTAGTAACATCAGCAGGCGCTTCATCACAACTCTGGGAGACCAACAGACGTAACAATGAAATGAATTTCTGAAAAGACATGGGATGTGTTTGCCAGGCTGCGTCATGGCCAATGGAAGCCGAAGGTCCTAACACCAAATCAGGAATAATAAAACTTGGCTCACAATCCAAACGGCCCCGCAAATCATTGATCACTAGAAGGGCCTGGCGAAAAACATCAGGCGACCCAAGAAACGAATGCGGGCAAGCCCAATCAAAGGGTTTGCGGATACTGCGGTCGCGAGATTTACCGCGTGTGCAGAAACCAAGCAAGAAAGGACCCTGCAACTTCAGGCCAGTGGATCTTTGCACATGGGCGAATCGCAAGCATGCTACAAGGGGCAACAAAGCAAATCCTGCGAAGGCAGCTGCAATGGGACATGGACCTACGGCAACCTTAACCAGATTAAGGACAACTGGAATGGGTAAGGGGTCATGCTGAACGGACCTATGGTTTTCTGCAGGCCGATTCCAAACCATCATCAAAGGGTCATTCAAAATAAATGGCACTCCAACATGTGATCGCCACCACAAAAGTTGCTGAAACAAACCCTGTGCAACAGTAGGGCCTCGTGTTGCATTGACTTGGAGAAATTCGAATGTGGCCTCAAGGGTAGGAGATGTCGGATCCATACCAGCAGGCTGACAAGCCTCAACAAAACGCACCCATCGTCGCCACGCAGAGAGGCGACTCTTTAGCGAAGTTCGTTCAAAGGCAGTCAATTTATTGAATAGTGCAAAACGAGCGTGTTCAGGCTGACTATCCAACAATGGTGAATACTGGAGTCCACTTCGTCCAAGTTTCAAATAGATGCCCCAAAAGAAATCGAACCAAGACTCATCGCTATCAGATAGCACTCTCAACTTAGAGCAAGCACGCCAACGCACAGACACTGGTCCGATGCACGCTGGCGCAGAGACAAGGTTGCCCTGGCAAATATGGGGCTGCGGTTGGCGTTGCTGCGGTGGCAGTCGGCCCTTGCACACTGCTTTGGCCAGCTCTATCATGACCTGCGCTTCATCTTCTAGAAAAAAACCGTTGCTAAACTCAACAATCTCAGAGCAGCGAAGATTAGCAACATCAGCTTCGCACAAGAATCCTAAACTGACCAACTTATTGAACTCTGAAGGGTGCAAGGCATTCTGAAATCGAGCAGTGAACCCGCTTTGCGGAGACGGCAAATTGCTGGCAGAATTAAGAATAGATATCGGCCGGAGCAAATATGGGCCAGTGCCATGGCAATGCTTCGATTTAATCATGTAGGCTCAGGCAAGAATGGGCATATACCTGGCCAATTCATCTCAATACAGCTAGTCTGTCAGCCGGGAAATTTTTGCGAAGCCTCGACAATGACAGACTTGATCCGAAGTGTCAGCAGGCATTTGATCAAAGATTCAGTTTGCCAAGCCCGCCAGGCCGTGAACTGATACTGATTAAATAGCTAAATTAGCTAAATCAACAGTTAAATGATAATAGGCCATTTTCAATGGCAAATTGTTAGTTTATCAGCCATTTTCAGAACGATGTCTAGCTCCCCGAAGCCACCTCGATGAGCACAGGCCTGCCGTTCGGTTTTTTGACATGGAAATTGAGTTGTCCAACATTTTTTGGGACATGTTGGAGTTTTGCAATTGATGAAAATTTGACATGTTGAATTCCAAAAATTCATCAATTGCATTTTTCTTGCAATTCATGCAATGCAATTGATGAAATTTTGATATGACGATATCTTCGACATCAAAATGCATTGTATCAACTATAAGTGTAATCAACTATAAGTGGAACATTGTTTTTCTATAATTACCATAACGAATTGCAATGGCTAGCTGTAGCATCAAATATAGGTTAATCGCCCAAGAGCATTGACTAACCAACTGTAAGTAATAGCCAAGGAGATAAAATGCCGAGTTTTAATACTCAGTTTGGAATTAACAAACATGGCAATCAACGAAACTCCTAGGCGTCAGAGGGAAATCCATCAATCTAGTGTTTTTTCCAGCCAACCGCCAACCATGTTGGTTTCCCAGAGCTGGCCGTTTTATGTGGTAAGCCAAACAATCAACCGCCCCCAATTTCGTCAGAAATTGATGCCACAAATTATCCTTAAATGGTAGGTTCATGATTGGGTTGACCACCACAAACTGCCCAAAATGGGGCACACACCGACCAAATATTCTTTCCCGAAGTTGGAGGGCCAAGGCTCCTAGAGTGGTCGTTACTACTACATGCATCCAAGCAAGGAAAAAACAAACTCCCAGCCCCCAAATCAGGAGTCACTTCAGAAAAGAACAAACAATAGATGGCACCAATATGACTCTATGACATAAAATGACATAAAATCCAAGCAAGTAAACAAACCACATGTTTGTTGCAGAAAGATCTCAGCTATGGAAGCACCCATGAATAGTCCGATGTTTTAGCTACTAAAAAAAAATATAACAAATTACCAGAGGCTATATCAACATGAATCAAGATTAATCATCATTCATCACCATTATGAACCATTGTTAACCATCATTCACCATTATTTACCATAAAATCCCATTAAACCACCATAAAACCTCATTGAATCACCATTTTCCTATGGTTTTCCTATGGTTTTCCCATGGTTTTCCCCATGAATATCCCCATGACTTCCCAATGTGGACGAAGCCGGGACGAAGCCGGTGAAGCCAGCCACGAGTTAGACGAATCACAGTTCTGCACCTTGTCCACCCAGCAACGCATGGTGCGCCAGGAATTCATTGGATCCGTCATGGCCATCTGTTGCTCCTGGCTCGATTGTTTTCCGATGGAAAGATCCACCATTTTGCTGGGTAAATCAACTATTATAACTATTACTATGGGGAAAGATATGGTGAATGATGGTGAAAACAATGGTTGATCATGGTGATGAATGATGATTAATACCCTCTGGTAATTTGTTACATAGCGAACTGGAAAATAGCCATAGAAATAGTTGATTTACCCATTAAATTTTGGTAATCAACTATAAACTAACAGTTTGCTATTGAAAATGGCCCAGTCGAAATAGTTGATTTACCCATTAAACATGGTGATTTTCCCTCTGGTAAACATAGAAAATAACTATGGAAAGATCCACCATTTTATAGCTGGGTAAATCAACTATTTCGACTGGGCAACTTTCAACAGCTTTTTGTAAACGTTTACCAAAGGGTATTGAAAATGGCCATGAAGTGGGGAAGTTATGGCATCTACCAAACTTTTCAGGTGAAAAATGAAGTTCGGCGAGATTTCTTGCGAGGAAACTCCTAGCCCTTTTCCATGAATCGTGAGTAAATAGGACGGCAAAGCATGGTTATTCAATCTCTGATTCCTGCACTTTTTCCTATAGGTTGCCAGTTTGCAACCACAGTTGCTAGCTAGTTCCTAAGTGGGATTGCGATCCCAGCTGTGTTTTGTTGCTGGATTTGGATGTCCAAGAATGAACCAACTGTGGCTACCAACGAGAGCAATGCCAATGTATTGCCAAACAGGTCTAGGCAACTGTCAATCATCCACATAGTGGGAAAGGAGAAAATGTCCCATGCAGCTCAATGATTTTCCCTTTAAGACCTCCATTCAGGGATTTCCCAGAGGCACGCCACGTTTGATGACATTGGAGCGGGATATCTAAATCCGAATAAGATAATATAAACCTGCTTATGTATATATATATATACATTTACATGTATATATATATATGTATATATATATATGTATATATATGTATATATATATACATATATATATGTATGTACACATATATCTAACTCATAATAGTCCCATGATATTCCTAAGATATCCCAATCCCAGTAAGTTCATTGGCCACGCTCCACTGCACCTCGTCGTTCTCCAAGAGAAACCAAGGAGTCTTCAACGCCCTCGGGATGTTCGTCCCCAAAAACTCCTCCAGAGTGTCTACAATATCATAATATTTGTTAGTGCATATGATGGAGAACAATATCCCGAGTGTCTCAAACAATATATATTATAGTACAATATATATTCTATGATATGATAACATAATAATTTGTGAAGATCTTTCACAAAGTGGACCGAAGAAATATTCCAAGTGTCTCAACTAAGAAATGATAACTTTCATCAGTAAGAAATAAATAAATGTTTCAATCATTCGAACAAATGGGTGAGCACTCAACGTAAACATGATTGATCGGAACAGCAATGAAAAAAAGATATGTGTGTATATCTACTGATGTCCTGTGGTTTCAAAAAGCATCATCAGGATCCCAAAGACCTTTGAATTCCACACTATATACATGTGTACTGTGTATATATAATACTATAATATTGCATAGATATATACACATAAATTATGATGTTATCATATCAGAATCCATATCTCCATAATCTCTTATTATATGCCCAGTTCAAGATCCTCAAAATCATCAAACATCAAAATCTCAGGTCTATAGTCTCACCAGGATAACCATCACCTCCGAAAATCCACATCAAAACTGGCTGAATTGGTTCACGAATCCCTTTAATAAACAGCTGGTAACTAAGACAGCCGGGGATGATTCCAGAGCCCTCACGACACGATTTCCATCATGGTGTGGGTTTTTTTGTCATCCAGCAGTACTGTTACCACTGTCTTCCCTACCAATTTATCCATATGGCTATGAATCAATACCTATGAAAATACCATTTTTAGAGGGATGAACATCCATTTACCAGCTATTTTTATGTTCACCAGGGGTACAAGGTTTTGACCCACTGCCATATCAAAAAAGAAAAACATTGTATGAGCTCAGAAAATGTTCTTAAGTAGCATTACTACTGTCGTTAACCATCCATTTAACATATACTAACCATCCACTAACCATACATTAACCATCCATTAACCATCCATTTCACCACCCATTTTACCATCCATTTCCCCGTGACCAAGGGCCTCCAAACACCACCGCTCCAGTCACCCCCCGGCACCTTCCATCGCCGTCGGGCATCAGGGCCTTGCAGCGGATGGCCCAGTGCTTCAGCAAGTTGACCTCGAGGACATGGAGCCGAAAAAGGATCTACTTGGTGGCTCATCCCAGTTAGTAAGCGGATTATAACCCCAGTTTTTTCAGTGAACCTTGCCCCTACTTAGCCCAGTGAAATCACCAGGGGTATAATCAACCTACTTACGAGCCGTGGGGGTGAACCACCAAGTAGATGAATGGGATTAAATCAACAAAGGATCTAGATGATCTACAGAATCTATGTCTAATGGCATTCAGGATGGGATTAAAATGGGATTCTGGCATTAATGGGATTTTTTAAAAGGGAATGGGGTGGTTTAATTCTATGGGTTTTTTTTTCGGGGAATCGATGTTTTAACAGCAATTAAGTGGAAATTCATGGGAGTATGATGGGATCATAATGGGAAATACACCAGGTATTCCTTATGGCCGATTCGATTCACCGGGTATGTTTGTCAAAAACCCAAACTAAACCACGACGATGTTCACCATCCAATTGTTACCCCCATTCCAATATGAATCTATGTTTGAGCAGTGGCATTGCATAGGATTATCATTCGGATTCATGGGATTGTAATGGAATTTAATGATATATAATGGGATTCGATGGAATTCTCATGGGGGTTAGTACGTTATTCATGGAATATAATGGAATGTAATGGGAAAATATAGGAATATAATGGGACGTAGAATAGGACGTATACCTCGTCTACGTATTTTTCAAGCTTGCACAGCCTGCAAGCAGCTATATGGATCTAAATTTTAGACATACGTATCATACATGTATAGTCATATAGATACATATAGAATCATACAGATGAGTAAGCAAGCAATAACCAAAACAGGGCCAGAGAACAACCGAGAAAAACCAGCCACACAGCCTGGCCGAAATGGTGATGAGTTTCATCGACCGCTGATCAGCAGTAAGTCTAGCGCAATCCCTTCAACTCATCAGTAATTCAGTATCCATAGTGGCTGTATCTCCATCTGTTGTTGCTTGATGTCGCCGGAAAAATCCACGTCAGCGCTCCCGAAAAAAAAACAAGATGAAGCCCACGAACCCGAATGCTAACACGTATGTTAATGGTACAGATGTCAAAACACATGGTTATGCAGTCACGCACAATACCTTTCTGCAATAGTTTATGTGAACAGTCTTGTACATGTTTCCCTTGTTAGCAGTCTGCAGTGTGGAGTGTGGAGTGGAAAGTGTAGAGTGTGGAGTGTGGAGTGTGAAGTAAGGAGTGTGGAGTGTAAAGTGTGGAGTGGGGAGTGTAGAGTGTGTAAAGTGTAGAATGCGGAGTGTAAAGTGTAGAGTGTGGAGTATGGAGTGTAAAGTGTAGAGTGTGGAGTGTGGGGTGTAAAGTGTGGAGTGTAAAGTGTAGAGTGTGGAGTGTAAAGTGTGGAGTGTAAAGTGTGGAGTGAGGAGTGTAAAGTGTGGAGTGTGGAGTGTAAAGTGTGGAGTGTGGAGTGTAAAGTGTGAAATGTAAAGTGTGGAGTGTGGAGCGTAAAGTGTAGAGTGTGGAGTCTGGAGTGAAAAGTGTAGAGTGTGGTGTGTAGAGTGTGGAGTGTGGAGTGTGGAGTGTAAAGTGGGGAGTGTAAAGTGTGGAGTGTGGAGTGAGTAGTGTAAAGTATGAAGTGTGGAGTGTGAAGTGTACAGTAACGTGTGGAGTGTGGTGTGCGGAGTGTGGAGTGGAAAGTGTAGAGTGTGGAGTGTAAAGTGGGGAGTGTGGAGTGTAGAGTGTGGAGTTTGGAGTGTAAAGTGTGGAGTGTGGAGTGAGGAGTGTAAAGTGTGGAGTGCGAAATGTGGAGTGGAAAGTGTAGAGTGTGGTGTGTAGAATGGAGTGTGGAGTGTAAAATGTAAAGTGTGGAGTGTAGAGTGTAAAGTGTGGAGTGTAGAGTGTAAAGTGTGGAGTGTAAAGTGTAGAGTGTGGAGTGTAGAGTGTAAAGTGACGATTGTAAAGTGTGGGGTGAGGAGTGTAAAGTGTGGAGTGTGGAGTGTAAAGTGTGGAGTGGGGAGTGTGGAGTGGAAAGTGTGGAATGTGAAGTGTGGAGTGTAAAGTAAGGAGTGTGCAGTGTAAAGTGTGGAGTGTGGAGTGTAAAGTGTAGAGTGTGGAGTGTGGAGTGTAAAGTGTAGAGTGAGGAGTGCGGAACTTCACCCATAGACACGGCGACGCCACAGGAAAACCAGAGACTCGAGACGAGACACGTGGGTGCAAAAAAACGAGCATTTCGTGCGAGACTTCCTTCAATTTTGATATTTTCCACACGTTATCAAACAGGTTGGAATGTCAGAAAGTGCCACGTCTGCCACGCAAAACGACATGACAACCTGCTTGGAAACATTCGAAAAGGACACGTTTTCCAGCTTCCCCCATAGACACGGCGACGCCACAGGAAAACCAGACACTTGCGACAAGACACGTGGGTGCAGAAAAACCAGCATTTCCTACGAGACTTCCTCCAATTTTGAAATTTTGTGAACATCATCAAACAGGTTGGAATGTCAGAAAGTGCCATGTCTGCCACGCAAAACAACAACACAGCCTGCCTGGAAACATTCGAAAAGGACAGGTTTTCCAGCTTCCTCCATAGACACGGCGACGCCACAGGAAAACCAGCGACTCGAGACAAGACACGTGGATGCAGAAAAACCAGCATTTCGTACGAGACGTCCTCCAATTTTCACAGTTGGCAACATGACAAAAGGACAAGTTTTGCAGCTTCCCCCATAGACACGGCGAGGCCACGGGAAAACCAGACACGCGTGAAAATTTGCAACCTCAAAATCGATGCTTCGTGCGAGGCTTCCGTCAATTTTCAGCACATGTCAGAAAATGCCACGCCTGCCACGGAATTTCCACCTTGTCACCACTTGACGTAGCCCTGCCAATGCGATTTACAAAAAACACGCAACGCGACACGTCTAAAGTGCTGCGCCTGCCACGAAAAATGACGATGGACACGCCCAAAGTGCTGTGCCTGCCACGAAAACTGCAACACATCTTCTGAAAACGTCGCAAAAGTATTGCGCCTGCCACGCAAAACGACTTTCGACACGTTGCAGAACACGTCTGAATGTCACGAAATGCCACACCTGCCACGCGAAACGAAGCAACGACACGTCTGAAACCTCCAAAAATGACCACCTCTGCAGAACTTCCCATAGGCACGGCCATACGGGGATCGCGCGAACGGTTGCGAACGGTTGCGAACGGTTGCGGACGGTTGCGCTCGCGAACGCAACGTCGAGCGAACACACCCTCAACCCCCAGACCCCCAGAGTGAAACGGGAACCCTTGCTACGCATTCGGGAAAAAACGAAAGCGAAAACACGCACTTCCAAGGAGCCTTCTCTTCACCATAGTCATGCATCGAGGTGGCCTGCCGAATTGGTCCTACCTTGTCCTACCTTGGAAGGTTTCCTGAAAGTCATGGGGGTACCCCTTTATCGCTGGATGGTTTATAATTGAACATCATATTAAAATGGATTTAGTAACTAGGGGTACCCCTATGACTCAGGAAACCTATTACCCTCTGGTTATTTAACATAGCCATGGAAGCCATGGCCCTAATCGAAATAGATGATTTTCCCAGCGACATCAACCTCCATTTATTTTGGGGATTTTCCATGGCTATGTTAGTCATAACCTGATGGTGATTAAACTATAAACCATTATCATTGAACTAATTGAAAATCCTATGAAAATGGATGATTTGGAGGATCCCCCCAGGAAAAACCGAGCTGCTCAGTAAGATGACCAGATGGCGTGAACGCCATGTTGGTCCCCGGTACATTTTTCAGGTGTCAGGTCCCTCAAAGTGGATGGTTTACTCAGAAAGGCCCCAAATCCCTGTTTTCTCGTGTGAAAAGAATCTCACGCAAATATATTCTAATCTGCATATTGATACGTTATCAATAAAAAATTGAGCCCGTCCCCTTTGGATCCCAAAAAACCAGCCCTTCGACTCATTCGAGGTGCCTGGTCCGGTGGCTGCCAAACATGAGAGATGAAGTATTCAGGCGGCCTCAGAGCAACGAGCTCGTGGCTGACCCAGTTATAATACCTGGCAAGTAACCATATGTGTAACCGAGTTGTGGTGGAAGATCCGCAGTTGTGTATATGTATATGTATATGTGTGTATATGTATATATGCATTTTTAAAAATATAATATAATGTATGTATGGGTTCTAAGTTATAACCCACTTACTAAGCTGCATTCAACTCGTCAAAAAAGAAATTTCTGCGCTAAATCCTGGGGCCCAGTTGGGGTAATACGCCCTATGAATTCCACTGTTCTTTATGATATTCCCGTTCTGGTTGTGGGTATCATCACTTGCATCGAAGGGATTGCGAATTCCTACCATGTGGGGATGGGGGGGTTTCCAACATCCATAGATCCCAGCTATGACTTACCAGCTGGGGTGCCACTCAAAACGCGCGGTTTCAACCGAGGACCCACGCTCACTTTCCAGCGCCGACGCTGCTACTTGATTCCTGATGTGAACTGGCCATGTTTCAAAATTGCGGCTTCGCGCGGAAAAGGCCACAGATGTTCCGGTTCAGTGTTGACATGAATGTTTGGGGTACCCAATGAATTTTGACCCAAATCCAAATAATCCATGTGGAACCAAGCCTTAAAGCTCGAAGCATTCTTGTTTCATTCTACTCGAGAGGTAAAACCCTAGATGCACTGGGGCATCACCATTTCAGGCTCTGGATCCAAACCTTATTCTTCTGCTCTTCAAAACACATGAAGTAGAATGGTAGAATTGGCGAAAAAAGAATGAAGTTATTGGATACGAATAAAGTAAACTACAATTATAGTAAAAGAAATTATAGTAATAGTAAATTAACAGTTGGACCCTGTTAAAATCACCAGTTTTTAGTGGTTTCACTCATCTTCCAACCCCTACTGTATCTGCCAGGGTCAACAAGTTTATTTACTGGAGGGTCATAGTGACCTACAATAGTCATCATAGTTACGTGTTGGATGATCACTGGTGATTTTCGAAGCTTGGCGCCCGGGCTGTTTCGTCAAGCGGCTGCTTGTCCAGAAGGCCACAGCCTGACCGGCTGTTTTCGTCGAGAAAATGGTGAGAATTCAGGGGGGTTCGAAAGTTGGAGACAACATATGGGGATTTCCATAGTCATGGGGGTACCCCAATAGCTGGTTGGTTTATGATGGAAAATCCCAATCTAAAAACCATATAACTGCAAGATAATGGGGAGATCAAGCAACACAATTCATAACAGAAATGGATGCTTTGAGTAAAATTGCTAAACATCAACCCATTGTTTTCACCTATCATTCACAAAGCTTCACCCAGTCAATTTGAGCCCCTGAGATTGCAACCCTCTAACCCAACCTTTGCCCCTTGGGAAACCTCTCAGCTATTCCCTGCAGGAAAAAAAACAGCTTCACCATAGGGATCCCCTGAAGAAATGGTTGTGCAGCCATCGCCAAAGGCCCAGCTTAGGCGAGTGAAATCTCCATTGCCAACCTTGGATATACTTGGTGGTTCACCCCAGGAATCGTAAGTGGCTTAGTTCAGCCCAGTTGTAGGTAGGATAAGTAGAGACAATCATAACTGGGGGTATACCCCACTTAATCATACTTACCAACTGAGATGAACCACCCAACCCAGTATCTTCAAGAAGTTTGAGTGGGAGATCCTAGCGATTCCGGTCAAAACTTCCTGAAAAATGGACCTGAAATTCATCAGCCATGTGGGCGGCTAAGACTCCCACGTCACTACCCACAAAAAGAAAAAAAAGGTGTTTTCGATCCTTCGTAGCCCACTACCCTTTGGGAATAATAAGTTCCCCCATTTATCTGGCTCAAGGAGAATGGTGTACTAACCTGAAAATAGCTGAAACAAGGCCAGCTATGGGGATGATTCCCTGTACAATTCCCATCATTCCAGTGACATCACAGTGAGGTCATGATCAAATTCATCCAGATTTAATCTTTGGCAAACATACAAAAAAACTATGGAAAATCACCATGTTTAATGGGTAAATCAACTATTTCTATGGCTATTTTCCAGTTCGCTATGTTAAATTGCCAGAGGGTACCCATCTCTTGATGCTTAAACCACCATTTTCGATCAAAATCAGCCATTTGCGACGATACTAAGACCCCAAACTAATAGAGGTCGAGTCATTTACCAACAAAATCTGGAACTCTGGGAATCAGCTCCATGGCTAGATGGGAAATCCCACCTATAGTAGGCCTCCGGATCTGCCCCGGATCCCACCTTCGCAAACTGTTCTCGCGTCTCCTCCGATTCCTCCTCCGACTCCAAGAGATACTTCCGCCGTTGCCTCTGGCCCTGAGAGATCAACTTGTCATGTCATTGACGAATGTTGGTTGTATACATGTTACATCATACAGAGAGAGAGAGAGACCTAATTTGTGCCACTTTCTGGTATGAAATCCCATGTCTGTTCTTTTTCCGGAAACTATTGGAGATCTCCTATTCATAACGAGATCAAATCCATCAAGTCCCATGGTTATCAAGTAGTGATATAGTCACATCATGTCACATCGTTTATTGGCTACATCCCCAGTTTGGTTCATGCACCAATCAGCATCGCCGAAGAATGCCATGGATGATCCCTCTGTGGATGATCCCAACGACGGATGATCGAAGATCTGGAAGGAAGTCCCACGGGTTTTCCAGCGGATTTGTGGTAAACCCAACAATAAACCATCTGGTAATTTAACATAGCTATGGAAGCCATGGCCCATTTATAGATGGTTTATGATGGTTTACCTATTAAAAATGGTGATTTTCTATAGCAAACTGTTAGTCATTCCCAGAGGGTAAACCATCCATCCAACCAACCATGACTGGGGGGTCATTTTACCACAACGAACATAGTTTCCCGGTACATTCACATATCATTTGGGTCAGCCTTTTCTCTGGGAACATCCTGGAAATATACATTGATGCTATCAATGGGAATATCAAGGCCATGGTTACCTCCAGCTCCGCTCCATTCACCACTTGGAAGATCATCCCACGAATCGTAGCTGGATTTAACTGGATTTAACTGGTGAAGAAGCCGACGTAGTAAGTCCTCGATAGAAGTGGTCTTATCCCATTTATATTTTTTTGTAAACATCAACTAACACAGTAATTAGTCAACTTAGTCAACCTTTGCTAACATAGTAGTCCACTTAGTCCACTTAGTTAATCCACTTAGCCTAGTGGCCTAGCCCACCTTTATCAACATCAACGACCTCAACGAACAATTCGGCCATGCCATGGTCCATCAGGACCTCCAGGACCCGCCTTGGGAAGCAGATCCTGGAGCCGCACGGACAACAGCGGGGCCACCTGCGGATCTCCCTGGAGGACTCCGCATGGCCTGGCCCAAACGATCGCCGGCCGAATGCTTTGAAAATGGAGAAATGATGGAAAAAAAAAATGACAAAAACAGAGGGAAAACTATTGAACATGATGGAAAGAACATGGGAAAAAATGGTTGAATATGATGAAGAATTGAGGGAAAACGGTGTTTTGCTTGCTGTTGGACTCTGGAATTGGTTTAAAGTGCTAAAAAAATTCTTCAATTCCCATCCCATTTGAACAAAAATCACCAAAACAAATTGAATAGAACATCAAGTCGGAGTTTGGAGACTCAGAACTTCTTCATCCCAATGTTTTCAGGACCAAAACACAAAAAGTTCCACCACCGAAACAGTTGACCAAAACCTTGCAACATCTTCCAACACACTCTGGTTGTCTTAATATGTCTACGATCTGATTTCGATATCCCATGAAAGCCCGTTTAGTGCGGGCATGTGGGAACATTTTTTTTGTGATAACATATGGGGGGTTCTATAAATGGAGTACCATGGAGTACCAAAAATGGATTGTTTATGATGGTTTATAAGGGAAACCCCCATATGTTTGGAGAGTGCTCAAGTTCTTTCATCTCATAGGCCGCAATGGAATACAAGTCCGCTGATTCTTGAAATCACAAATCGTTGCTTCGGCCAAATGGTCCCCACAATGAATAGATTAAACACATTCCACCAGGGTTTCAAAGAATGGTTCCATTTCAGCGGGCAAGGGATTTCCAACCACAAGTGTCCAATTTGCGGGTTCATCCGAGAAAACACTAAATAATGGTGATAAACCAGTTATACCGACATGTTCATATTTTTTGTTTGGTTGATACCCCCCCTATGTGTGCCATGTCCAAAGATGGTTAATCTGGATTAGGGTCATCCCAACATCATGAACCAAAAATGATGGGTATTTGAAAAAGAAAAAACAACAATCTACTTGGTGGCTCATCCCAGTGGGATATAACCCCAGTTATAAATGGGATAAGTAGGGTTAATCCACTTATAATTGGGGTTATAACCCACTTACTAAGTGGGATGAACCACCAAGTAATACCCATCAATGGTTTAAATCAATGGATCATCCCCCTTTCATGGTTTTGATCTATGGGTAAATAGACCATGTTTACATAGCACAGGTCTGTCTGAGAAGAAGATCAAAGAAAATCATGCGTGGTTTCATCATGTTCATTAGGTTGCCCTATTTCAAATGGCCATTTTTTTGGTTAGGGGCCCCAATTTCAAACACACCCATATCCATTGTTCATTGTTTCAATCCCTATTTTTTAATGGTTGAATACCCAACATGCCCCAGCCTGCCACTGGCCACAACAGCACTTCTGCTCGCAGAACTACACAAAACACCTACACAGCAGGAGCTGTCACGGGAAACACCCCTCGATCCCTGGGGAGATTCTCGGAAATGTAGTGGGATGGAACTATCAACAGCAGGGACTTAACTCACTACACTCACTTAAGTATCAATCAGAAATGATCGGGATTTAATGATGTTTTACCCAACCCCTTGACACGATTTGGGATGCAATGCCAAAATGAACAACTCCAGGCCAGGACCAAACCTGAAGTTTCTGGGTGGAACAAAAAATGACCCTCTGGTATCATCAATTTCCCATTGCTACTGTGGATGGAAGAAATCTTGCACCACCTTGGATGTTTGAAACCCTATAAATATGGGATAAACCATCTATCAACTGGTGCAGGATTTCTTCCATCCACAGTATGTTTGATTCCCGAAGGTCAGGGGGAAAGGATCACAAAAAAACTGTCCCAGCGAGTTTGAAGATTTTAAAATCCAAATATGGTGAACGAACAAGAATAAAAACGGGTGTAAACAAGTGCGCTCGGTGTGTCTAAAAATTGCATGAACCCATGAATTAACAACTTGAAATTGAGACCATGATGATAAATTCATAAACTAAACCATAGAATTTGGGAGGTGTCCCGTAAATGTTCAAACAAACGCACAATAATTCTGCATATGCATCCCCGTGAAATTTAGGATTTGTGGAGGGTGTTGGTTGTCCAAATTGTAATGACTCAGCATGTTAAATCCATCCAAAAACAGAAAACGTGGGGATACATGACTAGTTAGTCTCATACAAATAAATTCCATGCGTCTTTGTTTCATCCTGTCCTGTGGTGTTTTTGAAATGAATCACGGCTGTAAAAACAGATCAGGGTCATATGGGAAGACCCCGGTATCCTTGTATCAAAATCATTGGCAAATCAACGAGTTAAGGGTTCATCTGAAAATGATGTTACTTGAATCCATGCATTGATCACCATTTTCCGTTTTGAACGTGCCTAGGGGTTATACCGGTAGACCCAATTTTCACACACAGAAATATTCACACATAGCCTTCCAGCAGCCCGGGGCCTTCAACCATCTAGTTTTTCTAGGCAAAAAGGTCGTGTTTGAACCAGTCTCTATTCGTAACTGCGGTCAGCTTGCAAGTTGCTCATCCACCGCGTTGCCCCAACAACTCAAAACCAACATGGTGGATGATGTCCGAATCGAAATTTTGTTTTTTTTTTGATTTGTCGCATTTCATGTCAGTGTAACAGCGGCCATGAATGGCGCATCCAAACTCAAGTCATACAACGGCGCGTGATTTTTTTTGTTTGGGAGTGTCCATGATGTGGTGATGATCAGCTGGTAGTATTTTTGCCTCTTGTCAAAAGGATCGTGTTCGTTGTTTTCCGCTGAATCATGGAATAACAAAAACTACAATTGCCACAATGCTGCATCACATGAAACAAACAATCCGCTGGTTAACCGTCGAAGGACCATCTTCATCGATGTGAAATTGTTTGCTCCGGTCCCAAGTCCAGGTTCCTAAAATGGGTTAAGTCAAAAAGGGAAAAACGCAATCATCAAGCGTGGCCATATATAAATTACAACATTTTTACAATAGCGGTAAAAATTGGTTTTCATAAGGGTGGGAATGCAACATCCATGGTTTTCTTTCCAAAACTAAGCCACATCGGAAGGGATACAAACCGCAGTCCGTCGCGCAGCAACTGTGCGGAAAACACAAATTTGGAAATTTGGTTGGTTCAAAATTCAAAACGTTTTGTGACCAATTTTTTGCGAAACCATGGGTCTTCACTATTACCCGCCCAGTGATAGGTTGATAGCCATGTCATCACAATATGATTCCAACATTTCCCACCACAAATGAAAAAACAGAAAAACAGCGCCAAACTGAACAAGATTGTGTCTACAGGCGGCTTACCCACACTAGTCAGATTTGGTTTGTCATATAGTTGGTTCATCACGGAAATGGCCGCTAGCATCCATGGCTAGGACTATTGCCAGTTTTTTTACGTCGAAAACCATGGTCGCCTCATTCCCACGTCCACGCTGCTGGACTCTGTACTCTTGGCCCACACCGTTTTGATGACGCGGTCCTTCCATTGCAAAAAAAATAAAAACCTCAGAGGGGGGGAACGAAAGCCAGCATCCCATCTACCCCTATTTTCCCCAAAGATTTTTCACCCACTGACTTTTCACCTATATTACTTTTCACCCACAGACTTTTCACCCGGAGTCTTTTACCCATATAATAAATTTCTCATCCATATACTTTTCACCCACGGACGGTTCAATCTCACCCACAGACTTTTCCCCCAGATATTTTTCACCCACAGGTTTTTCACCCGCATGTTTTTCACCCACACGCTTTTCACCCATATGTTTTTCACTCAGAGACTCTTCACCCAGAGACTCTTCTTGCACAGACTTTTCACCCAGAGACTTCAGCAAGACTGAATTTTAACTAGTTGGTGACTGTGCTGTAAAATTTGAGGCCGCAGCAAACACAAAACCAGCCTTAAGGCAAGCCTCGAGGCCTTCAAGGGTATGGAAATTACAGCACAACAAAAAGTTTAAAGGATGAAACCAAGTTGGAGACCTCAATGCAAGTCTCAAACTCCAGCGTTGCGAGGCCATGAAAAGAAGAACAAAACACCCAAAGCGCAGAGGTTTCTCGAAATTCGACAGCGCCACATGAAAATGTACCAAATTCTGTTGCTTTGTTCTTTTCAAGTTCAATTCCATCTTGCAGGAAAGCTGTGGCCAGTTCTGGTTGCTTTTCAAAGTCAGTTCCGTCACAAACTCGCGCCACAAGGCTTCGTAAAAGGCGGACTGTCGCACTGCAGCAACCAACTCATTGTGGGTGCCTTGCATCATGGCCAAAGCATCCACCTCTGGAGTGCCAGCTCCCCAGGAGCCATTGTAAGTCAATAAAAAGCCATGCGGCCGTTCATCCGTCATCTCAGAAGTTGCACGACCTGCTGCAGATGAAGCGGTGCCCCCACCACGCCTGCTAGCACCACCAGATCTGTCACCAAACGTGCTCTCTGCTGGGAACGGCGGTGCTGGATGGCTGCCATCTGCCATGTGCAAGAACCAGCCGGACTTGTGATCAGATGGCTGCTCCTGCCACAACTCTTTGGCTCGCGCAAGGCCTTCATTATAGCTGGTGGCTTTCAAATGGGGCATGCGGCGCAAAAGGCGGAGACACCATTGATCACGAAAGTCAGACTTTTGGCGACTTGTCAAAGTAGAAACCGCGCTGCTGGCTCCCGGCGGATTCACCCAAGAGGAGACCTTGGTCGCCCAATCAATCGAGAGACGCCGCCGGCGGCTGGGAGGCGGCGATGCGGCTTGATCTTGGGGGGGCAGCAGTGCCAACTGGCTATCACAGCTAGGCAGCACCACAGGTAACTCTGCAGCAACTTCGAACTCCAACATCAAAGCTTCTAAAGCGGCGTCCAAATCTGTGCCATCGCCATCGACTGCCATGATGCAACAGAAGAAACATGCAGAGGCCTTGGAACCTAATGTCAAAGCAACAGGCGCACAGGCTGGCTCAAAGTGGCACAGCCCTGTTGGAGAATCTACACATCGCAGCCCTAGTGGAAGGACCCAGAAAATTGTCCAGAATGCGAAGAAAGAGCGGCCAATACTAGCACACCTTTGCCAGAACCAAAATGGGCCTGTTGGTCCATGTGATTGGCAGAGGCTGACACTTCAGATTTGTGAGTGTGACGCTTGCCAATACCATGACTGGCATGGAAGCACAATTGACACTGTGACATGTACATGGAGAGGAGGGATGTACAACATGTTTCACACATAGAGGTACATGATAGTTGATGAAAAATCCTTTCGCCGCAAACGGCCAATTTTCGCGAGGAAAAATGCTACTTCCGCGAAACTGTCGCGAACTCCACGTGTTTCTTTCGCGGGGCCCATGTTGGACAACAACGCCTCGTATGAAGATTCGTGCACCTCCTGCCCAATTACGCCAGAGAAGCACGGATCACTTCTTGATAGGCTTTTGAAACAAGCAGCGAGCATCACGGAATCCCTTCTCAGGACAGATTCTTGCTGACTAGTTTTGTTTTTGGCATGTTTTACTGAAGAAAAACGCTCGCAAAGGTTCCCAACATAACAGGAACGGTCTTCGTAAGTAAAACTCTGTCCAAGAACTTGTACATCGATCACCACATGTGCACAACGCACGCGCGGATGCCTTTGCGGATGCGGGATAACCCCTGCGAAGGACCACCTGCCAAAAACCCCCCAAAAAAAGGCCGCGGATGCATTTCCAGCGTTTGAGAATACAAAGTAATACAAAGCAACCCGCCTTGCGGATGCCCAATGGGGTGTGGAACATTGTATGGGAGGGAGGGGGTTTTGTGGCCTTTGCTGCCGTTCCCTCGGGGATGTCTTCGCGTTGAGGGGCTCTCTTCTTCCCACTTGCGGCTGCCATGCCTTTTTCCAAACTTCGCCTTGCCACGCGTTGCGTTCCCAGTAGGGGGTCTTGCTACGTCTTGAGGTCACAAAAAGGGCGCGTTCTGCCACATGTGCGCCTGCCACGCGTTCACTTTCAGTCAGGTGTCTCCTTCACAACCTTGGCTCTGCCACGCTGCGCCCCGCCACATGTGCCTGCCACACGTGCGTTCCCATGAGAACCTTCGCTCATAATGGGCGGTTCCTTCCAAACTTGCGCGTGCCACGCGTTGACTGCCCATCAGGGGCGTGTCGTTCCAAGACTTGGCCTTGCCACGTGCGCCTGCCACGCGTTGCTTCCTCCGAGTTGTGTTTCGTTCCAAACAACATTGGCCCTGCCAGGTTATGAGGCCCCATTAAGGGTGGTTTTTTCGGAACCTGCGCCTGCCACGCTGACTCCAGCTGGGGTTGGTCCTCCACAAGTTGGCCCTCTATATGAAGTAGTTTCTTCCAGGTTTGTGCCTGCCACGCGTTGACTTCCCATCCGGGATGTTTCCTTCGGAAACTTGCGTGCGCTTGCCACGCGGCCTGCCACGCGTTGAGTTTCTATGCGGGGGTTGGCCCTTCCCACCCACGGGTTTCACAATTCGGCTCCACAAACCATGCAAAGAAGGTAAACATCGAAAACTAAACACAATTGAATACGTCAACGCAGATAACGTGACGAATTGTCGCGCACCAATGGGCTTCCCACCGTGCAAATCCACGCCATGTTTCCGTTCTAATTACAATTGGCCGCGTGGGGCCTCCAAAACCCAAATGAAACAAGGTGGGCCAAAGAACTCAAAAGCAAGACGGCGCACAGCACGCCTTTTTAAAAAAGTCTTGTGGTGTGGGCAGCTGTGCTCTGCACGAAATCGACGTAAGATCTTTACTGACACATCGTTCGCACTGATGGTATCAGGGGCCACAACTCACCACTCCATGCTGTGCCAACTACGTCTACATTCTATTGGCCGCGTGGGGCCTTGAAAACCAAAATGAAATAAATATATGCTGTGGTCTTTATTGTTTTTCTGGTTTGTGTTTGTATGGTTTCTCGTTTTCATTGGGTTGATTGTTGCCATCCTTTCAAGAAAAAGAACCTCCATGATACATGTCATGCTGTTCCGTCTTTACCATATCCAAGTTTTTCCCTCTGACAGGTACAAGCTCCCCCATCAAACAGACGTTCGGGCGGCCTCCGGTCATGGAATTTCTCCACTATTTCTGCGGCCCCAAGTACTTGAACATGTCCTAGCTGATCTTGCACTGTTGCGCTGTCACCCTGGCAATGGTTGGCCGCAACACTGGCAACCGGCACCCAACACATCTTTTGACATTGGTGTTTCTCACACTCCAACATGAAAAGAAAACCCATTTTGCGCAGCTGATCTTGAACTGCCAAGCTGTCCCCTAAACCAGATTGATGGATTTCCACACAAACACGTCTAATCCAAGAAAAAATGCGGTCCAAAGAAACATCGCCCAGTGTTACAATCTGTTCACTTCTGAGCTAATCTTGAACTGCTGCGCTGTCACCCTAGAGATAACTGGCTCAAACACGGGCATGTCTTGGTTAAAAAACATTGCCCCATGGAAAATGACGGAACGCGCACATGTTTTGAAAACCCTGT